TATTTTAACTTTTATATATGTTGTCATTGAAAGTAACAAAAATTTCATTTTATTGCAAACATTTAAAATTAAGACAGCACTGAGCAATCCTGGCCCTCTCCTATCCCTTCCCCCTTCCATTGTTCGAAATGAGTAAGGTTAAATGAATTTTATGGAGAATAGGGTTATAAAGCCCTTGACAAAATCTGTTTTCTAAAGCAAAGCCATTCTATTAAGGAGACCTAAATTTAGGTTGTCAAAGCCCCATAGACTCTGAAAAGCAAGTTGTTAGAACTCATAATGAGTTTCAGTGTTGCTGCATTTGGAAATGTATACATCTCAGCAGTAGCCCTTGTACTAGATTGTTCTAGAAGAGGTAGGGGGCAGATGATGTGAGGGACTCTTGTCTTTGAGGCTATCATTTCAGATATTAGTAGGAATTCCATATTCTTGACCTTCATAAATTCCTAAATTGTAAATTCCTAGAAGCTGTAATTTGTAAAAAGCATATGGACAAATCCCCTAATGACAGATCAGAGATGATTAATTTAAAATATTTAATTCAACTCAGAAGAACCAAAGATGAAACATCCTCCTCTCCCTGCCTCTCCCTCCACCCCTATACCAGCAATCCTGGCTTTTTCTAACAATAACCCTGAGTTGGAGAAAATGTAAATGAAGCTTTTGAGATTCAACTTTAAGTGAAAACATTTTGCAGCTGTCATGGCTAATTTGACAATAAATATGAACGCCAGTAATTCTGTTAATATATTTCTTGACTAAGGATCTTAGAGGGGAGGAACTAGCCCCGTGGCCGAGTGGTTAAGTTCACGCGCTCCGCTTCGGCGGCCCAGGGTTTCGCCAATTCAGATCCTGGGCGCAGACATGGCACCGCTTGTCAGGCCACGTTGAGGCGGTGTCCCACATGCCACAACTAGAAGGACCCACCACTAAAAATATACAGCTATGTGCTGGGGGGATTTGGGGATAAAAAAGCAGAAAAAAAACAAGAAGATTGAAGATTGGCAACAGTTGTTAGCTAAGGTGCCAATCTTTAAAAAAAAAAAAAAAATCTTAGATGTGAAAAAATATTGCCTCCAAAGCTCCCACTGATGGGCCAAATCTTCAGATGTGTTATATTTCCTACGCCTAGAATTAACTCTCCTCTGTGTGAAAGTGATTGCCAATATACAACTCGAAGTTAGTGCCAAGACTCAGCTGCTGGGTCAACAGGAGCATCCCCATAGTTTTTTGTGCAGAATTAGTTTCAGTTCTGCTGACCAGTCTGGGGACAAGGCACTTGAAATGGGATCTATTAGACATACTTTACTCCTTTTATTTTTACAGCTTTTATTCAGTCAGGATCCATTTCTTGAGTACCCACTATGTTTCAAGGATTAGGCATACCAAAATGAGTAAAACAAGGTCCCTGTCCCACCCACCCTGTCTCCATGACAAATTAGTAGATAATTACAACATAGTGAGAGGGAGGGTTTGCCCACAGTGCTACAGAAGCTCAGAGGAGAACATCTACAACTTCCTTTAAAGAAATGGTCAAGTCTCTATTTATATACACATGATTTTCTATGCTTTGATAATTGAATTCAACCATGGTACCTACAACAAGGAAATGTATTCTGGGAAACATTTTTTTAAAAGACCAGATTTGCCAAAACAATGTGCTCTAAAAATAAATCAATGTACTGACCAATCTAAGAAATGTTATTTCCTTAATTAATTCAATAGAGCCTTAAAAGAATTAATGACCCCTTACCAAAGTCATCATGATAACGCTCAATTTAAAGATAGCTTTTCAACCTATTCTCCCAGCCTCCTTGCTGAACAGAAATTGTGGAAATTGTCCTCTATTCCTACTTCTTCACGCCCTGTTTCAAACTGGTCACTTAAACACTTTATTCTGCCACCTAAATATTCCTTTTTTTTTTTTTTAAAGATTGGGCCCCCTAAGCTAACATCTGTTGCCAATCTTCTTTTTTCTTTTCTTTCTTCTTCTTCTTCTTCTCCCCAAAGCCCGCTAGTACATCGTTGTATATTCTAGTTGTAGGTCTTTCTAGTTGTGGCATGTGGGACGCCGCCTCAGCATGGCCTGATGAGCAGTGCCATGTCCACACCCAGGATCCAAACCGGTGAAACCCCGGGCGGAGCGTGCAAACTTAACTACTCGGCCACAGGGCCAGCCCCTAAATATTTCTTTAATCCATCACGTTGTTTATCTTCATTGCCATTATCTTAGTTGGGGCGCCCATCAGAGCTCAGTTGGATTGTTACAATGGTTTTCCAACTGGTCTCCCTGCTCCTAGTCTTACCATCTTCCAATCCTCCTCCAACGCGAAATGTACTCAAGTTCTATTCCCACTTAAAATATTTCCACCCTTTACCATCACCTACAGAATAAAGTTTTTAGCACAGCACCATCTGGTCCTTGTCTGCCTCTCCATATTGATCTCTGCAGCAGCCCTCCTTGTACCAGGGCAGTTAATTGAAATTTCTAGAACATGCCCTTCTCTGTACGTGCTATTCCCTCTTCAGGTCTCCCACGCCCAGTCCGGTAAGCTTCTGTGCATCCTTCAAGACTCTATTTGTAAATCAATTCCTTCGTGAGGTCTTTCTGTTAGTCTCATTACACCTGACAGTTCCTGTACCTTGAACATGACTCTGTTATGACAAAGCATATCATCTCATTGTAATTTGTGAGAGATTCTTCCCTACCCAAAAATAAGGTTCACCTCTAGTTAATGGAAAATTGAGGGAATCATCCCTTCATTCTTTGTCTCTTGAGTCCCCATGGGCAGGGAGAATAGGTATAAGAAACAGAGTCTCAAAAGAATTCTGACTTTAAGTGCAGGGAGGACTTGAATACGCTGAAGAGGCTGCTCCAGGGTCCATTCCTTTGACTCTGCCACTTACATGGTCTGATGTCACATGCTTTTCTAAGTTAGCATCTTTGATGAATTGAAAAAAGCACCCCAGAGAACAACGTATAAGACACTCTACCTGGGGAGAAAGACCCACAGGGCCAAATAAACTTGCCAATAATGCATCATTTTCCTGAGGCAGCAGCTTTTGTGTCATGAGCCAATGACTTCCTCTGACCTACCCATGTCATGTTGAAAATTAGGGATATGTGGAGTGTACAAAGGAAGAACAAGATTGATAACAGCCTTTGGGGGTATAGAAAGAGTACATACGACCTCTCATGTTACATCCAGCTCCTGCCTCGGCTCCCCAATCTGGGGGATTTGGGATTGGTTACCAGCTGACCTCTAATCTCCAGGATATAAAAATTTGGAAATGTTCTGATCCAAAAAAACCTGAAAGAAAAAAAGTAAGAAGGAATCTGGCTTTAAATGCTGCTTGTTTCTTGTTCATCATCTTCAAACGTTGTTGACTAAGTTACTGGTTTCCTGTCAGGTTTTGAGGATTTCCCCTTTTGTGTGCCCTCATAAAGACCAGCATCTGTACTTTCACCAACAGGAGTGGTTTTCTGGTTGAAGCAGACCAATATTGCCCAGGTCTAAGAGATCCAAAGAATCCATAAAAGAATTCAAGGAATGGGCTTAGCTACACTATTGGACATATAGTCAGAGAATTATAAATCCAAGGCAAAGGTGCATAGAAGGATGAAGCTGTAGGTTGCTTCTGTATGGTGCCATATGAGAAAATCAAAGGATGGGAGTTTAGCATAATGGAAAGAGTGTGAATTTGGAGCAAGGCAGGCCTGGGTTTGAGTCTCACATACTAGTTATGTTGTCTTAGACATGTCATTTAACTCCAGCACTTGGTTTCCTCTTTTGTAAAAATGGAGTTACTAGAAACCTTCCTTATGGAAGTGTTGTTAGCCTTAGAGATAATGCTTGTAGAATGCTTTGCACAAGAAACGGTAGTTATGATATTGGGTTTGTGTCAAGAGTGATGTAATAAACTCTGATGTCCCACCCAATTCCCCTGGGAACACTGTGTCAGGTCCACATCCAGTGACTGCTTGAGGCAGGCTTATAAAAGGCCTGGCTATTTTGGCTCAACTTGAAACAACTCTGAAGGACCATTCTGGTCCAGAGCTCCCCATGGCTCATCCAAGTCCACAGTAGGCCTGCATAGCAGCTCAGCTTTTCCTTCTGCCCATTCCAGCTTTCCTCCACTCCTTTCCATGGGTATTGATTCCAAGAATACTCCTTAAAAACATCTTGCATGCTAAATTCCATCCCAGAGTCCATTTCCTGAGGAACCTGACCTGTGACAAGTGATAAGGCAGGTATCCAATCCTGTGTTATTAATTACCTGTTGATCTGAGGTGCTGAGGCCCAAAAAAGACCCTGTCTCACCTTGGCCAGGTGTTAGAAGTATTTTAGAAAGACAGGCAAAGCATCAGAAAAACTGAGGGACAGAGAAAATCCCTAGAGACACATGGAATTTGCCCATAGGAAGGCATTTGATAATTTCCAGAAGTTGGAAACATCCTAAATTCTGTTCCACATGAGCCCAGGAGCATGGAGGTATTTTCCAACATCAACTCCCTAAAAAGAACTTGGCTATGAGATTCACATCAATGTAATTAAGCAGATATAATGATTAGTCTTTTCAAGTATTGAGCTTTTGATTTCCTTTCCAATGGCAAAGACCCAGCTAGAGACCTTCCTGGAAGTAGAGCCATGTTTTCCTTTCTCATGACTGTGTGTGGGTAGCCTAAGCAGTTATTTTGGAGCTGGGCTGTCTGCAGGCACCTTTCTTGTACCCATGGCATTTTAGCTGGGAGCCCCTTGTCCCACTAAAGTACAGCTTATGGAGTTAGAATCAGTAAACTGGACAAAAGGTAATACTTGGGAGGGACCAGCCCAGTGGCCTAGTGGTTGTTTGGCATGTTCTGCTTCAGTGGCCCAGGTTCAGTTCCTGGGCACGAACCTACACCACTTGCTGGTGGGGATGCTATGGCAGCAACCCACATACAAAATAGAGGAAGATTGGCACAGATGTTAGCTCAGGGTGAATCTTCCTCAGCAAAAGAAAAAAAAAAAAAAGGTAACACCTGGGAGACCAATCCTAAAATGAATTTCTAGCGTTAAGTTAGACTCTGCTTTGGACAGAGAGTCCATCTCCAAGAACATGATCCTTCTTGTTCTTCCCTACACTGATCTCACTGGGTATTAGGAGTTGGAGACCCAGGATGGAAGAGCTCCTCAGGTGAGATGAACTATTGCTAATCTTCAGCTGTCAGCCTGGTCATATCTTATCATTTAGTGGTTAGTCAACAACTACTTCCTGAGGATCACGTACAGGCACTAGGCTCTGCACCATCAACACAGACACCAGATACCACACTTCCATCTTGCTCGGTAAGGGAGAGGAAAGTGGACTTGAATACAGGAGGGGCAGCAGTAGGGGAGTTAAGTGGTAGAGATAGTGAGTGCTGTGAGATTAGAGGAAAGAAGATGGCTTTTCCCAAGTCACTTTTTCAGATGTCTCTAAACCCCGTATCTCTGCAGCCCTGAGAACGCTCAGGTAGTGCCTTGATCTGGGGAGGATCTCAATAGATAGGTGTTGAATTGAGAGTTTTTCCCAATGGTTTGTCATCCGTTTTTTGTTTTGTTTTGTTTTTGCCTTCAAATAGCACAATATTCAGATGGCAGCAGATGTGCAAGATTTTTTTCAGTGGTGATATCTTGACTAGTGTTGCTCTGCGGCCCTCAGGGGACTCTTCGTCTCAGTTTTGGTGGCCTTGATGCGCAGAGGCACAGAGATGACAGGGATGTGCCAGAGGCCTTGGGGGCACTGCTGGGCTCAAGTCTCCTGCCTCTCCTGCACTCACCCCTACTCTTTAGGCCAAAGAACTGCTGGAGGACCAGTGACACACTTCAGAAGTCTTGCCTCCTCTGATTGCTCTCTTCATCCCATTGCAAGGTCTGGGCCAGGGGTTATCTGATGCACAGGGACCTGGTCATCCCCACTCCATCCCTAGAGCACTTTAGGAGATACATCTCCAAGCCCAAGGGTTATTTATAGACCAAAAGGCATCTGGTGCTGCTTAGCTACTGAAGTATTACATCTGGGAGAAGCCTCGGGAAACTAACAGGCTCCAGGCCCCAAGGATCCATGCGTTCACCTCAAAGCATACCCTCAGCTTTTACCTCAGCCCAGGTTCAGAGGATCTGCCTCCGGGTAAGTTTAGGATGGTGTGGGGTGAGGTTGGGATACTTTGTCAGCCCCTTCCCATCCCTGTCATTGCCTGTCCCTTCTTCATTGGACAGTTGAAGAGTTCTCAATCTTATATACAGGGCCATGCAAATAAAACTTCAATGCCTACCCCTATCCCCCACCAGACTGTCACCCTTCAGGCCCTCCGTATAGAAATTCAGGAGCCCCACTGCCACCTGGGCTGTAGTCTAGGAAGCAGCGGGCCTGGGGAGGACAGAGGGAGGTAGAACTTCAGGATCCCTTCTGAGAAGATCCTGCAACAATCCTCACTTTATGAGGCTGGGGGCACTGACTGATCTGATAGGATTTTTCCATCTCCCGCAGTGGAATGTAAAGTGACCAGACTCATGAGGGATAATAGTTTCACATAATGGGTCTTCACTGTCTCAGGCCTGCTAGAGGCGCTTTCTAGAATTGAATGAATTCTGTTTAGTTACTCTTTCCATTTACCTTGAGCAATGGCCCTGAGTTTTTTAAATTAATTAAACTAGCGATAAATGTCTTAATAAACATCTTCCTTGTAAAGCTACCTGATTAACATTTTTTTTTTTACTTTTTTTATCCTAATTTAAGAAAAGATAAACCTAGGATGTGATTACTCTGGTCAACTAATAACAGAATCAGAGAATTTGGGCACATAAGGGGACATGAGATCATCTACACAAAGGGAAACTGAGTCTCAGAGAGGGATATGACTTGCCCAAGAGATCGCAATCAGAATGTGCCTTTCCTTACTCCCATCACCTCCGTCCTGCCCCAAACTCCCTGCTCAAAGCTAAACACAGAAGACTTGACTCTTTGGCATGGAAGGACATCCTCAGGGCACATATCCTATACCCACCCACTTCCCCACTCTCTGATGGAGAGAAAGCTGGATCCTCTCCCAGGAAGGAAAGAGATAGGAGAAGGTTCATCATGATAGACAAGACTAAAGTCTGACTGAGATGCTTAAAGAGTGCAGATACAGGGAGAAGGAAGCAGCAGGCAGAGGTCTGGGACAGCTCCCAACCCACCTCCTAGATAAGAGACTCTAGAGGCCAGGAGAGGAAATGTTCTGGAACAGACTCCCTGCCACTGACAGCAGAACTGAGGTGAGAAAAGGGAGCTCTTTCTCTGAATTAGGTCTGAGGATAACTGCCAGCTTTACTTTCTGACGATCTAGTTCCTGGCAAAAGTGCCGTGAGTTAGAGCTACTTAACCATTGATTGTAACTGGGGACTTGAACGTTTCAGCCAGCGTTGGGCAGCTGCCCACTGTCATGAAAGGCAGAATTTGAAATCCTGGCAGGAAGGAGCAGAGTTAGTCTGTAGTAGTTAACTCACAAGCCTACTGCTCTGGAGTTGGTACTCTTGGTGTGTGACAACATGAAAGCTGAATAAAAGTGAGAGTTGTGCTGACAAAGCTGGATTGTGGTGGGGCTCAAATATGCACTTTTTCTCCCCCTCACCCTTGCATCTTTGCTCCAGGAGCTGCTAGTGACCAACAGGTGCTGGAGAAGGGTTGATCTAGTCCAGTGATCCCCAGACCATCAGCATCAGCATCACCTGGGAACTTGTTAGAAGTGCAAATTATCAGGCCCCACCCTAGACCCACTGAACCAGACACTCTAGGAGAAGGTCCCAGCATTCTGTGTTTTTAACAAATCTCCAGGTGACTCTGATGCAAGCTCAAGTTTGAGAACCACTGGTCCAGAGCATTGTATGGTTCTGAATTGGTTGTTTATTAAGGAAACTCTACTTCCAAGTGAGCTAGCCATCTGCCTCCTACCTTGGCTTCCCCTTCTGTCCCCCTCCACCACTGGGCCAGCCACTATTGGGAGATTTGGGGTTTATCCTATTGCTTTCCCAGGACTCAGCATTTGTACAGTAAATCATCTCTCCACCATCTGTTTGGCTGCTGGCTCCAGCTGTCTCACTCCTCTCTTGGGACTCTCAGTTTTGTTGTTCCAATGAGGTTGTTTCCCCTTAGTGCTAAGAAGGGAGGCATTCATAAATGTGCCTTTGTACCATCAGTGGGACCACAGACCAAGAATCAGGCCCTGGAACCCTACCTCAGAGTTCTGTCTGCTATGATGAGGGACTTTTCAAGGGAGGCCCTGGCTGTCCTCCTCAGGAGAAGCATTGAGAACGACCTGTCTGGTCCTAGCTAGGGATGCCAGCAGCTATGAGTGACTGGGTGAGCTCTAGGGAACTTGGAACTCCTATCAGAGAGCCATGGGCTCTTCTTGTCCATCCTTCCCCTTTCACCTGCCAGCAGGATTCCAGGGAGAAGAGTCTGAGATTACAATTAGCTCCCATAGCTTGAACACCAGGGAGAATCGGTTATGTTTTTTGAGAGCGATTGAGGCTCTGGGTTAATTTAATGAAAGACATTTTGCCAAATGCTTTTTTCTCTTTATTCTAGTTAATGCCGAGGCATTGAAAGGTATAGTGTCTATTGGGATTGTGTCATATCTCATCTTCCACCTCACTCAGCTCCTCCTTCCCGAGTGTCAGGAGCATATCAAGAACGTATCATAAGAAGCTCTGCCTTTGTCTCCATGGGACTGAGTAGAAGCTGCCAGGCCTCTGAGGGGTTTGGGTTGATGGCATATATTTGAGATTTTCTGCTCTTCTTCCAACCTAGTCTGGGAAAATAGCCTTGGGGTATGAAGAAGATGCAAAGCTGTGCTTTGAGAGCCCCGTGGGGCAGATTTACAAAGTGGTAGCCATCCCCGTAAGCTTGGGGATACTGCACAGGTGGACATGTAGCTAGGCCCCACCTGAGTGTTCTTGTCCAGGGAGGACTGGCTTCTGTTTCATGAGTGCACAGTCTTGTTGCTAAGGCCTTGTCATGTTCAAGTCCATTCAGCCTAAAGGAAGAAGAGATCACAGGAGGCAGACGAAGTTGGCAGGAAAAATATACAAGGTTTTTATGAACTAAATTTTGTCTCTTGTTTTGAGAGTCACAATAATCCTTTGAGAAATGTAGTATTACCCTTGTTTTATAGATAAGGAAACAGAAGCTCAGCTAGATCCGAGGTCACAAGCTTAGAAGTGGCAGAGCAGGGCCTTGACTCCAAGCCTAGTGCTCATCCTCAGTGCCTGCACCTTCCCAGAGCCCTTCCCCTCTCTGCTCCCTTTGCCTCCACCTCAACTTTTAGGGAACATGAGTGACCTGATAGGATAGTTGAAAAAGAGACCGCACCAGGACTCAAAAATCCTGGCCCCTTCATTATGTGTGTAGCTCAGAATCTGTCAGATTTGTTGGTACTGACCAATAAACAGTTTTGTGCTGGAGGGAAATTGGGGGAATAGCTACAGGGTTATGAGAACCAGTGAGGATGCCAAGCTTGCCATATTTCTCCTTACCCTGGCCACCCAGGCCCCTCTCTACAAGCCCAGAAATTCTCAGATTTGCCAAATAACATGTGCATTTGCCCTTTCCCCCAAAGAAAGAAGAAGAAAAGGCAATAAAGTGAGTTTTCAAACTGTCTTTAGGGTTGGAGGCAAAGAGATGTCTCTTTCCCCCAAAATGCTGGACTTTCTTTACAAGTTGTCTGAAGCAACACTGTATGATAGGCATAGTTGTCTGAGAGGGGGTGTGTGTGAAAGAGGGAGAGAATGTGAGCTTCACACAAATACAAAGAAATGAGTTTTTTTTTCTAACAAGCCTGAGTTTCCAGTAATTCTGCAGCTGTGACATGACTAGTCCACTGAGATATTCAGCACTGGCTTGAAAAATACCACCAAAATTTTTTCAATCAAAGCAAGAAACAGTGATGCTTCTAAGAGTCACCTTACTGTAAAAGTGGCCTCAACATGGGAAAGAGAGACAAGTTTGCTTTTCTTCAGGCCCAGCTCAGGTTTTTTTTTCTTTACCGAAACTTCACTGGGTACATAGGAATGAGGACGCCTTGGCTCTTGAAGTATTGTCATTGACATCTCAATAAGTCTAACTTTCTTGTTAGCCTGCTCCTCCAAGCTGCACACAGCAGGTTTGAAGGTTCTGCTCAGAGGGTCTTAATTGCCCTTGTTGAGTCTGGTTTGGGCCATCTGTGCTGACAGAACACTTAGTCTCCCTCCCATGATATTTACGTGCACATAGTGACCTCCATGTTCCAGACTGAATGTGTTTTCCCTACCCCATGTGCACATCCTCTGCATGCCATACCCTGTGGTGATGAGCTAAGCCAGTTCCCTGACCTGAGCAAGGCCTGCCAACAGGGCTCCCTGAGGCACCACGCCTGACATCTGAACCTACAGCTATCTGTTTCCATCACGGCAATCACCCTAACTCCTTGAGTTTACTTGTAGATTGGGAGTTTGGGGAGAAGACGGTGCTGCATTTATTAAGAATTGTGAGGCCAGTGGCTGCAGGAGTCTGGGTAAGCACTTTCTCTCTCCCTCTGAACTCTGACTTCCCTGTGCTCGGGGCCTGGCCTCTCCCCTAGGAGCCACATGGCCACCTGGCCCAAGTGCCTGCATGGGCCCCATCCTTCCCAGCCTAACTGCTGAGTTCTGGGGTCCATCTCCACCAAGAGGGCATGCCTGGTCATGACTCAGCTAGGGCCCTGCTGCATGTGGGGTGACAAGCTACACAAGGCAGTATGGCTGCGTTTCTCCCTGGAATGAACTTCCCCATCTTCTCCCAAAGTGAGCTGGCTGCTTTGCTAGCTGCAGCCTCAGCAGTTCCTGGACAGATTTTGTTGGTTTACGACTAAGCAAGAAAAGTGGGCTCCTGGGCCAGGAGCTCAGCAGGGGTTCCCTCCCTTCAAAGAAAATTTAAATTAGCATGGAAGGTGCTGAGGTTCAGAAATCTGGGGCCCTGCTGTTAGCATTTGTGCCCCTCATCCTCCTTCTGCCTCAGAAAGCTGGGCTGGGTGTAGTGTGCGAACTGTACCCCAGTATAATTGATTCACACTTTTCGGCTCGGCTTACTCATGCCACAGCCCTGAGAAGATGAGCTAATGTGGCTGTTCCTCTGTGACATTAAAGTGCTTTTACACAGCATCTGCTCCTGAACCTGGCAGACATCGGCACACACAGGCCCTTAGAGGACACTGATAAGGAAAGCAAAGAAGTCTTTGGCCTACAAGAAATTTAAAGTTAAGCTAGAATAGAGGCTGAGATACCATCCCACCCCTGGTGCCTAGTCCTTCCCTGTCAGACCCCCGAGGGCAACTTGTTCAGCTCTTGCCCTCCCCTCCAGGCACCCTCATCCTGGCGGAGCATTTTTCCACTCTAGACTCTTGTGTTTTTGGACTGCAGGTGCTACTCCCTCCATCTCATCTCTGGCTTCTTCTAAGGGCCTATGAAACTGTGGCCACCTCCCATTTCACTACATGTGGCCCAGGATCTGAAAGTTGTGATCGCTCTTGCCTTCTTCATGATTCACGTAGTTTGCACTTAAAATCTGCCTGCCTCACAGGGAAGCTGGATTGAATAAGGCGAGGCCTAATGAGTGGGGGGCTTTCTACATGTTAGCCCTTCTGATCAGGGTGCACCATGCCGGAATCCCTGGGATTGACTCCATGATGGGTTAAAATAAAGCTTCTCTCCTGCCCAAGGGTATTGATTAGAGGCAGAAAATGCAATTAACCTTCAATAGTTTAAGTCACTGGCCAGGACTGCTTACTGCTTGCTGCCTCAGTCCCTTCCCTAAAGAATAGACACACCATAGAGAACCAGAAGCAGGCGCTCTAGGGAGGAGCAAGCTTATGAATCCTCCCAACCTCGGAGTTTGCTGCATGATCCAAGGGGCTCATGAATCATTCTGTGCACCATATAGAAGAAGAAATGGTTCACTTACATATGCACTATTATTTTCAAATATGTGTAGATACTATTGTGGCTCATAAAATATAAATTTCTTTTTTAAATGGGTGTTTAGTAAGTTATCTTGACCCAATAATGACTTTGGGAAGAGAGTAACCTCAGAGGTTTAGTTCGATTTGGGTGCGCTGCCTCAGCTCACTTGTCCTGAAGATAAACGTCCTCAGGCTTGGAGTCCTGACTTTGTGACTAGACAGTAATCACCTGCCAACGTGCATGCCTGTTTCTCCCATGTAATCAATGGCACAATATGCAGCACACAACACTCGATTTAGCCACAGCACCAGGGCAACTGCAGGCAAAGGGAAAAGAAGATAGAAGTCATTGGACTGCCATTCACCAAAAGAGAAGAGTGGCTGCAGTAGAGTATTCCAGAAAGCTCCAGGCATAGAGCAGGGAGACTATGGAGAGGGAATCCTAAGTCACAGGTGGCATCTGGAAGTGCAAGGGGACCCCCAAGGCTCTCAAGGGAGTTTAAAATTCCTACAGTCTGGCCCCAGCAAGCAGCTTGTTGTAGGGAGCCCCCCATGATGGTTCAGCTGAATGCGACTTCCCCCCAAAGGCTGCCTTAGACTCCGCCAGCCACAGGCATGACTACTCCGAGAGAGGGGCAGGTCGCAACCCTCTGTGGAAGGTGCCACAGCAGTGCTCTGAGTTGATTCTGCCTTTGTGTTTCTGCTGGGAATTTAAACTTCATGGAATTCTGCTATAAGGAGGAGCTCTGTTCCTACCTCTCTCTGCATTCCCCTCATCTCCCACCCTCCAGTCTTGGAGAAACAGCAAAGAAACAGCTTCTCTTCATTAGTCTACACTAGAGCCTTGTAGCTCAAAACCACGCGTCTACCACTAGTAAATGGGAACCTGAGGGAACTATGACTTCGTGGTGGGGAGCAGGGGTTTCACCAGATGCTGAGAAATAACAAGAAAAAGATTCTTTTTATTGACATAGGGAATGTATAATGGGATATGTCTTTTTTTCATGACTACCTGAAGAGAAGAGCCAGGCTTCATTTTTCTTTCTGTGAAGTGGGAGAACTCTGAGGTTGGATCTACTGAATTTAAAGTTCTTACCAGCTAAGAGCCCTACAAGTGTATCTGAGCTGCTGGCCCAGGAGAATGAGTTGTTTCTGTGGAAGACAATTCTTATTAAAATTCTGTGTGATTTCTTTCACAGAGGCATGTTTTCTCCATCGCTACCTCAGGCTCCTGCTTATACAGTTGTTGTATGTATGGAAGCAACCTTCTCCTGCCATTAAAACTCACCCTAGCTGATCACAGTGTAGTGGCCAGCTAGGTGCAAAGTAAAATTTGTAGAGAAAAAAATTCACAATATGCGACTGTCTCTTACTATTCCATTTCAGTTGCTCTAAGGGAGATAATAGTACAGAATATGCTGCTTGGGATAGAGTTAAAGATTATTTCCTCTGCTCTCGGAGGAACCTTAAAAGTGAATGTATCACACTGTGGGGCATCAGTAGGGAAACAGTTGACAGCCTGTGCCCAAGAAGACAATTGTCAATGGAGTCCTTTGAAAGACCTGATCTGTGGCCTGCCACCCAGAAGTCCCAATGTGATTCCTAACAAGTCTCTGTCCTGAAAGGACCTGTTTTGGTGGGAGATGGAAAGGTGTAAGAATGGGGCCTGCTGCCTCAGGATTATGTTCTGAGAGGGAGCATGGGGCCAGCAGAAGAAGAGGGGGAGATGCCCACATGGCACCGCCTTCCTTAGTTGAGCTGTCCACTCACTCATCCTTCCAATCCTGCAAGGATAAGCTGCTTAAGATATTTGCTGAGAGATTCAATACCCTGCCCTAGTTCTCCTTACAAAGTATAGGGTGAGCCAGCAGAGGGGGAAGAGGTGAGGTAGGAACATTCTGTGGAGGTCTTAAAGATGTGCCCATTCTTGGAGAAGGGCCAGGCCCTTCTATGGTTACCCATGGCCTTGGGCCCTGGCACAAGTGAGATACTTTGGCTCTCCTAAGACAGCCTTGATTTGGATGCAGAATTAGACACAGACCCACCAGAGTTGGTCATTTCAGCTGAGCTGCGGAGACCGCTGGGGACAGACCCAGAGACCACCGTCTTGCAGAGCTCCAGATGTTCTGACGGTTTCCTGCAAGTTGTTCTCCTCCCACCTCATCCTGATACTCAGGCAGGTCCCTGAATGAGGAGGTTATGGGTTTAGAAATGGCCTGATTTCCTAACATTTTGTGAAAGGTTTTAGCCAACCTTCTACCTTCTATTCATTCAGTCATTCAGTTATTCAACAAATAATTATTGAGGACCTACCTGCCATGTGCCAGGCCCTATGCTAAGTTCTAGGGGAGGGCTCCTGCCCCTATGAAAATTATAGTCTAGAAAGGGAACAGATAATAAATAAATAAGTAAACAAATCAACAAGATAATTACGGATTGTTGTCAATGCTATAAAGAAACTAAAGAGGATAAATGAGATAGAAACTGGGAGGGGCCATCCTATAGGGGAAAGACCTCTCTGCAGAGAGGACGTTTGAGCTGAGACCTCGAGGAGAGGAGTGGCTGAGGGAAGAGCTGGAGGAAGAGCATTCCAGGCAGACAGAATACAAAGTCATGAAGGCAGAAAAGCCTTGGAGCATTCAGGAACAGAGAGGCTGTGGCGGAGAGTAGTGAGGAGAATGATTTGGGATGAGTTCAGAGAGGAGGCGGGAGCCAGGTCGCACAGGGCCTTGGAAGCAGTGATCAGAGTTTGGATTTTTCTCTGAGAGCAACAGGAAACCACTGACAGTGTTAAGTAGGATGGTAACATAATTAAAGATCACTGTGTGCTTGCTCCCGTGTTGTTTGTAACGGCAGCTTAGCAACAATTTTGTCAATATGTAACTAGGTAAATAAATTTAGGTTCATTCCAGTGGTATGCAGCAGTTAAAAACTGTGAGGCATATCTATGTGTACTGCTGTAGAAGGTTTTGCAAGATACCTTAAGTGGGGGAAAATCCCAAGAAACAGGATACAGTGTGAAATATGCCACCAATGTATTTTAAAAAGAGGAGATGTATGTGTATATAGGCTTGCCCATGTATAAAATACCACATTAGGGATACAGAAGAAGCTGGTAAGGAGTTGCTTCTAGGGAGGGGAACTGAGGCACAGGGTGACTAGGGTAGAAGGGAGACTTACTCTTCGAAGTATACCCTTTTGTATGCTTGAATATCTTACTATGTGCCTGTATTACTTATTCAGCAAAAAAGACATTATGTCTATATTGTCGTCACCTTGGTTGCTGAGGGGAGAGAGGGAGAGCAGAAGCAGGGAACTGGTTAGAAGGCTCTGGCCATTGTCCAGTTGAGAGATGGTGGTGGCTTAACCAATGGGATTGGTAATGGGGATGGAGAGAAGCGGGAGGATTCGAGATACACTTTAGAGGCAGAGCCAGCTGGACTCAGTATATTACATGCTGACGTTCCCTACGCCCAAACTGACGTTCCCCCGGGAAGCTTTGTGCGTTAGAGGTTGAGACGGGGCTTAGCTGACTCTACTCTCACCTCTTGGACATCTTTGTGGAAGGAAGGGTTCTTGGGCTCCTTCCAGGTGCTAAAAGCCACCGAATTCTAGAGAATATCTAATGCATCACAATACGGAGGGCAAAGTTATGAATATGTGCCCCTTCCATAGCCTCATGCAACTGTTATAAACTAATTTTAATAACTAGCAAAATAAAGTTACAGTGAAGAACCCCTCTCATTTCTCAATAGAGTTTTCTTTCTTTGCAGAGAGATGCCAAAGGCCAGTACCTGTTTGACCTTCTTTGCCACCACCTGAACCTACTTGAGAAAGACTATTTTGGAATCCGCTTTGTGGACCCAGATAAGCAGCGGGTAAGTCAATATTCAAAGTACAAATGGAGGAGAGGGTTAGTCACTAATCCTGAAGCTTTGAGCTGTCACTCATGTTCAGAGTTTAGCAGTTGGGTGTCATCTCTTCACATCATATTATGAGACCTGGAGGACACCTTAGCAGAGCTCATCTAGTGTAGCCCACCATTTTACAGATGCTAAAATGGTGGCCTAGAAGCTGAAGTGATTTCCCCAAAGTTGCCCAGTTGGAGGCAGAGAGTGGGCTTGTGTTGTGGCCTTGGAGCCCAGGTCACTGGTTGGGCCTCTCCTGCCCCCTTTCCAGTAAATGGGCTGACCCACATTGTTCTGGTTAGGAACGGCCTCACGCAATATGCTACGCTGACCCAATCTGGGCAGGACAGAGATAGAGCTGAATTGACATGGGCCTTTCAGCGCCTTGCAAATCCTGCTGTTCTTGTTCTGCTCCACACAATACAGGCAGCTCTACAGACACAGGGCATTGACAAGGGCTATGATATTCCAGACAGGAGAACAAGTCCGTTATCCCCAGGCCCCTGCCTACCCTCCAGCTCCATCTCCCCTGACCTGTCTTCTCCCTGCTGTGGCCCAGCCAGACAATACTGTGGCTCTCCAGACAGGTCATCCTTCTCTCTTTTCAGAGCCTTCACCTATGCAGTGCCCCCTGCCTGGAACATTTCTTCTCCCTTTCCTCACTTCTCCACATTTTTCTTCTGGCTAACTCCTTCTCACACATACGGTCTCAGCTTAGACTTTTACTTCTTCCGGGAAGTCTTCCCTAACCCCTACTCTGAGTGAGGGGCCCCTCCTATGTGCCCCCACATGCCCTGTGCTAACTACCCCTGTTGGAGCGCTGATTACACCACGCTGACTGCCTGTTTGATTACTTGTGTTCCCTGCAAAAATGTAAGTTCCATGAGGGCATAGACTTTATCTGATTCATCACTTTTCACATAGAACTAGCACAGGGCCTAGAATGTAGTGGATGTTCAATAAATATTTGCTGAAGGAATGATGAGTGGGTGAGGTAGCGGTTTACAGTGCCATATTTCTCCCCTCCACTTGCCCAGCTGCGCCTCTAGCAGACACCTGCAGTTTCCATAACTTTTGTCCATCAGCCCTTTTCTCTCTATGGGGAGGTACTCTCTGCATCCTCATTGAAGTGGGAAAGTATGCAGAAGCATTCAGGCCCTGATGTCTCCCTTCCCTACACCCCTGCCCAGTGCCCACTCTTCTTTACCACCCTCCAAAAACATTATCACTATGAATCCCAGAGGATCCCCCTTTCATGGGTCCACTGATTTTCTTCACAGCTCCAAACATGGGCTTCATCTCTGCTGCCACTTGGGGGCCCTGGAGCCCCAGAGGGCACAGCCTCCCAGCAGTGCCCAGGGCCACAGATAATGCATGAATGGGTACCTCCTCACCGTGCTAGAGTCAAGTGCTGTTTTGTTCTTTGATGCTCTGAGCCACTGGGTCCCCAGGTAACATTTAGGGTTTTCTGCTAAACACATGAGCTTTAGGAAAGACTCAAAAGGACTGTATCCCTTTCCTTTGACAAGCCCTGCCCCACTTTGCTGCCATATTTAGTTCCTCCTGGCTCAGCAGAATTTTTAGCATCACCATTGTTTGGAAAGTAGTGTTGATGTCAGCCCCTCACTCTATAAAGGCTCCACTGTCTTGATATAAATGCTGTCCTTAACTCTGGATCATAGTATAAGATCCTCGAAAGTGCTGTGACACCAGAAGTTATACGTCCTCACCGTGCCGCACGTAGGTGTCCATTCACTATATAATGATGGACTGTTTTTACAAAGGAGTTTTTTTTGTTGTTTGTTTATTTTTTTGATCTGAGCCATTTCTCCTTGAGAAGGAAGGCCAGTTACCCCAAGGTCTCTTCATCGCCCAACGAAAGTGGTGCAGGAAGAAAAAAGGGCAAAATGTATCCTGTTCATTATTTTTTAGTTAGGTCAGAGTGTGCTTGAGGAGATATAAGAGAGTATGTGGAGGTGGTAAAGATTAAAAGCAGAAGGAGATAGAGAAAAATAAGGAAATGGGGAAAAGGAGAAGTAACATTTCTATGAAGTGGCTGCTGTGTGCTGGGCTCTGCACTGAAGTGAATGTGAACCTAGATCTTTCAACTGATGTTTACTGAGTGCTGAGTTGTATCAGGCACTAAGCTGAGAGCTTTACGTATGTTACTTAATCATTACCACAAATGAGATGAGTATCCACAATTATAATATCCTTTCTCCAGATGAGTAAATAAAGTCTCAGGTTAAGTAACTTCCTCAAGGTAAGTGGCAAAGCCTGTTACCTGTCTGACACCAGAGCCTGTATGGTTTCTAAGGTTCCTTGCTGAATTCATACCTGGTCATCTTGAAATTGTGTGATTCTGTGCCTTCTTTGAGCCGTTAAGGAGAGTAGAGAGGCTTGAGGGGGTACTTGAGAACTGTGGGGAAACGGACCTGTAAAGACCTGTTGTCCTAGGTCTACTAATTCATGTTAGAGATGGAGGAGGAAAGCTCCCGGCTCCCCTGGGGTATGAGGCCCTAAAATTCACCTCCTCCCCTGGGGCGCCAGGCAGTCAGAACCCAGTGCTCACATCCATCCGATCACTGCCTGCTCTTCAGGGGTCTCCATGGGGTCTGAGAATCCTCCTGGTCCCTCCTGGAGAGCTGCCCTTACTCCCCCTCTCCCCTGTTCCTGACTCAGGCCCAAGGTCTCAGCCTGCTCTCAGCCTCTGCTTTGCACCCTTTCAAGCCTCCAGAGTCTGAAGATTGTGCCACAATGGACCATTAACGCAAACAGGAGGAAACTCCCCTCTCTGAACCTTCTGTTCCTCTTCTCTTGACCCCTTCTCCCCAACCCTGTGTTATCTGTTTGCTGGTGAAGCTGGGGCCTGGATTTAGCCAGAGAGCTGCAAAAGTTAATTCTGGTAATCAGCAAATACTTGGGATCCTGTCAAGATTTCTCTACCAGACCCTTAAAATCTCTTGGACAAGTTGTGACTGCTTTCCACTCCTTCCCACCGCCCCCCCAATCTCTTCCACCTCCCCCTTTCTGGAGCTCCCACTCCAGTACAAACTAAAGTCTTCTCCAGCTGTTGCCAAGGGGAATGGCCTTTTTGTCATTCAGCTCCATCTGCCTTCTGCTGATAATGGATCTCACAGTCATTCCTCTCAGTTTCTATCTTCCTTTGTTTATTTATTTTAATCTATCAGTCTAATATCTAGAGGCGTTCTGTTTACTGAAACCCAGACGCTTGTTATGTTCTCCTCACTGTACACAATTCCGGTGTGCTCTGAACAGACAGGCCTCCTCCGCCTTCACAGGCACAGCCTGGAACCCCAGTTGTTTCCGTGCAATTTCATCTCTTGCCTTTGCTTCCCTGTGAAGCCGAGTCGTGGTGGGCCGTGTAATGTGAGAAGGACCTCTTAACCACATTGAGTGGCTATAATGAGTTGTCAGCCTCGTGGGAACTCAGATCAGAGGAAGCAAGAGAGCAGAATGTCAGCCCAGATTATCCATGTGGAGCTGACGGAAGAACTGGCTCTTAGTGGGTCCATTAACTGCATGACCCTTGGCCCAACCCAGAAGGTGAGAGCTGGGCATCGAGGGAGGCCAGGATGCTGTCTGCATGGCCCTGGCTGCTTTCCTGCCAGAGGGAAGACTCTGCCAAGATGTTACACTAAAGGGAAATAGCCAGAAAACAGGGAGGCATGGACCCAGTTCCTTCATCCGTTCGACAGGAGCATATTGAACACTGTGCTAGGCACCAGTGATACAGTGGTAAACAAGACAGAGTTTTCTACCCTTGCAGAGCTTATGGTTTTAAGCTATTTCCAGATAATAAAACCCCTAATAATAGCAGTTCTACCTCTCTGCAAATTGTCAAGGTTCCTGATTAGCATAAAAGCAGTAAACATCAATAATGCATTTTATAAAGCATCCACCTTGAACTGGGAAACAGATAGAGAATGGTCTCATTGCTTCCTTACCCCAAACATAAGTACTATGGGAAAAAATGTAATGCTACTATATCCTGCCTCTATGAAAATCCAAGGGAAACAGAATACTATCCTACACATTGGTTGTGGTTAGTTATCTTAAGAGACTTAGACTTTAAACATCCCTGGATGCCAAGGAATCCTGGATACATATTCCCTAACACAAGGATTGGCAATATGTTACTCAAACAAAGATGAAATATGCACCAGTCATCCCTGCCTTCTCACCATTTATGAAATTCCGCCTGTCAATACTTCCTAGCGCTGCTACCAATAGCCTCTGTCTCTCCCCCCGACACACACCACTCCCTCCTCCCCCACCAAAAACAGTTGGTGCCTAACAAAAACACACACAACCCATTAAAGTCAGCATTTCGCTACTCAAGCCAGGTGGGGCTTTGTCTCCCTCACACATACATGCATTCACTTGTGTTTACTGGTATGCCAGAAACGTGTCTCAGAACTTTGGCACCCTGCTTTGGAAGGTGGCATTGCCAGGGAAGCCGAAAAATGGCATCTGAAGCTGGAACTTTTTCCCCCATCACAGCTGGTTCCATGGTGAACTTATTTCAGAAAATCATATCATTCCTTACTCTCCAAGCCTACATATCAAAAGCTTCGGGGCTGCTTTCACCCTGGGCTTCAATCTGTCTAGTTATTTAAATTGGATAAAACAAGTTATATTTGACACTGCTTCTCATTAGGGTTTTCTTGTCTGTGTTCTCTGTTTCAGCATTGGTTGGAGTTTACAAAGTCTGTGGTGAAGCAACTGAGATGTAAGTATTCTCCACAGAGAGACAGAAGCCTCACCCCTGGGGAGGGTGGGATGGAACCCCCTGCTTGTAGTCAGTCTTGGTAATTTTCCACTGTTCTGCACTTAAGTTGGCCCTAAACATGTGAGGATTTTCTTCTGATGGTTCACAGGCCTGTGCATCCTAGTGGGGAGGGGAGCCCAGTCACCTCCAGGGAGGGTCTCTCCTGATGGACACCTCTTCTTCTCTGCAGCCCAGCCTCCCTTCACCATGTGTTTCCGTGTGAAGTTCTACCCCGCAGATCCTGCTGCCCTGAAAGAGGAAATAACCAGGTAAGGCTGAACACACTTCCCTCAGCCACAGGACCTGGTGGAGAGGATAGGAAAGAGGGACTGTAACCTCTTAGATCCTCTGTTTTGGAAACTCCTAACTCTTATAGGCAAAGAATTCTTCCTAAATACAGCCTTACCTCTTCTGTATTCATTTCCACGTGCTTTCTTTGCTTACACCCTCAGTGGAACTGGAACAGAGTGAGCATCTTTCCTTCAAGAAGTGTGAATACTTCATCTTAAACTGGTTATCTGCGAAGGGAGTAACTAATTAATCAAAGGCCTTTTTTCTTTTACCAATGATGTGGCCTCTATGGATGTTTTTGGAGAGGGCTGTGTTGCTGCTTATTTTGGGGGTTGAAATAGACTCCAGTGGCCTAATGTACCTGGGAAATGCCAAAGCACGACACTGAAAGACAAGCTGGGAAGTACAGAAGATTTTAAATCCAAGTGGGTAAGCTCCAGTGTGCTGATGGATCCAGTCCGTGACAAACTCTTCATTGTGGGGATCATGTTCTGTGGCGGACAGGCAGCTGCATGGAATGAATCCTGTTCATCTAGGACCACTTCAGGATGAGAAAGAACCTCTGTGCCCACACCATCCTACAAGAGGGTCAATGAATAGGAGCTTCAAAGCTTCCCCAGGGTTTTGCATATGTGAGCCAAATTCACTCTAAAAGTCTTACCTCAGAGATTCAGGAACTCTCTGTAACAGGGATCCTTAATTTTTATATTAGGGATCTAATTTTGATATTAGCAAAACCTTGATATTACCGTGTAGGGGGTTGGGCCCTAGGTGAAAAGGTGATGCCAGAGAATCCTAAAGATGAGGAAGAGATGGCTCTACTCCCCTCCCTAAAGCCCTGGAGAAAGCAAAGGTTGGGATGAGGCCATTGCCAGTCATAGAGACTGTCCTATAAGGCCTCGAGATGTGCTTCTAGATCCTGAATTGCTTGGGAAAATCTCAAAGGAAGGAAGAAAAGGGAAGAAGGAAGGAAGAAAGAATATGGAATTATGTTCACTTCTTTTCTGAAGAGTGGTGCCACTGGCTTTAAATCAAATAAAAGGAGCAAAAATTTCTCTGAGAAGGAAAATGAGGAAATGGAGAGAAAAGAGGGCAAGAAGTAGGAGTAAGTGCATAATGCAAAGGAAGCGAAGAAATGGGAGACAGAGGGAAAGTGACTTCTTCGCATGGGCCCCAGTGGAGGTTGAGGGGAATCTTGTGATGGAGTCAGAAGGATCAGGACAGTTGTTTCCTCCAGATGCTCAGGGCAGTGTGCACCCACCTTCATTGAAGCACCGAGGACAGTGAAGTGTGAAGGTAGAACCAAACTCATGCTCCTTACACAGCACAGAAACTGCAGGCTCTGCTCACCCACGTGGCAGCGGATGTGGCTCCCACTTTGTTTCTGAAAACCAAGCTTGTCATATTAATGAGCAATCATGTGGCTTTAAGCAGGAGAGTGAGGATAGAACCACTATGTTTAACAACTTAAACAGAGAGGAGTTTGGCAAAGCACTAGCCTGCCCTGCTCATGACCTCCAGAGATTTGCCTTAGCTCTGAGCCTGCCCACCCACCTCTCTCTGGAAAGAGGTGATGATGCCAGGGCAGCCCCAGAAGTCCACACTCTGTGCACATGTCAGGAAACTTAACACATCTTTGCTGAGAGCTTGGCACCTCGCCTGCTAACACCATGCATCAGGGTTGCCTGGTCTCTACCTCACTGGACCAACAGTGGGATGAGAGGGCTTGGTTTAACACAACTCAGTGTGCTGCCAGTGAGAACACGACAGACACATGGCTTTCTGATTTGATTAAAAAACAAAAATATATGGTTATCTTGGCCCTTAGCAGGAGCTCTTAACAATACCATTTTCTAAATCAAATGTCACTACATAAGTCGAATGTACAGACCCTCCTACTCAAGAAGCAGCATAGACCTGGGAGCTTAGATCCTATTTTTGCCACTTGTTGGATATAAGGCCTTGGACATAACATATTTAACCTCTCTGACCTTCAGATTCCTTATTTATAAAATGAGGATAGTAATAGCTACCTCAGAATTGTTGGGAGGATTAACCACTACACTACGGTCTTGTACTTCTTCATACACTCCCCAATGAGCCTTGCACTGAGCCAGGTCTCACTGTCTGTTTGCTACCAGACTGATTACATGGTCCATGGGCCCTAAGGACTCTGTGTGAGGCACAAGTACAGTTAGCTCTGGTGTTCTCCTTTGCTTATGTGAAAAGGCACTTATTGTCTGATAATCCCCACCCTCCTCTGTCCCCATTCCCCACAAGCTAGAATCCTAACACTTAAGCAACTAACTTTTGAGGACTCAAAGAGAAAGCCATCCCAGGTAATCATCCAAGTCCTGGTCAGTGCAGCATGAGGACCATGGCCAGGCCTCTCTGCAGGTCAGCAGACATCAAAGATACTGACAGGTGTGTGAGCTCCTCTCCCTTCTGCACGCATTTGTGCTGACCATCCTCGACTATTCGCCTTCGTTCACCACTTCACGAGCCTTCCTTCCCTAGAATGCATTTTCCAAGCTTCTTCAGGAGAGTGACCCACAGGAGTCTTTGTGCCCTCTCCTCTGTGAGGCCGTCTGTGGAGGCCCTGGAATTAGCTGTATCTTTCTCCTCATTCATATCCCTGCTGATCTTAGGAGAGTGGGTACCTGCCCCAGCCTCACTCAATTCCCATAATTCATTCCTGGCTTAGAGCCCTCCACACCACCTTCATGCCAAACTAATTTAGCTGTCAGTGTGTTATTTCCAGCAGTACTGGTCCTAAATTTCACTGCCGTCTCAGCTATTCCCATAGAGCCAGGCTGAGAGGAGGGGATGAAGTAGGGAGTAAAGGACTGCGCTTCAATTTATCTCTTGGACTCTTCCCAGATGATAAATTTAGTTGCCAAATCCTGATTAATCTCTTTTGTCATTTTTTAAAGTAATAAATAGATTTTCTTGTCTGAGCTAGAGATAAGGCAGAGAAAATGGGGATTAGGCACCAGATTTAGCTTTTAACAGGGACCGCAGGTGTACGAACTCTTCAGAAAGATCAAGTAATAGAAGGAAACTGAGTGCAAACTGCCAGACACATATTTAAACAGGTGCTCAAAAAAATATTAATAGAATGAACAAATATATGCATGAATGAATGGAGTTTTTAGGTTATTTATTCCTTCAGTGAACATCACTTGAGCCTAGTTTAGGCTAAGATGGGTTGGCAAACTTTTTCTGTAAAAGACCGGATAGTAAGTATTTTAGGCTTTATAGGCCATATGGTCTTGCAACTACTCAGTTCTGCCATCATAGAGCGAAAGCAGCCATAGGTGATACATAAATGAATGAGCATGGCTGTGTTCCAATAAAATTTGATTTCACTGGAAACTCTGATGACAGGCTATAGTTTGCTAACTCCAAGCTACAGAATCAAAAAGACCTGGGTTCAAATCCCAAGTCATTCTTTAACTAGCTATGTGCCAAGGCAAACAACAATATAATCAATATCTCTAATCAATATCAATCAATATAAACAATCTCTCTAATCATTCAGTTTCCTCATCTCTGAGGCAGGGATAAAAACAGTAGTCACCTCATGAGTTGTTGTAAGGATTAGTGTGTGTTCAACAGTAGAGTGTGTGGTCCATGGCATGCACTCAGTAAATCATCATTATTTTGTCTTGTTATTATTTTGTTCTCTGTCTCTCCCCACTGTAATGTAAGCTCCATAAGAGCAGGGACTCTCTTTTGTTCCCTGCTATATTCCTAACACCTGTCGCAGTGCCTGGCACATGTAAGTGCTCAGAACTAGATGGATGGATGGATGGATGGATGGATGGATGGATGGGAGGGTGAGTAGGTGAGCTAGGCACAGGATGTATAGGCTCTCTAGAAGAATATTAAAAGTAAATAAAACATAATCTCTTACTCCAAGAAGCTTGCAGTCTAGTATGGGGGAGGAAGATATACTAAACAAGATTATAGTTAGGAAAAAGGAGGGTAAAAAAAATAGAGGAAACCAGGGGCAAAGAATCTATTGAAGGGAAGGGCCAGGGGTCAAAGGATCTTCTGGAAGAAACTCTTCAGGAGCTGCCAGTGCTTTCCAGAGTTTGGAACCTTTAATTCTGGAAATATCTGTGGATTCAACCCCACCTTCTGATATCAGAAAGCATAATGCCAAAGCCAATACCTTGGAGAGATGTACATGTTACAGAAAAACTCGAGTTTTCCTTGGCCATCTTTTAGGCTCTCACTCATTCTGCCTTTGGATGTTTCTGATTCACATCTCCATCAATTTAGGACAACACTGCCTTAAAACAAAAATGGAGGTGAAGTAAAGCCTTCTTGAGGCCAGAAGGAAATAGATAAAGTTTACCAAAAAAAGTATCCTAAGGAGCAAGCTTATTGTCTTAAATCTGGTCTAAAGCTGATTTCTTGTTTGGTTCCAATGAAGATTTCTCTCTGATGACAAAGAGTTCTCCTGACTTCATTTAGGACCCCTCTGTCTCTAACCTGATGACTAACAATTACCATGGGGGTAGAAACAGCAGCACGCCCTCAGTCAGGAGGCCTACCTTGATTCTGATTACTCTGTCACCTCAGCCAAGTCATCTACATCTCTGGACTTCAGTTTCCTCAGCTATAAAATGACAGAATCAGGCTCTATAACTCCTGTTCTGAGATTGGGTAACCCAACCAGCCTGATTGTCAGGAGCTGGCTGGTGGCTGGGCTGGGCGGCTCTGGCAGGCTGATCCCTTGTCTGGCAACACAGTGGCCCTGGTGGCAATGCCTCAGGCAACAAGATAGTCTTCCTTAGGCCCATGTGTGACAAGGGAGAACATGCCAGGGTCTCTTAGGAATAGGTTTAAGGATGCTCTGAGTCATGTGGGATATGCTTTCATGACCAACATCACCAAGTTGTTGGTTACCTCTTAAATGAACAAAACATGAAGGCTGATGGAAGCCACTGTGGCAGAAAAGGGAGTGGGGACCCCTAGTGCCACTCTGTCCTTGAAGCTGTCAGTTGATTCTTTCATGAGCTCGTCTCTTCTTGTCCTCTAAAGACTATGGTTTGTTTCTTTAGGATGTTGACTTGCCTCTCCTCCTCTGCCTGCCTCCAGTTGCTGCACTGGCAATGTTCCCATGGCCTTACCCTTGACCTCCCTGTGACTGTCCCACCTCCAGAAGTCTGAAGAAACCCCACCCAGCAGTGGAAAGCTTTGTTTCCTTTCCAGCTCACCTGAGGCACTTGTCATGCACCCATCAATAAAGATACCTCATAAAGACAGGGGATCCCAGTATGAGGAGGAGCCTGTCCCTCTTGAGCGGGAAGGGAGCAAATCAGAAGCTCTAGAAGGGCTTTTTCAAACCCGGGAATGAACACACACACTCTCTCTCACTCTCTGACGTCCTTCCAGGGGGATGTTCTCCTCATTGCCACATTGAGAATCACGGCCTAGAGCTTTGTTCTCCCTTTAAAATATCTCCTTTAGTCCAGTATGTGCTGTCCCTGAATTTTGGACACAGACCAGCAGAGAAGTGTGGGAGGAGTGACGTATGAACTCAGGCGCAGGGAGTGATCAGTGATTAAGGGGCAAAAGGTTTGCTTCCACATCCTGCCAAAGCCCATGGAAGGTGGGAGTTGGAGCAGCGAGAGGCACAGAAGCACCCTCCCCCTCTTCTCCTCTCCCTCTCTCCCACATACCATATAAAGCGCTCTCCCCTTCTCCCCCTCACCCCTTTCATCCTCTTCATCCCCCTCTCCTCCTCTCCCTCTCTCCTACACACCATGTGGCATTTCACTGTGGGAAGCAGAGTGAAGACAAGTTTGATTTGGTAGATCCATCTTAATTATTCACTCTGCATGATGTCTTTTTCCTTCAGTATTTCTTGGCAAACATTGGGGCAGAGTGGGGTTGATGGTGATGGTTGGGGTGAGGAGGGGAGTTCTTACTACTTCCAGACTACAGTACTCACCTTCCCTTTGGTTTGAGGAGGGCAGTCCATCCTAAGATGGTTAGAAGGATGCTTTTGAATTTTCTTAAGACAGTGTTTCTTAAACTTTAATTTATATACAAATCCCCTGGGCATCTTGTTAAAATGATTCAGTAGGTCTAGAGTGGGCCTAACAGTCTCCATATCTAACCAGCTCTCAGATGATGCTGATACCCCTGATATGTGGGCCACACTGTGAGTAGCAAGGCCTTAGGAGAAAAGCAGGTTTGATTGTTCCTTCATTTCTGTTTGTTAATGACTGGAATCACCAAGTCCAAGGCTCTCAGAGTCACCTACTGGTATCCGTCCCTGCCCCTACCCCTGAAGTTACACTGTCAATGGTCCTTTTTCTCTTGAGCATTTCCACATGATCAAGTGGGCATGGAATCCTCTGTTTTATTCTTCAGCCTGAAAACAGAAGCAATGGAAACCTCTAGTTGTCCAGGAAGGACCCAATTTCTTTTGGTTCAGGCTGATGGAATTTAAGGGAATTTTACTACATTTCCATTACTCCCCTAGGAATGCTGTAGTTGTCTATGGCTGTCTAACAAAGTGCCACACAACTTAGCTTTAAATAACAAGCATTTAATATCACAGTTTCTGTGGGTCAGAAATTCAGGAGCAACTTAGCTGGGTGGTTCTGGCTCAAGGTCTCTCATGGGGCTGTAGTCATCTGAAGGCTTGACTGGAGGATTCACTTCAAAGATGGTGTACTGTCACGGCTATTGGCAGAGAGCTTCACTTCCTTGCTGGCTGTTGGCAAAAGGCCTCAGTTCCTTACCACATGGTCCTTTCTATAGGGCTGCTTAAGCATCCTCAAGCAGTATGAGTAATCCAAGAGAAAACAAGAACGAGGAGGAAGCTGCAGTGACTTTACGACCTAGTCTCAGATGTCAGCACTATCACTTCTGCTTTATTCTGTTTGTTAGAAGTGAGTCACTAAGTCCAACCCACACTCAAAGGGAAGGAATTAAGCTCTATCTCTGGAAATGAGGAGTATCAAAGAATTTGTGGTCATATTTTTAAACTACCACAGATGTCCCTTGGCCAAAGAGCCACTGCAGTAGGTGACTCACTCAAGCATTTGATACTCCTGGCTTTTGCTCTTCTTAAGAGACCTGTGAGGTTATGAACCTCAGAGACCGCACTCCTTATAAAGGCATTTCAAACCGGACAGTCAACAATTCCATTCCTATTCCACTGCAAATAGGGTCCACCCAACGACCTGTGAAACTACGAAGCAGTTACAGTGCAAGGAGGGCAGTATAATACAGTGAGTAAGAGCCACCCTCAGGAGTCGAACAGTTCTGAATTTGAATCCTGGCTCTGCCGCTTACCAGTTGTGTGCCCATGAGATAATCACTTAAGCCTCAGTTTCTTTATCTTAAAAACAGGGGATAATTACAGTACCTATCTCAAAGTGTTATGTGAGAGTTAGATGAGTATTACATGTAAAGAGCATCACACCTGTACTGGCAGATAGTAAGTGCTCAATACACGTCAGCCACTATTAGCTGTCATTCTTGATATCTTGATATCTTCCTGCCACCCAAGGGGAGAGTTTTCTGTATTTGAAGCAGTGCCAGCCACAAGTTTCTATGCTTCCTTCACTGGTGCCTCTTCCTCCCCTATTCAAATTCTGAGACATCTGGTTGACCTCTGCCAATAACTAAAGGCTGTTCCACACGTAGACAGATTCTCTTGGCAAGCTGAGGCAGAGCTCTTTCTTGGGCTGGTTCCCTCACCCACCATTCCATTTCTTAAGAAGGAATGTCAGCCAGAGTCCGAGGTGGAGAGAGACCCAGGGCCTTATGACAGGTTTCTTCTTCCGCAGTGAATTGACCCGGGCTGGCTTCTTCCAAAGTCCAGCACTTGGAGGACAACGCTTTTATCAGGAAGCGCCACTTCTGTTTTGTGCTACCGAAGGAAACTGACAGGATGTTTTGAATTGAACCTCAATGAGTTTGGGGCAAAGTACTTGAAAGCGGGGAAATGGAAAATGTATTTGTTTTGTAGTATGTTTTGAGATTTTTTTTTAATGTATTAAAAGTGCCCTGACAACGATTTTGATAGGTTTCTATTACATATTTATGTCTTAAAGCAATCAAAGAAATCCTTTCTGGTTCACTCTCTGTTTTCTCTCCAGGTATTTAGTCTTCCTGCAGATCAAAAGGGATCTCTACCACGGCCGCCTCCTCTGTAAAACATCAGATGCTGCCTTGTTAGCAGCTTATATCCTTCAAGGTAATGACTTTTGACAGGATAAATTTGCTTTTCATGCTAAGTACTGATTACATTATTTCAGTTACCACAGATGACTACTTCTTGGATATGAATAGTGTCTAACTCGAAGCAGAGTCTGAGTTAGAGGACTTTGCCTGGACTCCCTAGACCCAGAAAGCTCAGACCACTCAACCCTCAACTGTACCTGAGGTCTTCTGCCAGCCCCTGCAGGTCATCTGGACTCTGCGGGTTTTCCCTGCATGCTTGGTTGATCAAGTTCCTAAGACTCTGGAGAGTTATCGGAATCAATTTTTTCCTGTCCTTTCATGCAAATCTCAAAGATGTGAAGCATTTTGGAATTCTGGTATCTATTTTAGAGACCTTTCCATTCAGAGTGCTCAAAGTTGAAAATGTTTCCAAATAACAAACATTTCCTAACATGCTAATAAGGTAGAGTTGAGTCTGTACCCAGCTGATGCCCAGACTGGCTTTTTTTGCAAAATAGTGGGAAAGGTATGCACTCTGCATATATGATCTCTTCTCCTTTCGTGAAATGCAGAGGACTCTCAATGCCTCTTCCTAGACTTCTCTTAGTCCTTAGGCTTGAAAGTCTCACTGGATTGTTTTGGACATAGCACTAAAATCACAAAGTTTCCATCAAAGAATCTGAGCTCTTAATTGGAAATCCGTGACCTCCAGGAAGCTACTTTGTGAAGAGAACCCAGAAAATGCTTGCCAATAAGAAACTAAAGTTCTTCTGGCAAGAGAAATGTCACAGTTGCATTAAGAATGTAAAAGTCAGCCCATTGCAACTTTGACTTCTGAGACCCTTGTTTTTTTAAAAAAAATCACCTAAACAGGAAGTCTAGATGGTGCTTGCCAACTCTATGGTACCCAAAGATGCCCTTTTCATTTTTAAAAGAAAACCCGGTCCAATCTAAGTGAAATTTTAGACTCCAGTCTTTCCTTTAGTTTTACCGTAACAACCATATTGAAATTTTCTATTTTTTTCTTTAAAGAAGTAACTGATGTCCAACATGGATGTTCTCCACTTGTAGCTTTCAAAATAAAATCATAATAAGTGACTCCATGGCTCAAAGTCACTCTGGACTTTAGGCCCAGGGAAGCCTTTGGTCTCTTGCTAAACAATAAAAATTCCAAGTTATTTGGAAGGCACAATGAGTAGATTTATGCCACAAGTACAATATTCAGCTGTGAGAGAAGGGCACACTTTTCTCTTAATATTTGCTCCTCCCTCAAGACTTCTCATCTGCACTGGTTGTTGTTCTCACCAGAGAAGGAGAAAGGACAAGCACAAAGCAGCTGGAACTTCTTAACCTACTTCCTCTTAACACACCCAGTATGCTCCCTGTGGAGTACTTCATGTGGAGAAAGCTGGGTCCTGACCTGGGAACAGACTGTGGAGAACACCATGGGTCACCACGCCTCAGAGTTCACTGAGCTGAGATCTCCGCAGCTTTAGGGATGGGCTCTCTCTCTGAATGGCTGCAGGAGAAAGCCTTACCCCCTGCAGGGAACTCAGAAGTCAGCCTTAGGACCTGGTGCTCCTGAACTTAATGGTGCTTTCTGGTTACAGCCAGTCTTCCCACTCTGCAGTCCTCTCCAAGGGGGGGCCTGGCACCTGGTCAGTCCTTAATGAATATTTGTCCAAATTTATTCACTTGATTGCTTTGATTTAGACTGCGAGTTGAGTTCTGCATTTGGGTCATGGCTCATTCATCAATTTGCTGTGTCCCTACTAAAATCCTCAAAACAAGATTTAGAATTCTGATCTGGCTCAGGCCCAAGAGGTTGTCTTCCTGATCCGGCTCAGTTTCCTGTGCTGCCACAAAGAGCGTTGCTCCCAGGCTCTCTTCTCATGGCCAAATGGATGAGGATCGTGGTGCAGGCTTCTGCTCTTTTATTGCAAATTTACTTGTGGTCACCTCAGAACACAGGGTCAACTCTACTGTCTCTCTGCTTAGAATTGATATCAACCCAGTGTGCACAGCTGTGCAAAGGTGGGCAGCTCCTGAGGGGCAGGCCCTCTTCCCGACCCACAGCTTTGCTCAGGATCCACTGTTCTCTATAAATCTGGCGCGTGCTTTGGCTTTTGCTCCGAGTGTTAATCTCTTGTTGCTTTGCCAGTGATGATTTACCTGTCTCCACAAATGTTTTCCTCTACTTTCCTTTTGCAAGCGGAGATTGGGGATTATGACCCAGGGAAGCACCCTGAAGGCTACAGCTCCAAGTTCCAGTTTTTCCCTAAACATTCAGAGAAGCTGGAAAGGAAAATTGCTGAGATTCACAAGACAGAACTCAGGTGCGTGACATGCAGTCCAGGCCCAGGACACTGTCTCCTGCACACACACAGCCTGAGCATACAGGCTCTGTGCTGCGTCCTCTGCTCCCACAGACCCAGCCTTCCCAACCCTGGGATGCACCACATTCAGTGATCCACGGACAGCACAACTCAAGCCCTGTGGTCTCACTCTCCAAGAAGAGTGGTGTAGGCTGAGGCTTAAAGGCAAAACAGCCATTGTTTTGTAAGGAAAACAGAGAGGGATTGGCCTCTGAAAGGTATTTGCTTCACTAAGATAGATGAAGAGACAAGGGAAGAAGCATGAACTGGGGAAAAGGAAAAGGAAAACATAAAAGAAATAGCAGAAGAGAAGGAAGAGAAGAAGGATTGAGTGGGGATGTGAAAAATGGGCAAGCTTCCGCCCTCAGTCTGTAACAGTGTGACAGGTGGCTTCTGGGTCAGTGGATGGGACTGTGCAGGGCTGGCCTGATTCATAAATGCTGTGGGTGCCCTGGAGCACTTGGTTCGGGGCTGTGTCTTCAGAACTGCCCCGCTCCACACCACACCCCTGCAGGGAAGGAGGGGAGAAACAGCTGGAAACAAGAGGCTTGTCCTCCTCAGATTCTCTTAGTTTGCCCGGAATATGCCAATTTCTATAAAATAGCATTAACACATCCTTTCACCCATATGAAATAAAATTTTCTACAAAGATTGATTTAAAAAAACAACAATAGGGTATTTGGGCTCCACTTTGTGTGGCGTGCTAGAGCACAGATTCCCCAAACTGATAAACTATAAACAAACAGTTGTATACAATGCAATGTTGTGAAATAAAACGTGCCATCATATTGATACATTACAATTTTTTAAAAATGTTTGTGTAACTACCTTTCTGAGGAAGGACAATGCCCGGGGGGCGGGGGGGAGATGTTTTTATTGATAATATTAAGCTCAAAGTAGTTTCTGCCCTGACCCCCTCATCCCCCTAAATATACAAAAAGCAAAAAATCTTCACCTTCACTCAAAGATTTTACCAACGAATACGTACCCAAAGCTTCCTTAGCCTTTGTAAACAGACCTCCTGCCCACCATGGGTGGCAGGACTTGTTTCCACGCTCCCAGAGGAATGGAGACACCTACCAAAGGTGGAATCCTGGCTGCATCCCACCCCCTGCGCATGCAGGTGCAGCCTTTCCGGCACCGGCTGGGCTCCTCCCATCACTCTGTTAGGGAAATAGCGGCCCCTTGTGGTAAAGGTCAGAATAAACATGGACCTGTGTGAAGGTTCATGGTTCGTTCATTCAAAAGAGAGATCAGGGATGTGCTAGGACAGCCGGGAGGCACTGCCAGAGGGTTTTAGGAGGTGTCAGAGCAGTGGGGTCAGTCCCCCAGAAATCTAGCAGAATGCAGGGGATCCCCCAGAAAATGATGCCCGCTCTCAGGGCCCTGGAGGTTTGGGCCAACTCCAGGGGTGAATGGAGCCTGCAAGGCCTGCCAGCCTCCAGACAGGGAATGATAAGCTCCCTGGAAGGGGTAGCTGTGCTCAGCTGCCTTTGGTGCCCAGCCCCTTGCCTGCCACACGAGCTTTTTCCAAACACCTTCCATGTCTCGGGCACACTGCTGGATGTAGAAGTCTGCAGTCAACATAATGCCCACTTACACAGGTACTACTTCCACAGATTTAGCCTCGTCCTCATAACGTAAAAACGTGTCTGTGTTTCCTTTCTCCAACTCTAACACAAGTTCCTTCAGGGCCCAGGCTGCACCATATTCCTTGGTATATTTTGCAGCGAGTAGCACAGAGGCTGGCATATAAAGGTGCTGATTGATGGATGCCTCTCCAGAGGGACACTAGAGGGAATCTGGCCTGCTCCTTCCTTGGGTTGGCTTGTTTCCGGCCCTGTTACTGGAGGCAAATGATGAACTTAGAAATGAACAACTTGCAGTCTTGCCCACCAGTCATCAGAGTTGTTGCTGGCTTCACAAACCGCGCACCCCTCCTCACACCGAAGCCAACCCCACATCTGTAGAAGTACATCTGTCTCACCAGGGCTCTGGACCCTGAGGGAGCCTGATGGTGATACTGCCACTGGTTCTGTGTCGAGCTCATCAACACACCTGCTAAAGAGGCAGCTGGGAGGAGAATGATGCTAAAGGCCCCTTCAGATGGCTTGGCGCCAGGGCTGGTATCTTCCTTTTTCTGCTTGTTTCCTTTTCATAGTCATCACCCTGTGGACAAACAGAGCTATTGTGGAGTCTGGCGAGCTCAGCGCTGTCTCCTACAGTGTCTCGTCACCCTCCATTCCCATGTTTCCTTTTGGTAAAGGAAGAGGGTTAGGCAGTGCCAGCAAGATATACAGGCCCCTTCTTTGTATTTCAGTCTAGATCAGATCACAGATGAGACACCCATGGCTTGCAGCCAGCCTATAGATGTGTTTTGTTTGCCCCCATACTATTCAAAATTGTGAAACATCATAAAAAATTAGTATCTCTGACTTCTCTTTAAAAATCACATCTAGCAATGCTGGGCCCTGAATTCCCACATGACTACAGTCTTGGAACTGAGGAGCAGCTGCCCCCATTAGATGCAGTAGCACTCCCTGGTTTGTCACAGTCCCCACCACTCTCCATTGTTACACTCAGCCCATGTCATTCATTATGTAGCCTTCCTCAGTCTAAAGACATCTGAGTTTTTGACCTGAGACAGGAGTCTCTGAAGTTGGTCCTAGAACAGAGCAGGGAGCAGACTCTCGACAAATTGGAGACTCACCCTGAGTACTTCTTAATAATGAGTTTACCTCAGGGACGTATGGAGACAGGAAACTCTAAAATCTCATTTTCTATATTCCAGTGGTCAAACACCAGCAACATCAGAGCTGAACTTTTTAAGAAAAGCACAGACATTGGAGACATACGGGGTGGACCCTCATCCATGTAAGGTAAGAGCCCCCCTTGTTGGAGACTGTGCTGACCTTGCCTCCTCTGGAGGGCGCCAGGAGGGTGGGCCACATGCCTGCGCCACCGGCCCTTCAATATCTGGATGATTGGCTCTTTTAGTGACAGATGCCAGAGAAATGTCTCATTTTGAAAACTCTTCTGGATTCCATGCTGCATAATTTTTTGGTGCCACATCAATGTCGGAGGGTCTGAGGCAAAGTCAATCTGAATAACAGATCCAAAACCGGGGCCCCACTTTGGCAGCAGTGGGTAATTTGGTGGAAATGAAGAGAAGAGGAATGTGGAAGGCCCCCCACAGGGAATGATCAGAGACAGCTCAGCGGACTTCCCACCCTTCGCTGACCTGTAATCTAGTTTCTTTCCAAGAGTGGGTTTTATTGACTGCAGCAAGTCACTGGGCGGAGCTGCAGTGGAGTCGCATTTAATTCCATTATGCGCTGTGAGGGTGAGACAGGAACCAGCCGGGGAGGCTCTGCCCAGAGAAAACCTCTGTAATTACTCACATGTGTCTGGCATTTGGGAGATGAGCTCGAGCAGCAACAGTCACTGCGGACAGCACTGGAGACCCATGACCTCCACTTCTTCTCCGCGTCCCAGTTGCTTTGACACTCCTGGTCTCTGCCTCAGCTTCTCCAAACTTTTGCCTCTCTCTTTCCACTACTGGAGAGGCCCCCGTACGACTAGTAAAACTAAATGGGACCAGGAGGACACTGACCCTGTCTTCCTAATAGGTGAGGGGACATCATAAGTTTCCAACAAAAATTAATAGAATAGAAACCAAGAAACCCAGTTATGTGGGGACAGAGTTGCATTTCCCTTAGCTCCCTGGTAAGGTGACAGTAATTTGTTCTTGCATAAAATTTAATGCTGAAACTTCAAATATGAACTTTGAGAACATTCTGGCGCTCAGAAACCCTGGCCACCTTCCCCACTCCTTGGTTCCCTATCCACCAGCACAGCCTACTGCTAGATGACTCTTGTGTTCTTGGAGGCCAGCACTGTCAGAAAACACATTCATACCTCTTTATACCAAAAAAGTGATAGACAGATATTTACAAATGAATTAGCAAAGCTTCCTAAATAATGCCCTCTGCATAACTGGTGTAGTTTAACCTCCATAAATTGCTCAGCTACTGTCAGGAGGGGCCCTGCACAGGACTGAAGAGACCTTAGAAGTCAGCTAGCCTCAGCTTCAGTACTCGTCTTCTACCTACCAGGGCCTTTGGAGCCTTCTCTGAGCCTTGCTTTCCTCATCTGTGTGAGTACAGTAGGTACTCAATACCTATGCTCCCTGAACTGCTGAGTCACTTAAGAACCTTAAAAGACATAGCTGCCTAAAGATAGATACAGTCATCAGAAGGTGCCAGGTCACCTCTGAGTTTGACTCAAACCCTGCCCAGTCCCCTTGAAGCCACACAGAGTGCCCACCTCTTCAGAGATGGGTCCCTGGGCAGGGCTCTCACCTAACAGCACATAGAGATGGGCAGACAGTGAACCTGAGCACAGCTGAGTAGAGGTGGGTAGGGATCTCCACTGTTGCCCATGTGGGTATGGAAGCTATGGCGGCAGCCAGCCTGGTGTCCAGTCCAAAGTCACATGCACCCTAGGACTGCGGGGCTCCTGGCTCAGCCCTCTCTTTCATGAGTTTGTCTGTCATTGGACACAGAATCTGAAGAGGCTGTAGAAAGGACGACCAGGCACTGTGCAAGGCCCAATCCCATATATCGTATCATTTCAACTCCCAGAAGGAAGGAGGGAAGAGACGTTTGTGGCATGCCTTCCCTGGCAGGCTCACTGGAATCCTTTCCCATTATTGTCTCACTTAATCCTCATGCCAGCCCTGGGACGTAGATATTATTTTTCCTGGTTTATAGATAAGAAGATGAAAGTTCCAGGAGGCCACAATTTACAAGGCCTGAGTGGGAGAACAAGAATTTCAATTCAAGTCACTTGCCGTGCTTATGTATCTATAAGGAGCAGAAGCCCCCAGGAGACTTCCTCTCAGGAGAAGGTGGGAGCAGTCTTCTCACTGGGTTTCCAGTCCTTGTTACTGGGCCCTGTACTTCTTGCTCACCCAGGGCCAGGTCGGGGCCCTGCTGCAGACCCCACACATGGTCCCTCAGCTCATCTCATTGGGCTCTGGCTCAGAGCCTCCTGAGCAAGGAGAACAGTTCGGGAGCCTTTACTCTTGTTTTTAAGTAGAGTCACTTGGTGATATGCTACCAAGCGCTCGCCTTAATGCTGCTACAAAGAGAGCTGAAATAAGCTGGAGCACTCACTGTAATAAATACTGATGATTTCTATTAACAGAGAGGCAATTACTGGGCCCAGGGAATCTGGGGCATGCAGCCCTAGGGAGGACGGAAGAAGAGGAATCGTTTTGATAATTAAATGAGAGCAGAACAACACTTCGGCTGGGCTCCGCTTTCCTGGACTGATTAAAAAGCTGCTGTTCTTCCTGTCCACACTGATGGTTTCTTTTGGCCCAGAGTGTCCTGGTCTGGCTCTGGGACTAGGAAGAGGAGATCCTACCAACTCTGGGTGGGACAGCCAAGGGGCTCCAGTAGCCAGCTGGCTCACAATAATAGCCAAACTCTGAACTTGCACAAGCTGTGCTGAGCTCCCTACATCTGCTCTCAGCCCCCAACTCCTGGCAGGAGCTCCCCGCACAGCAAGCCTGCAGCTGCAGGAGGAGAGTGGAGCAAACCACTGGCAGCCAGTGTTGTCCCTGTTGCCCAGCCCTGACACATCTCCAACCACAGGAGCCACCATCTTGTTCCTTCCACAGGGCCCTGGGCCTCCTGCCTTGCTGAGGTTTATGGAGTGGTCAGATCCATCACAGATACTAGCCGGTACCCAGCCTTATTATGAGTCATGAAGGTGCCATTTATTCAGAGCCTGCATGTGCTAGGCACTTACATACACTATCTCATTTAATCTTTACAATACTGCCAAGAAGATATTTCTGTCCTCTTTTCAAGATGAAAGCACTGAGCCTCTGAGGGACTAATAACATGTCCAGAGTCACTGGTAAGGACAGTACTGGGACTCGAACCTCAAATTGTCTGAGTCTCAGTGCTGTGCTCTTTAAGTTATCATTCGTGGTCTTCCTTCTGGAGAGATGGCATTTATTTAGGAACAAGGTGAGACTCACTGCCAGTTCTGATAGAGACAAAAACCTACGAGACTACTGAAATCATTATATACAAATTTAATGTCAGTTCACCAAGTGGCTTTGTATCTATTCTGTATAGACCAGGAAAAAACTGATTTCAGCAGGATCTAAGTTAGATCAACTATATAAATAAAATTACAGTGTCATTCCTCTGCCCTTAAAATTGGATCATTACTTTCATAATCTAGCTACCTAGGCTCCTATCTAAACAAACCCCCTTCCCCATCTTGACAAGTTGCCCCTGACTTCAGAGAAACAGAACAAGAAGGAACATTGATGGCTCGCCCTCATCCTCAGGTGGGCCCCTCTTGGCTGCACTGTGGAGAGTGTTCAGTTTACTGCTGAAATGAAGAATTTGACCAAAGCCACTTAAGTGGCAAGTTTCCATCAATATTTCCATTTCTGAGCTGTCATAGGGTGACGCCAAGCCTCTTACGGGGTGCCACCGCCTCCTCATTTCCACTCTAGTTTCTTGTGGCCATGTTTAAGTATGTTGAAACTGGGTGCTTTTCATGATTGACTTAAGGTAAAGGTTCCCAGCTACAAGCTCTTTCAGCAGTGGGCATAAGTGTCTGGAGGAGCATGTGGAATCTTCTTCCCTAAGGTTTTTAAAGAATAATAAAGGCTTCATCCACCCAGATTGAATTAGGTTAAATCAGGCTCTTGAGAGGGGACTGGATGAGCCTGAGAGGCGTAACCACAAGAATGCCATGGTCTTGACTCTGTCACACCCAGGTTGTCCTCTGGGGTGGCAGCAGACAGAAGCCTACTTCATTGTATCCAGAGGCGGAACCTGTGGGTACTGCGCAAAGGTGGCCAGATGTCCCTACTTCCAAGAACCAGTCAATGCTGTGATTTCCAAAAATCCTTTTCTGGAGGCCGGCCCCATGGACGAGTGGTTACGTTTGCACGTTCCGCTGCAAGTGGCCCAGTGTTTCGTTGGTTCAAATCCTGGGCGTGGACATGGCACTGCTCATCAAACCACACTGAGGCGGTGTCCCACAGGCCACAACTAGAAGGACCCACAATGAAGAATATACAGCTATGTACCGGGGGGCTTTGGGGAGAAAAAGGAAAAAAATAATTTAAAAAAAATCTTTAAAAAAGAAACAAAAATCCTTTTCTGGGCAGAGTGATCATCTTAGGGTGAACTTTGATGATGATGAATTGATGTAGGTCAAGTTTAATGGTGGGTTCCATATGAACACTCAGTGCAAATCCATCTGCTCTCCAAGTAAAACACTGTTGGCCATGTCCTGGCAATGACTCATTTGGGCCATCTCCCTAAAATCAGATGGAAGTGATATTTCTCAATCTCTGTCCTCATTTTACAAATGAAGAAACTGAGGTTCAGAGAAGTTAAGTAACTCACAGAGCAAATAAGAAGTAGAGCTGGAGTCCTAAACCAGGACTGAATCTCTTTGCATAGGATAAAAAATTGAAAACAAATTTTTTGCCTCACAACTGTAGAAGTGAACTGAATTCTTACTGTTCTCTGATGTAGAGTGGGGCTGGTGATACCTACTATGTGGCTGTCAAGACCTGAGTTTTTATTCCACCTCCCAGATGCATTAGTGGCTCAGTCCTGTGGATACTGATTTCATCAGGATGGGAAGGAGACAGGGAGGAAAGACAGACCCCAGCTTGATAAGATGGAAGATCTAAGGAACAGGTTACTGCTCTCTGTGTCACTTCTTTCCTCGTCCTCATTTCCTTCTCTTTTTGTCATATAACTTGTCCTTTCACACACAGATCCCAAGGGCAGACTCACAACAAGAATGACACGTTAGATAGAAGAAACTGGAAAAGTTCCAGAGAAGGTGTCAGAGTGGCTGCCTGTTTGTGTTTTCATGCTGGTACAGATGTGAGGTTTGTCGCTGTAATTCCAAGTCCCACTCCTCACGTGCCAGAGACAAGTAACAAACATTCCAGCTGCCCTCTGTCCCTGTGGATGCCCAGGTGCTGGGGCCTAGTAGCGGCCTTCGTCTGCAACTGTTGCAGTGGAAGCAGTTGGAGAATGGCTCTCCTCACAGGAGAGACTGGATTGGGATTGCTCAAGGTGCTATTATTCCTTACTGGAATGAGGTGGTGTCTAATCAGGGTTTGTTCCCAGCTTGCTCCCTGGTCCAAATCAGCCAGGTCAAGAGAGCCAGCCCTGAGGTGTCTGGACAGTGCAGATGGACACTGCCAATCAGGTAACCTGGCCAGCACCGCCCAGCTCAGGAGAGGACCTTCTGTCCCCTTTGCTCTGGCCAGAGGGGCCTGTCACTGGGATGCCTCGCAGATCTCTGTCGCAGCCTGTCTCCTTCCCCTCCTGCCCACTTCACTTTCACCCCAAATCCCAAATGTATCATCGAGATTCCTTTTCTCCATGGTCCCCTAACAATGAGTGACATCTCCCTTTCTACCCCAATTCCCACACCCTCATTTCCTAACTCGCAAAATTGAAACCCATCAACATCAGGAAAAATAGTAAAATGTTAGATTTTTTTAAAAAAAGATTCTGTCTTCAGTTGAACAAATCTAATTAGTAGCAGCTATAGTAATATTGACAACAACACAACCACTAGCATATATTCAGTGCCTATGAAGCACAATGTAATAGGTAGTTAATATTATCAACCCTAGTTTTACAACAAGGAATCAGAACCACAGAGAAACGAGGGACCTGGTAAGGTCACACAGGCTGTGAGTGGCAGAGCCAGAACCTGAGCCTGCGTGGTCTGACCGGAGCCGTGGTCATGGCGCAGGTGCTCTTCTGCCCTGCCTTGGCTGCGGGGGTCGGGGGTGCAAGAAGAAGGCCCTTCCCCGCCAACCCCCTGCTTCTCTTCCCTACTTTTTATTCCCCGCCATCCACAGTCCTCAGCAGGCCCGACCCTGCGTTTCCATCCTTCCACCTGTTTTTCCTTCTAGGCCTTTCCTCTCTCTCAGAGAGCACTGTAAGACACCTTCCCCACCTCCACACTTGTGTCTTCCCCCCTTGTTTTTGCCCATATATGTACCCCCCACGGCAGAAACACTGGCCCCTCTTGCCTACCTCACTGTCTTACACCATCATCTAATAAGCATTTCCTGCGGGCCTGTTGTATGAGTCCAAATAAAGTAAGGTCTCCACCTTCAAGTCTCTGTCTTTCTGAACCTGCAGTTGTAGGACTTCCTTGGGTCCTGCCTGCACAGTGAGCGGAAGGCCTGTCGGTGCCCACCCTCTGTCTGAGGCAGGCTGCCTCCCTGCAAGCAGAGACCTCCCTCACCCCTTCTCCCAGGCATTCTTCCCTCAGAGGCCAGCCTCCTGCCCCAGATCTCTGCCAACCTGCTGGGTTAGCACTGGTGCCCCTGGCAGGGACTGTGCGCAGTGCTGATGCTCAGGTATTAACAGGTCACCAAGCGCTGATGACAGGCAGGAGGAGATCCAACCCCATGGCTTCAGTATCTCCATTCAGGTTATTTTTAAACAGCCTTTTGCCCTTGGTTTGAATGACATTGTACTTGCAGCCAAGTGTTGGGGTCACGACAGACCCTGAGGCGAGGATAATAACAACAATATGTTATTTGGAAATGTTTGCAAAACAGTTTATTTCCTGGGCCCAGACACTCACACCTGTAACCCTGACTCTAAGAGACAGTTTTAAGGCCAAACCATTTTTCCTGAGGCAAGGCTCATGAGGGCCTGAGGGGACTTCACTGTTCTTAGGACTGATGAGGCTGAAGACCTGTGCCAGGCAGGCAAACCTGGGGGTGGGAAAGACTGGAAGAGCCTGACAGCCACAACCCCCACTTGCATGCTTCATGCCAGGTCCCTGACCCCGACCCCAACCCCATGCCCCCCAGACAGCTGTCCTGCACGCACATTTGACCAGCATCCTGGCATAATTTTCTAGCCACCTGAACACATTCAAACCCTGACAGAGAAATTTCTCACCTGAGGCCCCCATCGTAAAGGAGGCTCCTCTGAGAGACCACAGTGCATCAACTGGCTTTCTGTGCCCTGTCCTAGCAGAGAAAAGGCCTGGTCCTCACAGAGCTCATTCCCCATGTGAGGGAACGATGACCTGGACCTTCTCCTCCTTTGCTCAGCAGAACTTCAAGCCTGGTCTTTACAAACTGATGGTGACAGGTGACTAGGAGGCCTCTTTGTTGGTTCAGGCACCGTAGGGCTGAATGGCTGTTCCAATTGACTGGTTGCTTCTTTTCTTCAGCTAAACCTTCCTGAGCGAGCCCAGTGTGTAGGGCCACCATGCAAATGATAAGTGCCATTCTCTCTCTAACAGCTTTTTTGAGATACAATTCACACATTAAAAAATCATACTTTTAAAGTGTGTAACTCAGTATTTTTTAGTATATTCATTGAGTGATCACCACTATCTAATTTTAGAACATTTTCATCACCCCAAAAAAGAAACCCTATTAGCTGTCACTCCCCATCACCCCTTCCCCACAGCCCCTGCCAACCAGTAATCTTTTTGTCTCTATGGGTTTACCTGTTCTGAACGTGCCATATAAATGGAATCATACAACATGTGATCTTTTGTCACTGGAGGCTTACTTAGCATGTTTTTGAGGTTCATCCGTGTTGTAGCGTGCATCAGTACTTCACTCCTTTTTACTGCAGAATCGTATTCCACTGTATGGATGTATCACATTTTGTTTATTCATTTATCAGCTGATGGACATTTGGACTGTTTCCACTTTTTGACTGTTAGGAATAATCCCGCTATGAACATTGAACTTATGTTTTCAGTTCTCTTGGGAACATACCTGGGAGTAGAATTGCTGGGTCATATGGTAGCTTTGTGTTTAACAATTTGAAGAACTTCCAAATTGTTTTCCAAAGTGATTGCCCCATTTTATAATTCCACCAGCAATATGTGAGGGTTTGCCATTCTCTTTGGATGTTCATAACAGCCTTCTAAAATTGATGAAATTATAATCTACAACCTACAGTTAAGGCCACTGAGGCTAAGGTAAGTAATTTGCTTGTTTCTTCCAAAGGCTATGCTCTTCCCTCTGTGACCTACTACCAGGTATTAACCCTGTATCAGCGATGAACAACTGTGTTTCTCACGCTTTCACTTCTATGCCTGCATCACCCTGATGAGAAGTCTTGTGTTGCAGGATGTGTCAGGAAATGCTGCATTTCTGGCCTTCACTCCTTTTGGATTTGTTGTTCTGCAAGGAAATAAGAGGGTCCACTTCATTAAATGGTGAGTATCTTCATTTCCAAAACAGGCTTTTTATACCTCACCCACTGGGGAGGGCTGTGGTTCCCGTGTCCTTTGTCTGTGATTGGGTAGTTATGGTTCTGAGCCCTCTCCAAAGCCTTGCATCCATTATGGTATCTGATGAAGGTAGTGGTCTCTTCCTAGGGATCCTATTCTTCCAGAGGGGTGTTCCTGAGAGCCAACAGCCTCTCCAGAGAGAGGAAGGTGTGGGAAGTTGATTTCTAGGTAGGATGAGCAGCCTGGGGCTGGAGCCAATGTTAGGGAAGCAAAGTTCCCATGAGAACTGAGTCCTCAGGACTGTCCCCCACTGAGGGCCATAGCATCTGCATGAATGCTTACTCCTTTATCCAGTCTCCTAACAAAGGAGGTGTTCACAGTGACCCCTGAGGCACATATAAGTTACCTTGTTGCTCTGGCAAAACACCCTCCTCGGGCCAGCCCCCCACCATGGACACTGCCTCCAAGAGCACAGAAGCTGCTCCGTCTCTCTCTCATTCCTCTTTGGAGCTTAGGTGTCCTCAACCTCCAGGAGTGACATCCCCACTCTTTATTCCCTCTCCCACTCCCATTTCTAGTAGGCAAGAGCCACTGCCTCAACTGAAGCTACTCTGAACTGCTTCCTCTCTGCCCCATCTGTCTGGGGTGTGTTCTGCATGGCTCTGGGTGCTGATGCGCTACAGACTCTGGTTTGTTGATGGACATTTGTCTCTCCTGGAGACCCTTTTTCTGGCCTCATCAGAACATGTTGCATATTCTACTATGCCCCTGTGATTTCTGTGCCTTCTTGGGCCTTAGACTGCGAAGTCTAAGGTGGCAAACTCCTCCCATGGACTTGGACAAGTGGATTTCCTTGGCTCAGCAGAGCTCAGCTGAGAAACCTGCTCCTGTCATGGTTCCTTTGCCTTCTCCAGAAGAGCTAATGGGGAATCTGAGGACAGAACTGCTTCCTGGCAAGCTTCCTGCTGGGGGTACTGAAGGGCGTCTATCCTCCCATGTCCTCCTCAGCTCCCCTGCTGAGCTTGTGCACAAAAACCGCCTTTCCAACGCTTACCACTCTTGTGAAAAGTGGCAATATGATGGTCAACCAGAGTGCTAGTGACACTGCTCCTCAGATGTGCCCAACCAGGTGCCACCCCCAGAAAAACAGCCATTCACAAGGCAGCCTGCTGCAATGGAGGAAACAGTGTACACTTCAACACCCCCATTTGCTAGGCCACTCACTGCACTCTATGGGTGAAGATGTAAGAGTTTGGGGTCTCCTGTCCAACAAAATTCTTTTCTTTTCTTTTCTTTTTTTTGAGGGAGATTAGCCATGAGCTAACATCTGCTACCAATCCTCCTCTTTTTGCTGAGGAAGACTGGCCCTGAGCTAACATCCATGCCCATCTTCCCCTACTTTATATGTGGGACGCCTGCCACAGCGTGGCTTAACAAGCAGTGTGTAAGTCCACACCCAGGATCCGAACCGGCAAACCCCGGGCTGCCAAAGCAGAACGTGCGAACTTAACCACTGCGCCACCAAGCTGGCCCCCAAGATACTTTTCCTTAAAAGACAATGAGCAGAGTCAGGCCACCACTCTCCCAGTGAGGAGCACTCGCTGCCTGGATACAGCTGGAGTGTCTGATGTTCCTTAGAGGGCCTGGATCCTGAGCCACACTCTAACCAGGATAGTTGTCTCATTTCATCCCTGGTAGGGGGCATGTTTAGCTAGAAACAAGTAGGACACAGCTGTTACCGTCCTTAAAGTGTCCCTACCCCTCCAGAAGCCCTAATGCTCACCCCGTTCTGCTAGACCCTTTTCAACCTATGGCCTATCTCCCATCCCACTTTTCAGGAAGTCTCCTCTTCACTGTCTTGACTTTAAAATAATAGATATAAACCCAATCTCACTTCCAATAGAAAAGTCCTTATTTTCCTATCTTGCTTGTTGAAGCCTAGATGATCTGTGTGCTTGTTTGTATATTAATCAATTGATATTTATTGAATGCTGTGTATGAGAGAGATGGATTGGGAGGGAATCAAACAGGGAAGGAATACCACGTGGCTTGTATTAGCTCAAAACTAGTGGTCAGCAGTTGCGAACTCTCATCCTGACCCAGCCATGATTTCCAGGGAACAAGGGATGTTCTTCTGTCCAGCAGTAAATTAGGTGTGTGGTTCTCACCACCTTTCTGCTACTTCCTAGGATATTAAGGAAATCTCCCTAGAAATTGCAAAGAGGAAGAAGTCAAGTAGAGGCCGATATGCATGGTCAGACCTCTTTGGGGATCCCACATGGGTAGAAAAATAAAGACTCTGCTGCCAGTGAAGTGGGAGGGCCTTTGGGCTCCAGAGGGCAGCTGTGTCAGGCAATTGGAAGGGAAGTGAGGAGTGACCAATGCTGAAGCCTAGTTCTCTGGCTCTCAGGGACATCCACCTAAAACCCCAGTCACTTTTACATTTTGTAAGTGTAACCAAGGCTGAGAGCAGTATGTGGAGGTGAGGTCTAAGCCGTGCCATGTACAGTAACCATGTCACTTCTTCTGATTTGTGTCTGTCCCGCGGGTGACGTACCCCAGTATCCTGTTTGCCTCTTTTACTGCAGCCATTCACTGGGCTGGTGGCTTCAAGGATTTTTCTACAAAAACCCCTAAGCCCCTTTCCTGGTCAGTACGCTGCATGACTGTTCCATGTAATCTGTTCTCTCTCTTTGGTATGTTGCCCCGCCCACCCCACCCCACCCCTTGAGATCGTTTGACATTGTCTGCATTAAACTGCATTTTCCATCCAGTGGCACAGTCAATTGAAAGACTCAACTCCCTCAGAACCTGGTTGCAATGTTTTCATTATTTGCTGTATCTTGAACTTTGGCCTCATCAGCTACCTGTGGCATCTTACGTTTGACAGTCCCATCCAGATATGCACCTGTGTTATGAACCAAATCGTGAAATGGCCAGGACCACTCTAGCTAGACTCACTCTCCATGCAAATGTTTCCCTTTACAGCCACTGTTGATGAGCCCGAAATCCTATCACCCTATTATTATAGTGTGATTGACCAGAAAACTTTTGGATTGAACTGTTCCAACAACTGTTCTCTAAGGCTACTGCGCTGCTGTCTTGTTTCAGTTCTAATTTTGGCTAAAACTGTGTCTGTGCCTGGAGCCCCTTCCAGTCGGGGTGGGCTGTGCATCTACAAGACTTAGCTTTGAACAAGCAGCCCACAGTGAGGTGACAGGTGCTCTCTTTGTGCTTCTAGGAATGAGGTGACCAAGCTGAAATTTGAAGGAAAGACTTTCTATTTATACGTAAGTCAGAAAGAGGTGAGTGCTGACTTCCTTCTCTTCAGGGAGGGCTGGGCCACTGGGTTGGTTCCTGATGGCCAGGGCTGAACCAAAGTGGTCCATCCAGGTAGAGCTAAGCCACCTGCATGCTAAGCCAAGACCTGGAGGTAAGGGATGGGGAAGTGGCTAGGCTCTGGAGCACAGGACTTCCTCAGGGAGGCTGGTGACACCCAGAAGTTCCATACCTCCAGGAGCTGCAGTCAAAGTAAGATTCTTTTGCTTCCATTTGAAAATTCCAAAAAGATGATAAATACAAAAAAAATAAAGAAGAAAATTCCAGATGAGAGTGCCACTTTCTCTGGTGAAGGCTCTCTTGGTTCAACTTGTGCCAGCTGAGACTTACTTTGATTGGACCTGCTAGGTGTGAACTTATACGCTGAACTGAGCTCGGCCCCAGTGGGTCCTGTCGGCCTTGTCTTCCCTTCCAACTAGCCAGCTGCCAGGCAGCCCCTGCCCCATCTGAAGCCTCCCCCAGGAGTCATGGGGAGCCCTCAGACAGCTTAGAGGTCGGTGTCCTGGCCTACGTCACCCTTCACTTGTCCATTTACACTCAGCTATTTCTATGTGGGATTTTTTGTAGGAAAAGAAAATTATTCTCACATATTTTGCTCCAACTCCAGAAGCCTGCAAGCACCTCTGGAAATGTGGAATCGAGAACCAAGCCTTCTACAAGTGAGTGGACATATGTGACGGGGACTGCCTTTATCAGAGCCAGAGTCATAAAAGCTACTTTTAGAGGAATGATGGACAGGAAACTGAGAAAGGAGAAATGAGATGACAAGGCTGGGCTTCCTTATGAAACTCAGACCCCTTTCTGGGCATCTGTCTGTACCCCCTGGAGGGACAGAGCTGAGGTCTGGGAATGCGTCTCAGCAGAATTGCCCAAGTGGTCTGCCTTTCGACGTTCTTGGACAGCCCCACGTGGCAAAGTAGTTTTGGGTCTTTTCAGGGTAAGGCTTGGGCCAGAAAAAGCCCATGGGTGCCTGACTTGAAGTAAGTTGGTTCTGTGGAGCCATTCAGAGCCCTGGGAGGCCCAGAATACAGCAGCTCCGTGAAGGAGGAGGCACAGCCTGGAGCAGCTCCCTAAGCCTTAGAGAGACATGGGGCCCACTCCCCAGCGGATGGCCTAGTGCTGAGCTGGGGTTGATGCCAGTGCTTCCTGGTGTGTCACTGCCAGAGGTGTTGCCAATAACAGGCCAACTGCCCAGGAGCCTAGGGTGGGGTAGTTGGAGGGGGCAAGAACTTGTCTGTTACTGAGAAGCCAGCTTTCAGCCAAAGGCAAGAAGTTTGCTTACCAAAACGTTTTGTAAAGTACATGAAGCTTTTGTGCTCAGTTTTCTTTGATTAAGAAAGTGGTTATAAAAGCATTAGGGAGTAAAGAAATAGCCATCGAGAAACTGGGGTGATGCCAGATAAAGTATGTTTCAGTAAAACCCTTGGTCTTGTTTTAAAAATAGAATGCAATGACTTATGCTTTAATAAGCTGTATCTTAATCGGGACAACAGAAGACAGAGTGTCTGGTATATTCCGCCCCTGAAGGATCCTGGAGAGAACAGAATTGCTCTGGGCTGAGGGGTGGTCACCACGCTCCTCCCCAGTGAGCAGACTCTGCGACCCGCTGGCTGCTATGGGATGCTAGCCAGCAGAATTGGTCTCCTCCTCGTTACTAGGGCCACAGCCCACAAGCCGTTTCTTGGGCAGGCTTCCCGAATTGCTTAATAATTTCTATGCATTTCATACCAGCGTCAGGGATGAACTGAATGGGCAGCCTGAATTCTAATGTGAGTGGGCTTCTTTCTTCTTATGAAGAAGACACTCAGAAGAGACTTTTACATGACCAAATTTCCCTCCTGTTCAGTCCCTGGCTCTCCAAGGAAAGCCAAGAAAACTTTCAGCACCATTTATGAAGGCCTTTGTTTTTCCATCTGTATCATGGGAACAGAACTGTGCTACTGAACTGTGACCAAACTGTTTCTGAGTCTTCCCATTAACAGATCTCCACACTTAGCTAGCCCCGTCAACACCTACACTGGAAACCAAGGTCATTTTTCACTGTTTTCCATTGATTACTTAATGTTCTAATTAAGTGTTAAAAGCTTCTAGCCTAGGTCAGATCCCCAGTTTTGCCAAGTCTATAGCAGCGGCCACTTTGGCCTCACTCTGAGCATCTGTCACGTGCAGGTCCCTGGCCCTGCCTTTGGCCCAGTGCTTTGAAGGGAGCGGGTCAGACTCAAGAATATGCTTGGGCAGGAGGGCAAGTAGGCTCAGATCCTCACAGAGCCCTGAGACAGGTAGGGATGGTGTCTCCTGGCAACTGTTATTCATGGATTGCGGGACAGCTCCCTCCATAGTCAGTGCCCACTCATGACAAAGGCTTCAGACCCAGACCCGTTCCAGCTGGGTTAGCAGTAGAGGCACCCAGAGCATGGTTGGCTGAGTCGGGTCTTGGGAGACTTCACTCTGGACAGTTCTGCCCCAGCTTCCTTTTCTAAGTGTGAGAGAGCTATGGGATCAGAGAGGTCACCCAAGAGGATATTTCACAGTGCCCATGGCCTTCCAGAGTCTCCACATCAGCTGTCTACAGCCTTGAAAGTGATGTTAATAGGCATTCTGGGGTAGGGGGAATGGTTCCAAATTGAAATAAATGATGGAACTTTTATTAAAGTTAAGCTAGTTTCTTCATTTCAGGACTTCTCAGAGCCTTTAATATGATAATATACTGTAGGACTCTCCAAGAGGGAGATGGACTAGGAAAAGCAGCCCCTCCTTTCTTCTCCACCCACAATTACCCAGAGGTGGACGTGAATCATCAAATACTAGGACTGGAAGGGACTCCTGAGGTCAAGTAGTCGTAGCTCCATCATTTTATGGATAAGAAGACTGAGGCTAGGAGAGGAAAGGAAATTTGCCGAAGGTCACACTGCTAATAAGTGGCCTGGCTGAGACTGAGTGGGTGGCATTCTCTTATTCCCCCAGAGCATCTTCCCTAACATTTATTCCCTCAGTTCCCCTGGTGAATCCCATGAAGCACTCTTGGAGAGCCTCACTCTCCTGACACCAAAGTGGGTTTCAACATGACTGTCCCCAGCACTGAGGCCGGGAGCACAGCCCTTGGGTCCTAAAGGAAAGTCAGAGACAAGCGGGGCTGTGAGGGGCCTTTCCCTGAAGGGATTGCTCAAGTAGCCTTCGGAAGGAGCTGGGAATGCGCTGCCTTGGCCTGTGAGGCAGTTGCAGGCCATCTGTCACACTGGACTTTGCCTTGCTGCAGGCTGGAGAAGTCAAGCCAAGTCCGCACAGTGTCCAGCAGCAATTTATTCTTTAAAGGGAGCCGGTTCCGATACAGGTAAATAGTGACAGTAAGTAACCGTTATGGACCTATTTTCAGACCCTTCTCTGGAGAACAGTGGCTCAGTGGTCCTTATCCTTGAGAACAAAGAAACTGGGAGCCTACAGAAAAGCCTGAGGTTTCCATCCAATTCTCCTAAGCCTTTGACTATTTCTTTCCTTCTCTGCAGCTGTTTGGTCTGTAGGGTTTAAAATGCGTATCTCCTCCAACTTCCCTTACAACAGAGCAAAATAAGAACTGTAACAGTCATTTTTTTCATGTCTATCTAAAGATTTCTCTTCTTTTGCAATATTTTTGGAACATGCTGGACAATGAGGAATCATTCCTAAATGAGAATGGAAGATCTCAAAGACTCCAGAGATAGAGAGCTCTCTAAGATAAGCTGTCAGGACATCTTAGGACTCTTAGCCCAGCAAGCAAGCCCTTCTCAGTGACTTAAACATTGGGAAGGGGTAGGCCAAAGAGGCCATTTCCCGATTCAGCCAAAGTATCTGAGACCTTGGAGAGGAGTCCAGTCCTGGAACACTGTCTCATTTCTTGCTGCTTGTTTTATTATACTACTTATAGTGGCCGAGTTGCAAAGGAAGTAATGGAATCGAGTGCCAAGATCAAACGAGAGCCACCAGAAATACACAGGTAGGCTGCCAGGGGCTTCCCCCAAAACCAACTCCAGCTCAGATCCCGGAACCTCAAAAGAGCCAGCAGTTTGAGTACCGTGTCAATTCTGGCCACAAAGACTCCCAAAAGGGGAAGGAGAAGACGGAAGTGGGTGAAGAGACCCATCTCGGCTCAAGGTGTGGGGAAGTCTGATGCTGATATCCCTGAGCCTTGATGGAGAACGAGGGAGGGCAGGCTAACTGCAGACAGTACATCAGACCCAGGAGCCACCTTCCTAGGTAATTCTCTCCTGTCCTCTCAAGTCCTGAAATTGGTCATAGACCATGGAGGACGTGTCCAAGCAGCAAGATTTCATTGGTTCTTGAATTAGTCCATTACAGGAAGCCAGGGATAGCCTCACAGCCCTGTCACACTAGGTCAAATACAGTTTTGGGATCCGTGCTTCATATATAACTGTAAATTATGCATTTCTAGAAACCCATCTCCTAGAACCTGATAAGACCCAGAAAGAATATGATTGGCCAAGAGGGCAAGGGTTTGCCAACCAGTCTGACCTCTGGGAATGGGAGCATTACTGCCTGCCCCTTCACACAGAGCCCCCTTCCACCAGCAGCCTTTGTTGGAAGTCAGGGGAGGCTCCATATCGGTCTTCAGAAATATGTTCAGGAGTACTGCTTATCCTGGGCCCTACTCCCTGACAATCCTGCTCAGAGACCAGTGGCACCAGTGCCACACTAAAGAAAAGTTCAAGTGGGTCTGGGCTGTAAGGAGGTGTACCAGTTTGAAGCAGTGCCTCTCACTGGGATCCAGGGACTAAAGACAAAAAGCAGGTATTAAAGATTTAAAAAAACAAAACTTAATACAGCCAGGCCATTCCAGTAGCCGCCCCTCAACTCTGAGCCCTGACCACATGACTGTGGTCACATGCACTGAGTTAACAGATTTCTCTTTTTCTTTAACCTCAGAGCGGGCATGGTTCCCAGCCGCAGCTGTCCCTCCATAACCCATGGCCCAAGGCTGAGCAGTGTCCCCAGGACTCGGAGAAGAGCTGTTCACATCTCCATCATGGAAGGTGAGCCTGAGCTCTGGAGATGACCACGGAGTTCCTCCAAGTCGTGACTTGGACCAGTTCCTCTCAGGGACCTTGAAAAGAAGTGAATTTGCATTAGAGATGGCAGCAAGTTTCTCCAATGGTAGGGAGAAGGTTTCACCCAGTACATGGGAACACCAGCTGGGTGTCAGGTGAAAGGGAATCTCATCCAGCCTTGCCGAGAGCTGTTGTCCAGGAGGGGGTTATAGATCTGAGTATTGGGGTAGACCTTTGGGAGACGGTGTATGAGGACTCTACCAGGTTCCATGCAGTTCTAAAATTGCTTTCCATCAAGAGGCTTTTCACTTGTTTTCCAGATCTGACCAATCTCCACAGCTTAAAGGATCAGGGTGGCTGAGGCAGTTAACCGAGAAATGAAAACTCTCGATTCTGAAGCATCCCAATAGCTGCCACCACCTTCTACTTCAGTTGTAGAAATCTGTCCTCTTGCTATAGGAATTCTTTACATTGTCTCAGGCAATCCAACATGCCCCATGTCTCTCTACTCTTCCTTCCCATTGGTGGAGATGGCAAGAGAGACAAAGTCTGGGTATCTTCACTGAACTAGACAGCCCAGCGGCAGAGGCCAATACCTCTCCAGTCTCTGGGTAGTTAATACTGGCAGGAGACTCTTGGAATATTGCCCTCCAGCTGTTGTCACTGACCCAGCTTGCCCTGCAGGCTGGATACAGGTGTGACCTGAATGCTTTCATTCCCAGAGATGATGTTTTTGTAGGACCATGAAGATCTCAAGCAGCAGGAAACAGCAGTAGGATTGCTTCACACCTGTTTCTGTCCTGGAGGCTGGGGAGGGAAGGCCCTTTGCCCTTTCTGTGGGGATGCTGCTTGTTAATGAAAATGAAGAACAGCTCAGATTAGGAAGGACATCGCTCTGCTGCTCCCCTGGGAGGATCTCTGGGGTGCGTTTAGGATTTTAGGATGTGTCACTGACTCTGCACCACCTAAGTATGGTATATAACTACAGTCAAGGGGGTGAGAATCCTGGCTAGGCAACCACCATCGAGTGCCTTAATTATTTGAGTATCTTAGTTGCTCCATTTGTAAAGCAGGGACATCTTCCTTGCCTGCCCCATGGGTTGTGAGGAACCTAATGTATGCAGAAATATTTTAAAGAGATTAAAGTATTTACTGGGCAGGCAGCAAGCATAGTGCAAAGAGCCCTGGTCAGAAAGTCAAAGGTGAGGTTCAGATCAGAGCTCTGCTACGCACTTTCTGGGCAGGTTGCTTAACCTCTCTCAGTTTGTTTCCCCCACTGTAGAGCAGGATGTAGGTATGGGATGGTGCTTATAAACTACCAAGTATAATCGCTATGCAAGGTATGGAATTACTGAGGTTTGACCATCATGAGACAGCCTCCTGGTTTTTCCTCCTGTCTTAGGCTGAGCGGGAGAACTGAGCACAGCTCTCGCTGTCCCTCTTCTTTTGGGGTGTTCCTCTCAGGAAAGTGGAATGAATTTCTTCTCCTCTTTTGAGGAAACGTAACTTTCTCCCCTCTCTGGAGCCCTTCTTCCCATCCATCCTGAGGCTGAAGCCACCAGGCTCATCCCAAGGCTCCTGCAGATAGTCGAGTCTGCTGTCCTCCCAGAGAACAGCCACCCTTTGGGGGAAGCTGGCACTAAGGCAGGTATCAAATAGGAGAGGAACCTCATGCATTTCTGCTCACTGGCATACGGAAGAATATCCAGTAAAACCAGCATTCCCAGAAGAGGGAAGACTGAGGCTGTCTGTGTCGGGATACAACTCATATGGAGTTGCTGCCAAGCAGGGTTAGCGTAACAACTCAGAGGCGGAGTGAACTGTCCTCCTGCTCCCCCAAGACAAGCTGTGAGGCTGCCTCAGTTCCCAACCAGCTTGGCTGTGCCTCCAGCCTCCTCCTCCCAGAACCTATCTTCTCCCGTTGCACCAGCAGTAGGCTCCTCAACATCCAAAATAGTCACCCTTGCTTGCAAAATGTCAGGGGAGGGTGCAGTGGGGAGATTTCAGGAGGTGAAAGTTCAGCTGCACCATCTTGAGAGATGGAGTTTTGCCTGTAAAGCACCTAACACAACTGACTCGCACTGTCCATCCCAAGCAGGCTGAGGGGGATGTGATGGTGGCCTCAGAACAAAGGCACAAACCACCAAAACTCCCAGGAAGTTATGGACATTTGAAATTGGCTCATGCTCATCAGAGATTGTCTTTCCTGTAGTCCATATGGCCCATAAATTAACATCATAGAAACCATTTGCCGTTTCTGGGGGGAGAGCGTTGTTTGCTATCTCCAAAAGCAATGGGAAAAACTGCAAAAACATTAACATAACATTACTGTTTGAATGAAACCATGTAATCCCAATGAACTGGGACCCTTAAAAAGATGACTGTGCACTGGTTGGCCCTGTCCCCTGCTCTCAGGGATGCCAAGATAACACGTTATTGGCATAGGCATGAGCACGAGCTCAGGAATGTCGGTTCCTTTCACCCACTGTGCCCTGTGGGGCACCACTCAGCAGCAGGGCGCCAAATAGTGTAGAGCCCAGTGGTGGCTGGGCTACAGCCCATTTCCAGCCCCAGAGCCACCCAGCCCAAAGCCCACTGTCTCTAACTTCACATCCTGGATTTTCTGGGACAGTCCCAATTCCCCCTACTCTCCGGGATTGTTCCCTGCCCTCTCCCTCACCCCCTAAGAGGTCTGGGGCCCTTATACGGGCCTCTGGGAGACAGCTACCAGCTAGGGAAGCATTACTTTTTATGGCTCTAAGTGCTTCAGACTGAATCCAGTCCCCTGATAACGTTGGCCTCTCAGAGCCACTCCTTCCCAGCAGCTCTGCCTGCTCTGAGGCTCGCAGAGCCGACATTTCTCTCCAGCATAGGAGGCACTGCAAAGGGGCTGCCATGGTGTGGATCAGCAAAAACTCTTTCTCCTGAGTTGGTTTTCCGTCCTTTCCCTCTGTATCTCCCCTACCTGGCTGGTTTCCATGAGGAGATCAGCTGGTTTCCACTGAAGAAGTATCTGCCTTCCTGGGTCACCATGGGGAAGAGCCTGATTAAGATTCACACCAGAGTCCGCGTTCAGCTACGGTTGACTAATCACTGCCTTCGGCCCCTGAGTGTGCGCATCCTGAGGATGGGGCCCCGGCTCCAGGGTAGGCTCCTGACCACTGTGCACCCCAGCCCACTGGGAGCCACCTCTGGGGAAGGCAATCAGCTGGAGCACCTCCAAGGTAAAAAGACACTCTTGTGTTTTGCTATGCCCCTCACCCTGATCCCACCACCGCACCCACCCCATCCATCCCAGAATAACAGGTTTGATGAAGGGGTGAGGTGGGTGGTGGTTTCTAGTAAAACCTGAAGTTCTGTACAGGACTGACCCGACATAGGAATGATAACCTTCTAGGTGAGGTCTCTTGAGGGAACAAAAGACTAACATTTACTGAATAATTTTGTTTGTCAGGCACACCACTAGAAATGCATACATATCCATTATCTTGTTTACTGAGAGCACCAACAACTCAATATAATATGACTTCTGGTGTCCCTCTGATTTGTTCTCTCTGATGTCACAGCCTTTGCCTCTCTCCTTCCCTAGCAAGCTTAGGGCTGAATCGCAGGTGAAGCTAAGCTTGCACTGAAGTGCCTTCTGGCAACTAAGCTGGTCATGCTTTGGAAGATCTGGCAGTCAGAGCTTCCTTGTGAGGGGACAGCCTCTTGAAAGGGTGTGAGGTGCCCTCTGCAGGGGTGGTTGAGGTTCCAGAGAAAAGGGGACTGGAGGAGTGGTTGGGAAAGGAGCTGAGCCAGCAACCTGTGTGATCAGGGCCTGAAGGTTCCTGCTTTCTCAGGGACCTGTTACACACCCCCACGTACGTATGCCTCAAGCTGCACGTGTAGATGGGGGAATAAGGGAGGAACACTGGGGGAAAAAGAAATCAAAGTAGCATCAAGAGTTCTGGAACAAGGCACAGGCTCTTAATTTCATGTTATTTCACAACAGTTTTTTGGGCATTTGGGACCTAAATCTAAGGCAGGTGCAGGCTGTTGACTTAATTCATCCTGGCCCCTTGTTCCACTCCCCAGAATCCAACTACATGACTGTTAGCATCATGAAATAGAAAGAGGCTTGAATTCTGTCCTTGCCTTTGCCATTACCAACCAACCTCTGTAACCTCTCGCCCTCACTACTGCATGGAGTTGTTGAAAGGTAAAATGAAAGTGCTTTAAAAAGTTTAACACTTTATACAAATTTAAGATTTTAGCATAGGGACAAACAAAATATGACTAGGACCATGAGGAGTTTCTGGAAGCAGAAGCTGAGAGCTGTGGCAAGTATACTAATACTGAGGTGATGAGGAGTACAGCTGAGTAGTAGGGGGCTGCCATTGCCCTCACCCCCACCACTCCTTCATAACCGAAATTCCAGGATTCGTTCCTCTGAAGAATCCTTAACTGTGCCTATGCTGAGACAGGCCCCAGCAGGCTGAGCAGGCAGGCTGCCTGGGTACAAACGGCTGTGCCACAGGGGGGCCAAGGAAGATGCAACACACTATTTCCGAAAGGTCACTGACACCTTTTAAAATAGACCTGTGGGCTTCTGAAGCTAGCCCTGAACTGGAAAACTCCCTCAGCTCTGGTTAGGTCAAACCTTTACCTAGCTGGGAATCTGGTTCAGTCTGGGGCAGTCAGGGTGGACTTCAGAACAACAGAAGGGGACTGGCTTCTCTGTCATAGGCCACAAAGGCTGGGAGAGCCACTCTGGGACCACTATGATGGGCGGGACTGGAAAATGCAGACATTGAACCTGAAACAAGAAGCCATTTTCTTGGGAGCACTGTGATGTGGGCCACGCTCAGTGACTCTGAGCCCACCTCCTCTGGCCTGGGTGGCTGCTGTCTGGTTGAGGGAGTAGCCAGCTTCTGTTTTTCCCTACCAGAGCTTGAGTCCTGGAAAGAGAGAAATGTTCCATCTGAGAAAGTGAAGAGATAATGGGTAGTTTTAGGGACCAGAAGAGCCTTTCTCCTAAGAAATTTAAGAGAATCCCCCTCACCCAACAAGATCTTCTCAGAGACCACTCTGCACTCTGGGGTGTCTAAAGACAGGGCATCAGCCTTTTCTGGACCCAGCTCATTCTAAGGTGAAAAGAGAGGCAGCTGGCAAGGGGCTACCCCCCTTCTCCATCAGAGGGCACTTAGGAAGAGCAGACAGGGTTTTCACATCCCACAAGCTCAGGACAGCTAGAACTGGGAGGCTGAGGAGACTGACAGCAACTGCAGAAATCCAAAAGATGACCTCGTGACCTCACGGAGCTGTGTGCTGGGCTGTTAAAAGGACACTCAGCTCCAGAATCAGTATTGATGGGGTCCAGTTAGGCAAAACAGTCTCCTGCTCCCCGTTCTTGCCTCTCAAGGCCCTCAGCCCAAGGACTTCAGCTCCCTGAACCGGGGCCCTAGCTCTGGATCAGAGATAGTCTGCGGTTCAGATTCTCTTTCAAATTGGGGCTTACCAGGTCCAGGACACCAAAAGTAGGAAAGGCAGAATCTTTAACAAATCTGGCCAAAACCACAAGTAAAAACAAACCCCATGGCCACTCTGATTTCTGCTGCTTCTCTTGTCCTATTCTTGATACACTAAGACAGACTGCTGCAGAGGCCACCACTGCTGGTCACATGGAGTGTGCAGAGGGGCTTCCTCTTAAGACTTTAGTGACGAAATAAAACAGAATGAGTGCTGCCTCCACCTGACAGCAGAGTGTGCACTGGGACACAGAAAGCCTACTCGTGCTCCTTTTGCCTTTCCAGGCCTCGAGTCCCTACGGGACAGTGCGCATTCCACCCCGGTGCGTTCCTCCTCCCACGGGGACACCTTCCTGCCTCACGTGAGAAGCAGCCGGGCAGACAGCAATGAGCGAGTCGCCGTGATTGCAGACGAGGCCTACAGCCCTGCAGACAGCGTGCTGCCCACCCCCGTGGCTGAGCACAGCCTGGAGCTGATGCTGCTTTCCCGGCAGATCAATGGGGCCACCTGCAGCATCGAGGAGGAGAAGGAGTCTGAAGCCAGCACCCCAACTGCTGCAGAGGTGGAGGCCCTTGGGGGAGAGCTGAGGGCCCTGTGTCAGGGGCACAGCAGGCCAGAGGAGGAACAGGTGAATAAATTTGTTTTAAGTGTCCTCCGTTTGCTCCTTGTGACCATGGGACTCCTCTTTGTTTTGCTCCTCCTCCTGATCATCCTTACTGAGTCTGACCTTGACATTGCCTTTTTCCGCGATATCCGCCAGACCCCCGAGTTTGAACAATTCCACTATCAATACTTTTGTCCCCTCAGGCGATGGTTTGCCTGCAAAATCCGCTCAGTGGTGAGCCTGCTCATTGACACCTGAGAAGGCATGACTCCTAATAACTAGCCAGGTGGACCAAGGAGCCCGGCTACCCATTCCCAGCAATGGGACCCATCGCGGAACCATCGGCACATGTACCAAGTCCTCCTCTCATGACTCAAAGTCCACAGCCTAGGAGGGTCGTTTCCCAGAAGAAGAAAGGGATAGGCTCATGCCCTCTCTAAACAAACTGGGAAAACTCATTTCCTTCAGAGGTTCTTTCAAGAAAGGCTTGGCGACTCTGTTTCTCATCTTCCCAATTTGCAGGATAATTTTTGGTTTTTGAATTTTGATTTTTCATAGATGTGTATTATTTTGAAAGTATCAAATAAAAATTATTTATTTTACTATTACTGATTATCACAGTAGTGTCACCTAGCAGATAAGACACTAGTTGAAGACTAGAGAGCTGTTGTCTTCTGTGTTCTGCAGGAGCTTTCCTACTGGGTTCTAGCAGGCTCATCACTGCAGCCTCATGAGACACGCTAGGAGTCTGGACAATGGGGACTATCTAGGTTTTCTTGCCAGACAGAGCTTTTAAAAAAGTAAACATCCATGTAGAATGATTAAATGGACACTTGCTTCTTATGATGGTCTGAGTTGGATTTTCTTTTCCTTTTGTTTTTTCAAATCTGAGCAGAGTGGGCATCTGAAGGGACCACCGCTACAGCAAGCTGCAGCAGCAGGGGTGGGGTAAGTCTGTCCCCTTAGACTAGATCCTAGTGGGCGTCACCATGAGTTTTGTATAATGAACTTAGACTTCTGTGATTTTTTTCTGAAGAACCTCAAGACTTTTATTGTGCTCCAGAGGCATTAGATGAACTCAGTGGTGCCAGAGATAGGACTGTCAGAAATGTTGGACAGAGTGTAGTTAACAGAAAGCAGAACTAAGGTACCTGAGAAACTGCTGATATTCGGAGAACAGTACTTATTTTGTACACCTTCCCCCGACCCAAAAGACTATTTCAATTTATATTTTAACAACAAAATGTTATTTTCTTATCAATTCATATTTTGTTTTTACTTTATGGATTAAGAAAATAGAGCCTGATGAACTAAACGATGCAAGAAAGAAACTGATCCTGAGAATGAAAAGCTTCAGAAAATAGAATTCCAAGATCAACAAACAGCCTTGCAAGGGACCAGGAAAAGAATCTCTTTAAATAGGAGTTCTAAGAGATGCCTACAAAAGAAAGTGAATGTGGCAGAGACCAACACTTAAACACTTAGATGTAGAAATACTGCCCCCTAGGGTCATCCTGTGCATCAGGAAAATAAAAGCTGTAGGAAAGCACTCGCCATCCTTGCTGAGGGAAGTGTGGAAAGCATGCAGAAGCACAGCAGGTGAAGGGTGAGTGTGGGGTCTGAGGCCTGAGCTCTGCAATTCTTACAACCACTCACAAGATCTTGTTTTCATCTCAGGGAGAGATTCTAAGTCATCTGGGGCCTGAGGACTTAAGGACAGTTAGTCGAGATATTCCTGGGACCCACACAACAGTGGAGCAGCTGCTGGCACCCTATGATATTGGGCAGCCCCAAGTGCAAAACAGAACGAGTCGCTTGTAGATTTGCTCTCCCCTAGTTGTGTCCTGAGATGGCAGAACCATGTCCATGTATAGAATTAACAGCTATGGAATAAATGGCGTTTTTCTTTTTGGGGGGAGAAGGGGTAATGTTGCATAGTTTTAAATGCCCTTTCATCTAGACCAGGTGGCAAACAACTTCTATAAAGTGCCAGATAGTAAATAATTTATTTTTTGTTGGCCATACTCTGTGGCAACTACTCAACTCTGCCATTTTAGCACAAAAACAGCCATACAGATTCTAAACAAAGGAGCATGGCTGTGTTTCAAGAAAATTTTATTTATAAAAACAGACAACGAGCTGAATTTGGCCCATAGGCCATAATTTGCCAACCCCAATCTAGACAATAAAACTGCTCCTTACCAGTATGTTAGCAGAAAGAGTCAGCTCTGCTCCAATTCCTGACATGTGTTATAGATCCAGGACCATTTCTGGAACAGTGGAGGCTCTGGGATTGCTTGTATAAAGGGTGCTCGAACAACCAACCAGCAAAGAGATGTCCGATGCCAAGATGAGCAAGATCAAGTACTGGAATGCTAAAATGCGGCCAGAATCTACGAATGGAAGAGGGCCTGTCTGATCATTTCCATACCAGCAACAGTTTGGGCAGAATTACAAACATCTATTTACCAAGTGACAAGACAAACTGAGGGAGATCCTAATAAAGATTAGGGATCGCTTAGAACCAACTAGCCACTGCCACTTGTCATCTACACAGGAAAGGCTTTATTTAGCACAGGAGTGAAGTGAAAAGTAGACTCAGAGATGAAAAGGCTGTCAGGAGATAGGGGGCTGGTATTAACCTGGATATCTACTGTCTTATGCAACATAGCAGCTTACCTTTAGCGTAGTGTTCCTACCTCAGTCTGTAGAAAACGGTGTTTCTATGCAGTGAGTGGTAGCCTCAACTGACCTTTCATATTCACATTAAAGAAAGAGGTAGTACTCCATTTCCTGGTACATTACTTGTGTCTAGAGTTCTAACAGTACAACAGTCCATACCACTTCCAACAGCTGGATTTTGCTCTCTGAACAGAAGCTTTCAGGTTATTTTTTTCCAGAGCTTATCCCAGAAAATACAGATAGAAAAGTTTCCTTCAATTTGCTTTTCAAATAGTGCTTGAATAACAAACCTCCTTTGTTGATGACTAGTCTTTTTTGGTATCTCCTCCATCATTAAATATTGTTCAAGTTTTTAACCTGGTTTTACTGTGTTCTACTATGTCTCCCATTTTCTCTCAAAATTAGTTTGATCTCATTGTAGAAAAAGCAATGGTTTCCATAGCTTCATCTATCAGAGGAAATAAAACTCTCACTAAAGAATAGTATACTGCATCTTTAAGCAGTAGAGGGTAAACTACCTGCAAATGTGAATTTCTTAGTTTCATTAAAAAATAGTTGTTAACTTTTTGTGTGCCAAAAATTCTAAGTTACATTTTCCTTCAAAGCAATGTACTTTTTTCTACATATGCAGTATGTAGTTAGCATAAAATCATTGGTGCCATGAAAATTATTTTTAAATTTAAATAAATATTTAAATATCATAAGAGTGGACTCTTTATTTTTTAACTTATAGCCGTCTCGCTTTCTCCTCCTTAAAGTTACCAACACATAGATAAAAGGACACCAGTGGGATTTACACAGCTGACTGCTGTTCACAACTGGAATCATTTTGTTTATATCCATCTGTTTCCTTGTCCCTTCCCCCAAAATAAATTCTATTAGGAATTTAGAAGCTACAACTGTGAAGTAATTTTAGGGATGAATTTGACCTCATTTTTCTGATGAGTTTAACCTTAGGAAAATCGCTTCTTGGTTTCAGTTAGTCTTAGAGACCAAAATAGAATCTAGATGTTCCAGCTTCTAGACCAGTGTTCTTACTCAAGCCTGGAACAAGACGGAGAATAGAAAACACTTCCAATAGAGGGAATAGAACGCTATCACCACTACAGTAACCTCATATTTACAATTTACAAAATACATTCCTATTACGTTATCTCATCTAATTATGTAACCATCTCTCTCTGGCTATGGAACTGGTAATGGTCTTCTAAATTCCATGAGGATAAAAGGTGAAACAAGGGTCTGCTGTGCTACTTATTATCTAATCTGTTTTCAATTCTACCTGCCCTCCAATCCTCCATTCTGCTGTCAGGTCATCTTACTAAAGCACTGTTTTTTTAATGACAAAAGTCTTTTCTTAAAGTGATCTGAAGGGTAAAAAGCATAAGAACCACTGGATGTGAGTGTTTCCCATGATCCTACAGATTCACAGCAGCTATGCTTTGGACACCTAATAAGGACTCAGCTACAGACACATCCTTTCGGGGCTCTAGTACCCACTGCCTCTGCTCAGGGTTCCTCAGCCATAACCAAGCCCCTTTGCACCTGAACACACTTCTGATTTTTAGCTCATGAATAGGCTTCCCCTATGAACCCCTATGAACTTGCTGATGGAGGAGTAAAACAGGCAAAAGATACTTGTAAAACACTTCCTCTTGCACAGCTTCCATTTTAGGAAAAGATATATGTTAAAATGTTTTACTCCTCACTCTGTGTAACTGTGCCAAATGTTATCTTCCTCACAAAAGTCCACCTTTTCCTTTGAAAATCCAAACATTTACAGCCAAATAAACTAGAATATGAGTCTATGCTGTCTTGGAACTAAAACTCATTACTAGCCATCAATACCATACTAAAAAGGAAAAACCAAAAAAACATTGTAAGTCAGAAGGGACAGTCTAACCGGACACCTAAGTAAGTTTGGGGAATCTTGGCACATATTTCTTCCTCAGGTTTGAACGGAAGGCACCATGTGTCTGCCCTCCTCCCCTTTCCACGTACTGTACACTGGCTGAAAGGATTTAAATCTTTCTTTGTATCCACAGCTCTAAAGTTCCCTGCTTTTCTGAAGAACTGCCTTTGCGTAGTTTTCTCTGTGGAAGGGAAACTCACTCAAAGGACAGAATACTAAAATATGACATAAGCAACTTAGATTCAATCAACCCCTAATCCTTTGCAGTCTCTCCTAGTCTGACCAAGTCTCTGTCCACCCAAAATGAGAATCATCTCCTTTCTCCTTAAAGACATGTAAAAAAAAATGGGGGCATTTCAAAGAAAATAACTCAAGTGGAATTCAGAGCTGACATGTTTAAGAGATATCATAAAGGCCAACTTACAAAAAAAGGTTTATCCCAAAGGGAGAGATCCATCATAATACACCTATAATTACAGAAGCCACACAGCTTTAGGCGAGTCTCTGGGAGAAGTACCTTTCACAACAGATTACAGTTTAAGGATGTCCTAAGGGAGACAGTTTTCCTTTATGTGCTTTCTAGATTTAAACAATTAGTCCATTATAGAGCTTATCACCGAGAAACAAGTCCCTGCTCACTCTCCTTGCTTCCTGCACTGCCTCAAGAAGATAAAACTCTATTAAGTAGAATTGGATATAAATAGCACGGTTTATGAAGCTACAATAGCAAAATAAATCACAAAAGTGAGAAACATGAAGAATTTGCTAACATTTATTGCAGAAGCTAGGCAATTACCACCAAGTAGTCAAAGCTTAAATGATGGTACTAATTTAATTGAGAGTAGTTTTCAACATCTTAAAAAAAGAACAATTGCCATAGAACTAGCCACTCCAGACCTGTAAAATTAAGTGGGGTAGAAGAGAAAGGGAGCCTAAAGGCTTTATTTACTATTTCCAGGACAGTTTAAATATAACTCAACCTCACTGAGCTTTACTTTTCATTTCATAAATTAATACAGGCATATCTCAGAGATATTGTGGGTTCAGTTCCAGACCACCACAATAAAGCAAGTATCACAATAAAGCAAGTCACATGAATTTTTTGATTTTCCAGTGCAAATAAAAGTTATGTTTGTACCATACTGTAGTCTATTAAGAATGCAATACCATTATGTCTAAAAAAAAATGTACATGCCTTAATTTAAAAATACTTCATTACTAAAAAATGCTAACCATCATCTGAGACTTCAGTGAGTAGCAATCTTTTTGCTGGTGAAGGGTCTTGTAAAAAAGCTCAATAAAGTGAAGCAAAATAAAATGAGTATGCCTGTGTTTCCATCTTGCTTATCAATTCGTGTACTCATATCACCAAGAAAACAGAGAACTCCTATTCCTTATAAACATCCACAACCTATTAATAAACTAAGCCTCAAGACACTTAGATTTTCATTATAGAGAAAATTATAAATGTCACTTTATTTCTGTGATATACAATTATAAGAAGATGATATTTCCTCTTAGAATTCAAACATATTGCCGAAGCTGTTTACAATAGTCCTTCTGTAGTAGTTAGCAATGAAGAACAAAAAGACAGGCAATGTCGCATGGTAATATTAATCATTGATTTAGGAATTCCCCTTCCAACAACAGATACATTCAAATTTTGCTATAACTTCTGAAAAAAGAATTTTATGAAGAAATGCCACAAGTGGTATTTCATAACATTTCTCCAAAATATGAATAGGAATGAAGGTATTCACTTAACAGGCTGTTGAATCTCCTCTGGAAAGTTTAAAAACAAGGAGAGAGAAGGCTATCTGGGGCCTTCAAAGGCAGGAACTTTCACTTCTTTTTTAAGATTTTATCTTTTCCTTTTTCTCCCCAAAGCCCTCCGATACATAGTTGCATATTCTTCGTTGTGGGTGCTTCTAGTTGTGGCATGTGGGACGCTGCCTCAGCGTGGTCTGATGAGCAGTGCCATGTCCGCGCCCAGGATTCGAACCAACGAAACACTGGGCCGCCTGCAGCGGAGCGCGTGAACTTAACCACTCGGCCACGGGGCCAGCCCCAGGAACTTTCACTTCTTTAACCATGACCCACAGTACCACAGAAATAAACACATTTTACATCAGAATATACATATTCAAATATACCTACAAAGATGCATATGTAACTAAGTTTCACAAAACCATACTTAATGTTTTCCATTCTTTACTATTTCTTTCCTTTTCATTTTTTTAAACACTGGCCAGGGCCACTAAATTGATTTTGTGTGCATAGCTACAACCCATAGTCTGGACAACACTGGTCTGAGGTGATGTCACACTGGATTACAGGGATCTGACAGATCCAAACCCTGTGCCTAGGAGGCCTGGGATTCCTGGGCTGTGTCTCAGGAGCTATAGAGAGGAGGGGGGTGGAAAGGGTCAGTACACACAGACCCAGGCCCTGCCCAAGTGAACCAAAGCTTCTCAGCAATTATCTTGGGATTTCACGTAAGATTTAACTTAGAGGCAGGGGCAAAAAGAGCTCTTGATTTAAAAAATTAAGTTTCAAAATCACTGAGTTAGATGACCTTTCAGGACCCCTTCCAGTGAGTGTCTAGAAATAAATGTTCATTCTGAACTATAAAATAAACCAACAAATCTATATATTACTATAGAATCACAACCACATCATGAGACCACAAAAACTTTTAATACTGATCATTCAAAGCTTTATAATTTATAATATTAGAATTTTTCTACATAGTGCCAGATTAAAAGTGCTGAAGGCATCACAGCATCCCCTTAAATTCTGTCCCCATCCTGTGGAAACACCTCTAAGGCTTCTCCCTTACTAAAAGTACATTCTGCTCATAGTTCTTATTAATAAAGCAATCTTATATTTGCTAAATAGAACATATTACTAAGTAAACAGACTAAGCCACATGAATTACTAGGCTCCTTAGACACTGATTAATTTGAACAAATTGGCATTGCTAAACTTTTAACTCAGCAACTTCCTTAATTCATAAAAACATGTATCCTCCCACTGGAATTACCTCCAGCCAAAATATACCGAGTTGGGTGCATAGCATTGATGGAACACACAGAGACAAGGCATTCTCCACCAAGAAAAGAATGCACCTGCTTTCCTGTCTCATGGAAGATTTCTACCCGTCGTGGATGGGCCATGCTGCCAACTATGACACAGTCTTCCTGTTTAGGGTCCCACACAGCTCGGAACCTGGTCAGCCATCGCCCAGTGATGGTGTTGTGCCTAGTGAAAAAAAAATTTTTTTAAACACAAATACATAAAGATACATGCACCCCTATGTTCATCTCTGCGTTATTCACAATAGCCAAGACTTGGAAGCAACCTAGGTGCCCATCAAGGGACAAATGAATAAAGATGATGTGGTATATATACACAATGGAATACTACTCAGACATAAGAAATGATGAAATCTGGCCATTTGTGACAACATGGATGGACCTTGAGGGTATTATGCTAAGTGAAATAAGTCAAGAGGGAGAAAGTCAAATACCATATGATCTCACTCATAAGTAGAAGATAAAAACACACACACACATAGCAACAGAGATTGGATTAGTGGTTACCAGAGGGGAACGGGGGAGGGAAGAAGGCGAAAGGGGTGATTAGGCACATGTGTGTGGTGATGGATTATAGTCTTCGGGTGGTGAACATCATGTAATCTACACAGAATTCGAAACATATTATGATGTACATGGGAAAAAAATACATAAATAACATACAATAAAGTATAGATTATAACTGTAAAAAAAATTTTTTTTAAAGGATAGTAAGTGTGAAATAACTCAAGGTTGCAATGGGCAGAGGGTAAAGATGGCACTGCTCCTAAATGCTGGTTTTCTCTGCCAAGTTTCTTCTCATTGAGTTACTGAGTTACCATCAACCTAATCTTATCCTTCCTACAAAACTGAAACTCAGAACAGAGGCAATATTGGGGGTTAAGTTCGCATGCTCTGCTTTGGCAGCCTAGGGTTTTGCCAGTTCAAATCCTGGGCGCGGACATGGTACCTCTCGTCAAGCCATGCTGAGGTGGCATCCCACATGCCACAAATAGAAAGACCCACAACTGAAAATACACAACTATGTACCGGGGGGCTTTGGGGAGAAAAAGGAAAAATAAAATCCTTAAAAAAAAAAAGGAACAGAGACAATGTCTTCTGCATTTTTGAATCTCCAGTGAGTACAGTGGTTTGTGCTCAACGGATGGTCATTAAGTGTCTACTGAAATGGCGCCTTTTTTTGTTCACTATTTCCTAGCTCAATGGACTCCCCTCCTTTTTTTAGCACAAATAGAAGAAGCCCTAGAAATAAGAAATAGATAACCTATTGCTGTTTTAATAGGATCTATTTCCCATATTTATATTCCCCTGATAACCAAACTCTGAAATCATTTTATACTCCATACAACTTTAAAGTAAAAAATACATTTGAGGCACAAAGAAGAAATCACAAGGGAGATTAGAAAATATCTGCAAACAAATGAAAATGAAAACAAAACATACCAAAATTTATGGCATGCTATAAAAGCAATACTAAGAGGGAAATTTATCACAGTAGACACATTAAAAAAGAAGAAATCTCAAAATCAACAACCTAACTATACCTCAAGGAACTAGAAAAAGAAGAAAAAACTAAATCAAAAGTTAGCAGAAGAAGGAAATTATAAAGATTAGAGCAGAGATAAATGAAACAGAGGATAGAAAAACAATAGAAAAAATAAACAGTTTTTTGAAAAGATAAACAAAATTGGCAAGCCCTTAGCTAGATTAAGAAAAAAATAAAAAAATAAAAAATAGGGCCAGCCTCATGGCCCAGTGGCTAAGCTTGCACACTTTGCTTCCACAGCCCAGGGTTTTACTGGTTCAGATCCTGGGTACAGATATGGCACTGCTTATCAAGCCATGCTGAGGCGGCATCCCACATGCCACAACTAGAAGAACCCACATCTAAAAATATACAACTATGGGGGCCGGCCCCATGGCCGAGTGGTTCAGGTCACGCGCTTCACTTCGGTGGCCCAGGATTTCGCTGGTTTGAATCCAAGGCGCAGACACGGCACCGCTCATCAGGCCATGCTGAGGTGGCATCCCACAGGCCACAACTAGAAGGACCCACAAGTGTAATATACAACTATGTACCAGGGAGCATTGGGGAGAAGAAGAAAAAATAAAATCTTTTAAAAAATAAATAAAAAATAAAAATATACAACTATGTACTGGGCTTTGGGGAGACAAAGGAAAAAAAATAAAATCTTTAAAAAGAGAAAACATAAATAAGTAAAAACCCAGAAACGAAAGAGGGCATATTACAACTGATGTCACAGAAATAAAAAGGATCATAAGAGATTACCATGAACAATTATACGGCAACAAACTGGATAACCTAAGAAGAAATGGATAAATTTCCAGAAACATACAACTTACAAAGACTGAATCATGAAGAAACAGAAAATCTATAGACATCTAACTAGTAAAGGGATTAAAACAGTAATCAAAAACCTCCCAAACAAAGAAAAGCCCAAGACCAGAGGGCTTCACTGGAGAATTTTACCAAACGTTTAAAGAAGAATTAACACCAATGCTCCTCAAACTCTTCCACAGAATTGATGAAGAAGGAACACTTTTAAACTCATTCTGTGAGGCCAAAGCTACTCTGTTCCCAAAACCAGACAAGGACTCTACAAGAAAGGAAAACTACAGAGTAAAATCCCTGATGAACACTGACGCAAAAATCCTCAACAAAATACTACAAAACCAAATTCAATAGCACATTAAAAGAATTATACACCATAACCAAGTTGGAATTATACCTGTAATGCAAAGATGGTTCAACATACAAAACTCAATTAATGTAGTATACCACATTAACAGAATAAAATATGATCATCTCAACTGATGTAAACAAATCATTTGACAAAATTCAATACCTTTACATGATAAAAAACATTCAACAAACTAGGAATAGAAGAAAATTATCTCAACACAATAAAGGCCATATGCGAAAAGCCCACAGGCAACATACTAAACTCAAGACTGAAAGCTTTGCCTCTAAGATCAGAAAAAAGGCAAGGATACCTACTCTCACTATGTCTATTCAACATAGGACTGGAAATCTGATAGGACTAGAAAACCGTGTAGGACTAGAGACACTGATCTGCCTAACTTCCAGAGGTTCACAAGTGCACAGGTAACCAGATCCTGCACATGAGGTGTCACCATTAAACCAACAAGCACTGGCAACTAGTCAATTAGACAAGAAAAAGAAATGAAAGGCATCCAAATTAGAAAGGAAGAAGTAAAACTACCTGTTTGTATGACATGATCTTTTTCTTTTTTTAAGATTGGCCCTGAGCTAACATCTGTGGCCAATCTGTTTTTTTCTTCTTATTCTTCTCCCCAAATCCCCCCAGTACATAGTTGTATATTCTAGTTGTAGATCCTTCTAGTTCTGCTATGTGGGACGCCACCTCAGCATGGCGTGATGAGTGGTACTAGGTCCATGCCCAGGATCCAAAACGGCAAAACCCCAGGATGCCAAAGTGGAGTGTGTGAACCCAACCACTTGGCCACAGGGCCAGCCCCTGACAAGATCTTTCATGTAGAAAATCCTAAAAATTTCACACACACACAAAAAACTGTTAAAATGAAAATGATTTCAGCAAAGTTGCAGGATACAAAAATCAACACACAAAAATCAGTTACATTTTCTACACACTAACAATGACTAATTCAAAATGGAAATTAAGAAAACAATCCCATTTACGATAGACTCTAAAAGAATAAAATACTTCAGAATAAATTTAACCAAAGAGATGAAAGATTTGTACACTAAAAACTATAAAACATTACTAAAGCAAATCAAAGAACATACAAATAAATGGAAAGACATCATGTTCATGGAGTGGAAGACTTAATATTGTTAAAATGTCCATACTACCCAAAATGATCTAGAGAGTCAATGCAATTCCTATCAAAATCCCAATGGTATTTTTTGCATAAATAGGGAAAAAGCCTAAAACTGAAATAGAAGCTCAAGGGACCATGAATGCCAAAACAATCTAAAAAATGAAAAACACAATTCGGGACCTCACACTTCTTGATTTCAAAACATACTACAAAGCAACAGTAATCAAGGCAATGTGGTATTGGCATAAAGACAGACATACAGACCAATGGAACAGAACGGAAAGCCCAGAAATAAACCCTCATGTATGTGATCAAATGATCTTCAACAAGGGTGCCAACACCACACAATGGGGAAGGGATAGTCTCTTCAACAAATGAAGAAATTTCCCTCGTGCTGGGAAAACTGGATATCCACATCCAAAAGAACGAAGTTGGACAGTAACCTTACACGATATACAAAAATTAACTCAAAATGGGTTAAAGACCTAAACATAACACCTAAAACTATAAAACTCCTAGAAGAAAACATAGGGGCAAAGCTTTAGGACATTGGATTTGTCAATGATTTCTTGGATATGACACCAAAAGCACAGGCAACAAAAGTAAAAATAGACAAATAGGACCACATCAAACTGAAAAACTCTGTGCATCAAGGGAAACAATCAACAGAGTGAAAAGGCAACCTACAGAATGGTAGAAAATATTTGTAATCATATATTTAATAAGGGTTAACATGCAGAATATGTAAGGAAGTCCTATAACTTAACAACAAAAATGACAATTCAAAAATGGGCAAAAGACTTGAATAGACAATTCTCCAAAGAAAATATACAAATAGCCAACAAGCGTATGAAAAGATATTCAACATCACTAATGATTCAAGAAATGCAAATCAAAACCACAATGAGATATTACCTCACGCTCATTAGGATAATCACTAACAAAATAAGAGAAAACAAGAGTTGATGAATATAAATAAAAATTAGAACCCTAGTGCAGTGTTGGTGGGAGTGTAAAACTGTGCAGCCGCTATGGAAAAACAGTATGGAGGTTCCTCAAAAAATTAAAAATAGGATTACCATATGATCCATCAAAATCTTCCTTCTGGGTGTATAACCAAAAGAATTCAAAGCAAGATCTTAAAGAGATATTTGCACACCCATGTTCACTGTAACATTATTCACAATAGCCAAGAGGTAGAAACAATCCAAATGTCCATCAACAGATGAATAGATAAAGAAAGCGTGGTATATACATTCCATACATACAATGGAATATTATGCAGACTTAAAAAAAGGGAGGAGATTCTGTCACATGCTAGAATATGGATGAACATGGAGGACATTATGCTAAGTGAAATAAGCCAGTTACAAAATGACAAATACTGTATGATACCACTCATATGAAGTATCTGAAGTAGTCAAAATCATAAAAATGGAAAGTAGTAGACAGATGGTTGCCAACGTCTGGGAGAAGAGGGAAGGAGGAATTAATGTTTAATGGGCAGAGAGTTTCAGTCGTGCAAGATGAAAAAGTTCTAGAAATCTCTTGCACAACAACGTGAATACACCTAACACTACTGAACTGTACACTTACAAATGGCTAAGATGGTGAATTTGTTATGTATTTATAACCACAACTAAAAATAAAATAATTTTAAAAAATACATTTGGGGCTCTTTACAGCTCTCCAAAGCAAAAAGAAAAGTACTGTTCTTTTCTTCTCTATACCTTAATATCATTTACAACCCTTTCTTATTAAAGAAGTATGGACTACAGAGAACCACATTTCCCACTGCCACGCAATGATCCTATCTTTAATGAAAATTCTTACTGACCCCAGAATCATCACCCTAATTTTTTAAAATACACATTAGAAACCAATATACTAGTTTGAAAAAGGAAATGAAAGGGGGAAATTTGTGAAAAAGGAAATGAACATACTTAAATATAGCCTCTACAGACTACAAACCTCATGAAGCAACAATCAACATATACTGTATACCCTGTCGCCAACTTCATAAATATTACTAAAGAGGGATGTCTCGGAAGAAGGCATTGTGTAAAGTTTGATTAAAATACATACACTAAAAGTAGCAGATGCAAAAAGAGGATAACCAAAGAAATAAAGTAAGTGAGCAGGTGCGGAAGCCCTCTAAGCCCAGAACGAACAGGCACAAATACACAGCTTCAGCCTCGTCAGCAGGTGAGGAGTTACAGTCTTCTTTAATAAGATAATGTGAATAACTCAGGGCAGATAAAGTCATTCTCCTTAACCAAAAATAACTGCCCAGCTGCAGAGAACAGCTACTGCCTAAAAGAGACTGAAACTCATTACAGACACAGGGAACCTGAAGGCAAGAATCCTTCTGGATAGGATAGGAACTAGCAACCTGGGACACTTAAACAACATAACACAAAAATCATACCTACTACATCTCTTTGACAATCAGATGTCTAATGCATGCACTCCAACAAATAACTCATAGTAATCCAGGGTCTACATTATTTGGCATATGGAAACCTACCTTATGGTGGTGAGGAGAGGAATCTGAGAGGATATACAGCTGCTATCAAAGATTCTGCAAAATAAAAATCAAGAATAAAGTAACACACTTTTTATTGTTTCTTGAAATTTTTCTGAAATAACATCAGTGTATTTAACAAGATTTTCATTGGTTAATGATATAAAATACGATTGTTATTTTAAAAGATGTAGGATTAGGCTGTGACAAACCTTAGCTGGTATATTTAACAAAAGTTACAAGGAATATTATAAAATTTAGTGTTTATATAGTTTAGTGTGGAAATAATTTATTTAAATACTATTAATCCAAACTTAAAATGTACATTCTAAAGTGATAACCTGGACTCAAAAACTATATTCAGATTCACAGTCATATAGGTAATATATAAGGAATGTGGTCTGAAAATGTACAAAATAACCTAAAAGTCCATGCATGTATCAATAGCAATTTCCCCATGAGACTCACCAGTTGAGGGTCTGATAGTGTCATTTCCAGGTGCTGGCAAGACTAAGACTGGCCAGCAAAGGGAGGACTTCTTGTAGGGCAGCTGGAGGAATCCAGAAGCCTCTGCCAGCTACCCAGGCAGAAAGAAACTAACCACATCTCCACCACCTCCCCCTTCTCCTTGTTCCTAGCTATTCCAGTGTAGTTTCTTGACGCTAGACCTTACTGTCTAATTAGATTAATAGAAAGTCAAATCACTAACAACTAATGTAACAAGAGTGAACTTTGCAGTACAAATGAACAGAAATGGGACAAACAGGTAGCTCTTGAGACAAAGGAAACTGTGTGGGTGGAAAGAGGACACTGCACTCCCATTGCCTGGTGACTAAATCTCTTAATGCACCAGCTGGTAATGCTCACAGACTTTACCAGAAACTAATTGAGGGCACCTGTCACACATACAGACCATGCTCCTCCCAAAAGATGGGTCTAAACAGAAATTAGGTGCCTTTCTAGAGCCTGGCCCACAGTATACATTCAACAGATACTTGTTGAGTGAATAATGAATGAATTCCAAAATCACTTAAGATAAACCTCTCCTAAACTGAGAAATGCTTGCAATGTTAAAATCAGGATCCTAGAAGAGAACAAAATCATTTTCCTTCATGGTTGCACTTGAAATTCTCCACATCTTTTCTTATTGGCATTATTTTCTATTTTTGGTCCAACTGGTTTACATTACATTTTTAAATCCATTTTTAAGCAGCAGCATCAGAAAGGTACCAAAGCTGGGGCCGGCCCCGTGGCCGAGTGGTTAAGTTCGCAGGCTCTGCTTCGGCCACCCAGGGTTTCACCAGTTGGGATCCTGGGTGCAGACGTGGAACCACTCATCAAGCCATGCTGAGGTGGCATCCCACATGCCACAACTAGAAGGACCCACAACTAAAAAATATACAACTATGTACTAGGGGCTTTGGGGAGAAAAAGGAAAAATAAAATCTTTAAAAAAAAAAGAAAGATACCAAAGCTAAAACCATAAAACTATATCCAGCAGTTTGTATAGAAGCCCAGTTTTTGCTCTTTTCTGCCTGCTCAGGGCCTGCGGCTCCACAACTTTCATTCAGCACCTTTCTCGTAGAGCATGTCCTACTATCCACAAGTCAGAGCTTCTCCCTAAGTTAAAATTATCTCCTTTCCAAGATATCACAAGCCTGGTTTCGTTGGGATTTCTGGAATTATTCAGAGCTGAAAGGGAAGCCTGACATCGACTCCCCAGGGCAGCTACTGACCTTCTCTGTCAATCTCAAGGAAATTTCCAGACCCCAAAACTGCTGAAAAGCCATTAAGTACAGGCCACAGATCTCAGGAACCTAGATATGGCTACAAAACGATAACGCTAACGATTTAATAAGGAGCACAGTGAACAAAGCTACTGGTTTACTGACGCAGTAGCTACAAACTCCTGAGATTCCTTAACAACATACTTCTGTCTTCCCAATTTACCTCAGCTTACAATCAGCACATGTGGTCACTACTCTGTTACCAGTAAGAGGTGAAAAATAGGCAGAGGCGAGGCTCTTTGTGTGTTCAGTCAAAGAAATCAAAGGCTGGTTTCCCTTGGGAGTCAGGCGCCTTGCATCATAAATATGAACATCCCTGTAATGGGAAGAATAATTCTTAGTGTTGCCACAGTCTATGTAGTTCGTCTCTAGAACAGCGCTAAAGATAAATTAGACACTCAAATGCTCATTACGTTGAAGAACAGTTAAGACAGAATCCTCTAATCTTCTCTATTAATTTTACAAACACTGGCATAGATAAAAAACAGTAGAAAAATTCCAAAACTATAGCATATATATGTAACCAGTGGGTACAGAGAGACAAGATTCTAGTTGGTTTTCTAATCTCTCCAAGAAAAAATTTAACAGAGACCAACAAGTTATAGATCACATATAACTTTTTGTTTTTTACAAGTTTTCTCAAAAGACTAGAAGTAAATGCATCTGATGCCAAGGAAAACAAAAATGTGTTTTTGTTTCAATGCTTTCAATATTTATTAAATCCCAAAGAATCTCTCATTTAAAAAAAATCACACTAAAAAGAACTTTAGTTGGTATAGAAAGGAAAATTATTTGGCCTGTGGGTATCACAAGGCAGATGTCCTTGACAACCAAGCTAAAACATTATTCCTAACATTAAAAGCCCTAAACCATAAAATTTTATGAAGAACATACCTCAATCCTGCAGTGATGAAATATTGTCTATGCACTGGGTGGACATGAACAGTTCTTATTTTTCTCAAAGAAGAACTGATAAGTTTCTCATAAGAAGTTCCAGGTGTCCGTCTATCCACCAATGACAAACTTCCATCCCAGTGGCCTACTACTAAAGAGGAGGCATCTTCTGCCAAGAAGTCAAAGGAAGAAAAGCTACTTCTTTCGTCTCTATATACCTAAGGATATAAGTAATAATCAACTTATATAACACTTCTTTTAAAAAAAGCTAATGCATAAATTCTTTGGTAAAAGAGTTATAAAACACCTTACCCAAACAACCTCATTTATCCTCCCATCATCCCCACAGGAAGCACAGGGCAAAATGATCAACCCCTTTCACAGAGATGAAACTAAGGTACTAATCAGCCTTGAGACTCGCCTGCTATCAAATGGCCCATCCACTCATGTCAGAGCTACATTCCAAATCTCTTAAATCCAATAAACCTCAGATACAGATCTGCTCTGTGAAAGTTACTAGGAAATGGATTGGATCTGAATTCTACCCAACTGAAATACCTTCAAATAGCAAGTAACTTTGCCAACCAAGTCCAAGATATATGGCTGAATGCTCACCTACTTTTGATGGAAATGTAAACAGACACAAATTTTTGACAGCTAATCAGATACATTCTACCAAAATATTTAATGCTTATACCAAATAATTTCACTAAGATATATATAAGGATGCCTGCAGCAAGGCTGCTCATAATAGCAATAAGAAGTAACCTAAATGTCCACCAAAAGAGATCTGGTTAAATAAATGATGGTACATCTCCACTTTGAAATATTGTGTAATGCCAAAAAGAATGAGGTAGATTTGTACTACTAACTGTTCAAAGTACTTTTTAAGCGAAAAAAGCAAGTTGCAAAAAAGTATGTATATAGTATGAATACATTAGCGCAAAGAAAAAATATATATATATGCTTGTAAGTATATGTCTACTTTCTGGAAGCATACACAAAAAATACAAGGGTTACTTCTAAAGAGTGGGAATGGGGGAAGCTTTACCCCCCCCAAGGTAGCTTTACCTTGCATACCCTATCTACTGTAAATATATTACCATCAGCAAGTATTAATATAATTTTTTAATCACTTATAACCCACAATACTATCACTTTGGGTTCAGGGCTCACACATATAAGGAATAAAAAATAAATGTGGTGGGGGCTGGCCCCGTGGCCGAGTGGTTAAGTTCGCGCACTCCGCTGCAGGCGGCCCAGTGTTTCGTTGGTTCGAATCCTGGGCGCGGACATGGCACTGCTCATCAAACCACGCTGAGGCAGCATCCCACATGCCACAACTAGAAGGACCCACAACGAAGGCTACACAACTATGTACTGGGGGGCTTTGGGGAGAAAAAGGAAAAAAATAAAATCTATAAATAAATTAAATAAATGAATGAATGAATGAATGAATGTGGTAAGGCCAACCTTGGTGGCCTAGTAGTTAAGAGTAGTTAAGAGTAGTTAAGTTTGCCATGCTCTGCTTCGGCGGCCCAGGTTCAGTTCCCAGGCAGAGATGTACACCACTTACTATCAGTGGTCACGCTGTGGCAGCAGCTCACAGGAAAACTAGAGGAAGACTGGCAACAGATGTTAGCTCAGGGTAAATCTTTCCCAGTAAAAAAAAAAACAAGTCGTAGAATGTGTCAGTATTCAAGTAAGAGAGAGTGACCACAATTCTAATTGCTGAATTTTATTTTTAATAACAAGTATAATTATGAACTGAGATTAACAAATTAATAAACTAAAGGCATCCCAACCCCCACACACCCCAAAAAACCCAATATACAGGAGCTTTAGAGTCAGACAGACCCAAGTGCAAATTCTAGTTCTGCCATTTACGTCCTTAAGCAAGCTAATAAATCTCTTTACCTCAGTTTTTTCAGCTGTTAAATGGAGATAACATTATCTATTTCATAGGGTGTTATAAAGGTTAATAATATATATATGTAAAGCACATTCAGGTTAATGCCTAACACGAGGTAACTGTTCAATCAGTAGTATCAGGAGCAAATTACTGATACATGCTACATCATGGATGAATCTTAAAAGCATTGTGCTAGGTAAAAGAAGTCAGACAAAAAGCTACATACTGTATGATTCCATTTACTCGACATTCTGGAACAGGGTAAATTACATTTCTGTAATAATGTAATAATCACATCAATGGTTTCCAGAGACTTCAAGAAGGGAGGGGAGACTGACTACAAAGGGTCATGAGGTGACTTTTTTGGATGATGAAAATTTTCTATACCTTGATTGTGGTCGTTGTCATACAGGTGTATACAATTTGCCCAAACTCATAGAACTGTACACCTAAAAATGTAAATTTTACCCTAATAAATGTGACTTAAAAAAAATAAGTAGAGAACTCTTAAAACTCTATACTAAAAAGATAACCCAATTGAAAAATAGGCAAAGGATCCAAATAGACATTTCTCTAAAGAAATATAAATGGCCAATAAGCAGATGAAAAGATGCTCAGCATCATTAGTCATTAGGGAAATGGAAATCAAAACCACACGCAATACCATGTCATACCCATTAGGGCGGCTATAGTCACCAACAATAACAAGTGTTGGCAAGGACATGGTCAAATTGGAACTCTCATACATTGCCGATGAGTATGTAAAATGGTGAAGCCGGTTTGGAAAACAGTTTGGCAGTTCCCCAAAATGTTAACCATAGAGTTACCATATGACTCCACAATTCTCATATTGGGTATATTTGGGAATATACCCAACAGAAATGAAAGCATATGTCCACAGAAGACTTGTGCATGAATGTTTCTAACAGCATTATTTGCAACAGTAAAAAATGGAAACAACCAAAATGATCATCAACTAATGAATGGATGAGTAAAATGTGGTGTATCCATACAATGAAACATTATTCAGCCATAAAAAAAAGGATGACGTACTGACACATTCTACAACATGGATGAACCTTGAAAACATTTTGCTAGCAAAAGAAGCCAGTCACAAAAGACTACAAATTGTATGATTCCATTTATATGAAATGTCCAGAACAGGCAAATCTATAAGGACAGAAAGTAGATCAGTGGTTGCCTAGGGCTGGGAGGAGGGGAAAACTGGGAGTATCTGCTAATGGACAAGGGGTTTCTTTTTAGGGTGATGAAAATATTCTAAAATTAGATTGTGGTAATGATTTCACAATTCTGTAAATATACAAAAAACCATTGGATTTTACACTTTAAATGGGTGAACTGTGTGGTATGTGAATTATATTTTGATAAAGTTGTTTAAAAAAATAAGTATAATCAGTTATTAAGTGGCTGATAAAATATAGATATACCTTTAAATTTCAAACTCCAACCTTCTTGTAAGAAGATAAACAAATACAAAAGAGAACATGACTTGCATAGACAACTTCATTGTTGTGCATTAATAACCAAAGTGCTACCATTAAACAGTTTAAAGAGGACTTTACACAAATATTATCTCATTTAATCCACGACTGATAGCCTATTTATTTCTAATAAGGATTTGAAATATCAATGTTGCTCTTAGAAACCTATTTTTAAAAAGGTAGAGATAAAAATTGTAAGAAAAAAAGACACAAAGATACTGATAAGAAAAGAAACTGTTTCTCCTAATTGTCAGTAGTTAGGAAATCAAGCATGACCAACAACACAACATTAATAGTCTGGAAGGTTTTTTTTCATATGGTTATAAACAGACCTTAAGGCACTTAAACATCCTTACTTTTAAAAGAAAACCCAAGAACTATTAGCCCTCAGCAGGGAGAAAAAGCTTCCTCAATTGTAAGAAAGATCATTTTAGGAATACAATGAAAAGCAAAACAAAAGCAGGTACATACTATAATTATTAAAATGATTATTTTAAAACTCTTTTAAAAATAATTATGAATCACCTGTACAAGGAATATTAAAAAAATTACAAAGACATCAGAATCTGTTAATTTTGAGTACTGCCTTATATAAAAAATTAAGGCATAAAATTAGATCATAAATTATTTACAAAGCAACTTCAGTGATGAGTACCCTATTCTCTTCATTGTCTATCACGTATAAAATGCTCTTATACTGAGGACCTCTAAAAACTTTAAAAGTCTCATTCAAAATAAGATAAAGGATAAAACCTCAGATCTAAACCATCATAAGTTTCATAAGATTAAAATCTACAATAAAAAGAAAAGTTTGATTTGTAAGAATTCTCTTATTGAGAAAATCTGATACAGTTAAGCAAATTTGAAAGTTCACCTTAAGTAGTAGACCAAAACGTAATCACTGGGATCCAATATTGTGAGGATTCCTCAGGCCTTTTGGAAGCTTCTGGCCTACTCTGCCAGAGATCAACTGATTAGAAAATCTCCAAGGAATAGTCTGGTGATCTAGGTAGAGTGTCTCTGGAAGGATGGGTGGTCGTGAGTATGAGCCCACAGTCTTTCAACCATTCTTAAACAGGCTTCAACTTAATTTGACCTTGCAGGGGGGTTAGAACAGCCCAGGAACAGACTTTATATTTATACTCAACAAGTGGTTACAAATAAACTTGGCCTAAGATGTTCTAAGATGCTGAATAAAACCAACTAGGTGTCCATTTCTTGCTAGAGTACAATTATACGACATCCAATGGCAATTCTTCATCCTAACTTCACCAGATAAAAACAAGTGAGCTAATCTCTTTACCATCACATATATATGGCATATAAGACACTATATATCCTAGCTAGAAGACTAGAGAAAACCAAATTTTGTAGTGTCTGTGTTATATTACAGGTCAAAAGTTTTAAGTAAGGGCCGGCCCCGTGGCCAAGTGGTTAAGTTAGAGCACTCCGCTTCCGTGGCCCAGGGTTTCACCGGTTTGGATCCCAGGCGTGGACATGGCACCGCTCATCAGGTGATGCTGAGGTGGCACCCCATATACCACAACTAGAAGGACCCACAACTAAAAATACACAACTATGTACCGGGGGGCCTTGGGGAGAAAAAGGAAAAATAAAATCTTAAAAAAAAAAAGTTTTAAGTATAATGTAATGTAATACTGTTAAGTGATGAATTTCTCTATAGTCTTTCTTGCCACATTTAAGACTCATCTCCACAAAATTCACATCTGCAAAAGCCAGGACCAATGAACACAAGTATAATAATATTTCAATTTTTTCCCCTGAGTGAAAAAGAAGTACAAGTCTTAAGCCTAAAAATAGAAGAGTAAATTAATTTATTGAAAAGCTTTTTGCAAAAATGAAAAAATAAAAATAACATGAGCAAACACTCTGTGCCAGGCTCTAAGTACTATATTTGCATTAATTGATTTAATCCTTATGACAACCACATAAAGCAGATACTATTACTATCCCACTTCACAACTGAAGAAATTGAGGCACAAAGAGGTTAAGAAACTTGCAAAGGTCACACAAGTAGTAACAGATGGTCTGGGATTTTAACTCGGGCAGTATAGTTCTAAAGTTCCTATTCTATACCACCTCACCCAATCTGGTATAATAATCATTCATGTAGCATCTCATAGAAAATCCAGAATAACATCTGAAGTCAACACATAAACACATTAATATTTACCTCATCAAAAACAGCTCTGGAAAAATCCCCACAGCGTAATGTGCCATCATAGCTCAATGACAGTATATGAGCTGGATTGGCAGGTGAGAAGTAAAGACAGCTAACTGGCTGACTATGGGGTTGAAAAACATAAATTCCATCTTCTTTAGGTTGGTGACTCTAGAAGAGAGTTGGGGGCAGGGAGAAAGACAAAAACTAGTGAAAAGTAGTAATATTTTCTACATCATTATGTCATTAACTATTTACATCTGTATTATATTGTCTTTTCTTAGTCTATAATTGTACCCACTCTCCCATTCAGAAAGTCAGAATTTGAAACTTTATGCTGTTACTATATTACTTTTTTCTAATTTTCAATCTAGCAATATTAAGTCACATTTATTTTAACTAGCAAACTAGTCTTTTCATAATACAGAGGGAAAAAATTACTGCTTATTATGACTTCAGTTCATGAAATCTTCAGGAAATGAGAAATCTCCTCTTCATTTCACACACAGCATAATCCCTGACTATCAAAAACAGTATTGATACCACTACCACCTTACTTGCTACGTGTGCTTCTATATAATATGAGTATATCATTCTCAGCACAATTTTCATAAGGTATTTGGTCCTGGCACAAAATAATCATTTTTTAAATATTTTATCCCCTAAATACACCATGAAAATTCATGTATTTGAATTTCCACATTAGAGTTACTACTTCTAAGGATTATCCTTTCCACAACTGTATTACCTATTCCTAAATCATCACTTGTCAGATTTGAATAAGTTATATTCCTATGCCATATGTTATATTATGAACCAGATCAACTATCATCTCCAAATCTGGCTTAGTCTGCTCTGAAATACTCAAACATTGTTTTCTTTTTTTATTTAAACTTTAAAATAAACAGAAGAACTTTTAAAAAGGAAAGAAAGAAAAAAAATTCCAATTACACACACTCCTCCTCCTAGCCCGGGTTAATCACTGTTAACATCTTGTTTATAGCATTTATTTTTTAGAAAAACAAAAGTTTCCATTGTTATAAAGAACCCAAAAACTATGCAAATATACAAAAAGTTTTTAAAAATCACTTCAAATCTAAAATTAACCAAAATTATCATTACAGATATCTCTATACGTACTTCTGTAGACAGAATGACAGAGGAGAAATTTAGGAAAAAATCAGACCATGCTATATACGCCATTTTTAATATTATTAAATTTAACTATACTTCAAAATAATAAAATAAAATCAGTCTAAAGGAATTTCTGAACTTTGAGTATTTCTTTATAAGAGATATCTCCTAAGAAAAAAGTATAAAACATAAAGCAGTTTTAGTCATTATGCTTTTTTATTTTTTTAACTATGTCTCAATTTTAGATGATTTCTATTGATTGAGAACATTATTCTCACTCCTCCTCCAATCTTCCCTTTCTCCATCTCTATATTTTGTTATATTATTATTTTTATTTTGTCCAGGTTGATAACATTCACATCCAGTTCTGTAACTATAATTCATACAGCTGTTTAATATTACGTTCTGCATTTAAATGGATTCAACACTCATGATTAATTCTTTTCTCTAGCTTCTCCATTCTTAATTTTGATTTACTCTTAATTGGCTGAAATTTGCTGTCAAGCAGGTTTTTTCCAGATGAACTCACAGGTCTTGAATTTCTTAAGTTTTTTCACAATTGAGAACACCCACCTGCTGCCTTTATATTAGAACAATCTCTTGTGCTGGGTAAATATTCCAGGGCTACCCTTCCTTCCCTCAGAACTTTGTAGACATTACATGCAATGTTGCTGTAGAAAACCATGGCAAGCCTGTCTTTTCACCTTGAATATAATTTGTTTTTTCTGCCTGAAGAATTCTTTATCCTTTAAGTTTCAAATTTTCCTAGGACATGGTGTATACATTCAATCTGCCAATTCAAATCTGTCTTTGCAGAAAAATTCTCTTTGAATATGTTTTCTGTTCCATTTGTTGTGTCATCTTTGACTGTCTTTCCCTTTCTATTGGCTTGTCTCTTAAAGCTTTCTCATCTGTTTGAGATTACCTCAGATCTTTAATGTCTGTAATTTAATTTTCATTAATGCCTATTCTGTTCCTTGTTTTTGTCTAATTTATTAGTTTCATTGATCTTCAATTTGTTTCCTTAGTTCTGCAATCTCCTTTTTCATCTCATTCTGTTGTTTTATCATCTTATCTTTGAGTCTTATTTTACCAAAATAATGTTGTCTTTAACTTACTTCATGGCAGCACTGTCCAAAGGACTTTCTGAGATGTTCTATATCCACTAGCAATGTGTGGCTATTAAGCACTAAAAATGTGCCTAGTTTAACTGACAACTGAATTTTCTATTTAAATGTAAACAGTCTCATATGACTTGCAGCTACTGTACTGAACAGTGCAGTTCTACAGCCTGGAGCAACCATGGAAAATTTCCTTCCTTTCCTTGAGTTATGTTTTTCTTCTACATCTGTCTTTGCATGCTAGGTTCTTTGGCTGTTTTTGTGCTAGCGTTTGTCTAGTTGCCATGTCATTATTTTTGTTTTCATCATGCTTGAATTTCTCTGTCCATGTTAGTTTCTCCAACATAATATAACATACTGACTCTTTCTCCTAGTATCTTATAACCAGTTCGTTTTTACCTCAGACAAGCACAGTCTTTTACATAGCCAGGAAGAAAGATGGAGGCCGGAGGAGGGAGGTGGATAGTTGGTTTCAGCTGAAACAGCACACAGGAAGGTCAAGATATTGGTTTTAGACTAGCTCAATCTGTTAATGGGATCGCCAAGTGTCCTGGAACCTTAGAAGGCTGAGAGAGATACTGGACTACAGAGACCTAGTAATACAGATTTTTGGAGTCACAAGGAAAGACATAACAAACAGACTTTCCTACATGTCTTCAACTCTGTACAGATCAAAGCAACCTGAAAAGATCTTCATTTGACTATGTTAATTCTCTATTTTTTCTTTTCAAAGTTCTTCAACAAATAGTCTTTACCGATTGCTTCCATTTCTTCCACTACCCCATTCTTTTTTACTCTCCTAAAGTCTGTTACCTTCCTTACCTCATCATTGAAGCTATTCTCTCAACTCACTAATGCTACCCTATTTTTAAAAAACCAATGGCATTTTCCCTGTTCCCATTCTTCTGACTTCTCTGCAAGAAGCCCTGTCAAACTCCCATCCTTGAAACTCATCTCATAGCTTGTACAACCTGATACTATTTCTGGTCCTCTTCTCATTTCTCTGCTTCTGTTTTCTTTACCGAATCCTTTCACCTCCTCCTGCCACTCATATCTTATCAAAATAAGGGCGAGCCTATGTTCCCAAAATAAGAGAGAAGTTAGTTCTTATTTCTCAATCAGTAGACTGAAACACATGGGAAGAGAAACAAGGGACATACAGAGCAAACATAAAATGAGTGCTAAAATGGCAGCATTAAGCCCTCATATATCAATAATCACTGTAAATCTAAATAAATGGATTGTATTCTCCAATCAAAAGACACAGTGGCGGGATGGATTAAAAAACAAGACCCAACAATATGCTGCCTCCATGAAACACATCTCAGCTGTAAAGACAAACACAGGCTTACAGTGAAGGGATGGAAGATGATACTCCAAGCTAATGGCAAACAAAAGAAAGCGGGGGTTGCCATACTTATATCAGACAAAGTAGACTTCAAGATAAAACAGGCAATGAGAGACAAAGAGGGGGCAGTATACAATGATAAAAAGGACACTCTACCAAGAAGACATAACACTGATAAATATATATGCACCCAACACAGGAGCACCAAAGTACATAAAGCAACTATTAACAGACCTAAAAGGAAATATTAACAACATAACAGTAGCAGGGGACCTTAACACTTACATCAATGGATAGATGAGACAGACAGAAAGTCAACAAGGAAACAGTGGAATTAAATGAAAAGCTAGAGCAGATGGACTTTACAGACCTATATAGAACACTCCATCCAAAAACAGCAGAATACATACTCTTCTCAAGTGCACATGGAACATTCTCAAGGATAGACTATATGCTGAGAAACAAGACAAGCCTCAATAAATTTAAGAAGACTGAAATCATATCAAGCATCTTTTCTGACCAAAATCTATAAAACTAGTACTCAACTACAAGAAAAAAGCTAGGAAAGTGACAAATATGTGGAGACGAAACAACATGCTACTGAACAACCAATGGATCATTGAAGAAATTAAAGAAGAAATAAAAAAATATCTGGAGACAAATGAAAATACACTATACGAACTCATATGGGTGGCAGCAAAAGCAGTCTGAAAAGGGAAATTCACAGCAATGTAGGCCCACCTTAAAAAACAAGAAAAATCTCAAATAAGCAATCTTAAACTACACCAAACAGAATTAGAAAAAGAAGAACAAACAAAGCCCAAAGTCAGCAGAAGGAGGGAAACAATAAAAGTCAGAGCAGAAATAAATGAAATTGAAACCAAAAAAAAAAAACCAACAGTAGAAAGGATCACTGAAGCTAAGAGCTGATTCTTTGAGAGGATAAATAACATTGACAAACCCTTAGCCAGACTCACTAAGAAAAAAAGAGAGAAGGCTCAAATAAATAAAATTATGAAAGAGGAGAAATCACAACAGATACTAGAGAAATACAAAGGATTATAAGAGAATGCTATGAAAAACTATATGCCCACAAATTGGACAATCTAGAAGAAATGGATAAATTCTTAGACTCATACAACCTCCCAAAACTGAATGAAGAATAGAGAATCTGAATAGACCAATCACAACTAAGGAGAGTGAAACAGTAATCAAAAACTTCCCAAAAAATAGGGGCTGGCCCCGTGGCTGAGTGGTTAATTCGCGCTCCGCTGCAGGTGGCCCAGTGTTTCGTTGGTTCGAATCCCATGCGCGGACATGGCACTGCTCATCAAACCACGCTGAGGCAGCGTCCCACATGCCACAACTAGAAGGACCCACAGTGAAGAATATATACAACTATGCACCGGGGGGCTTTGGGGAGAAAAAGGAAAAAATAAAATCTTTAAATAAATAAATAAAATAAATAAATAAATAAATAAATAAATAAATAAAATTTAAAAAAACAAAAGTTCAGGACCAGATGGCTTCTCTGGAGAATTATACCAAACCTTCAAAGAAGATTTAATACTAATCTTTCTCAATCTATTCCAAATAGTTGAAGAAGACGGGACACTTGTTAACACATTTTACAAGGCCAACATCACCCTGATCCCAAAGCCAGACAAGGACAATACAAAGAAGGAAAATTACAAGCCGATATCACTAATGAACATAAATGCAAAAATCCTCAACAAAATAGTCGCAAACCGAATACAGTAATACATTAAAAAGATCATACACTATGATCAAGTGGGATTTATACCAGGGACACAGGGATGGTTCAATAACCACAAACCAATCAACGTGATACACCACATTAACAAAATGAGGAATAAAAAATGCATCATCATCTGAATAGATGCAGAGAAAGCATGTGACAAGATCCAACAGCCATTTATGATAAAACTCTCAATGAAATGGGTATAGAAGGAAAGTACTTCAACATAATAAAGGCCATATATAACAAACCCACAGCCAACACTATACTCAACAGGAAAAAACTGAGTCATCCCTCTGAGAAGAATAACAAGACAAGGGTGCCCACTCTCACCACTCTTTTTCAACACAGTACCGGAGGTCCTGGCCAGAGCAATAGGGAAGAAAAAGTAGTAAAAGGAATCCAAATAGGCAATGAAAAAGTGAAACTCTCACTGTTTGAAGATGACATGATTTTATACACAGAAAACCCTAAAAAATCCATCAGAAAACTATTAGAAATAATCAACAAATACAGCACAGTTGCAGGGTACCAAATCAGCTTACAAAAATCAGTTGCATTTCTATACTCTGATAACGAACTAATAGAATGAGAACTCAAGAATACAATCCCATTTACAACTGCAACAAAAAGAACAAAATATCTAGGAATAAATTTAACCAAGGAGGTGAAAGACCTATACAATGAAAACTATAAGACATTATTGAAAGAAATCGATGATGACATAAAGAAATGGAAAGATATTCCACACACATGGTTTGGAAGAAGAAACATAGTTAAAATGTCCATACTACCTAAAGCAATCTATAGATTCAGTGCAATCCCAATCAGAATCCCAATGACATTCTTCACAGAAATAGAACAAAGAATCCTAAAATTCATATGGGGCAACAAAAGACCTCAAATAGCTAAAGTAATCCTGAGAAAAAACAACAAACCTGGAGGCATCACAATCCCTGACTTCAAAATATACTACAAAGCTATAGTAATCAAAACAGCATGGTTAGGGCCAGCCCCATGGCTGAGTGGTTCAGTCTGTGCGCTCTGCTTCAGCAGCCCAGTGTTTTGCCAGTTTGGATCCTGGGCACAGACGTGGCACTGCTCATTAAGCCATGCTGAGGTGGTGTCCCACATAGCACAACCAGAAGGACCTGCAACTAGAATATACACCTACATACTGGGGGGCTTTGGAGAGGAGAAGAAGATTGGCAACAGAAGTTAGCTCAGGTGCCAATCTTAAAACAAGAAAACAGCATGGTACTGGTACAAAAACAGGCACATAGATTCATGGAACAGAATTGAAAACCCAGAAACAAAACCACACATCTTTGGATAGCTAATCTTCGACAAAGGAGCTAAGAATACACAATGGAGAAAGGAAAGTCTCTTCAATAAATCTTGGGAAAACTGGACAGCCACATGCAAAAGAATGAAAGTAGACCATTATCTTTCACCATACACAAAAATTAACTCAAGTGCATCAAAGACTTGAAGGTAAGATCCAAAACCCTAAAACTCCTAGGAGAAAATATAGGCAGTAGACTCTTTGACATTGGTCTTAAAAAGCTCTTTGCAAATACCATGTCTACTGGAACAAGGAAAACAAAAGAAAAAATAAACAAGTGGGACTTCAGATTAAAGAGCTTCTGCAAGGCAAAGGAAACAAGAAACAAAATGAAAAGACAATCCACCAACTGGGAGAAAATATTTGCAAATCATATATGCAACAATGGGTTAATCTCCAAAATATATAAAGAACTCACACAACTCAACAACAAAAAAATCAAACAACCTGATCGAAAAATGGGCAGAGGATATGAACAGACATTTCTCCAAAGAAGTGTCAGATGGCCAATAGGCACATGAAAAGATGCTCAACATCACTGATCGTCAGGGAAATGCAAATCAAAACTACACTAAGATATCACCTTACACCCATTAGAACGGCTATAATAACCAAGACAAAAAATAGGAAATGTTGGAGAGGTTGCGGAGAAGAGGGGAACCCTCACACACTGCTGGTGGGAATGCAAACTGGTTCAGCCACTATGGAAAACAGTATGGAGATTTCTCAAAAAACTAAAAATAGAAATACCATATGACCCAGCCATCCCACTACTGGATATCTATCCAAAGAACTTGAAATCAGCAATTCAAAGATACCTCTGCACCCCTATGTTCATTGCAGCATTATTCACAAAGCCAAGATGTGGAATCAACCCAAGTGCCCATGGATTGATGACTGGATAAAGAAGATATGGTACATATATATACAATGGAATACCACTCGGCCATAAAAAATGACAAAATTGTCCCATTCACCACATGGATGGACCTTGAGGGTATTATGTTAAGCGAAATAAGCCAGACAGAAAAAGACAAACACTGTATGATTCCACTCTTATGTGGAAGATAAAGAAACACATAGACAAAGAGAACTATTTAGAGGTTATCAGGGGGAAGGAGGGTGGCGGGGTGAGCACAAAGGGTGAAGGGGCACATCTATAAGATGACTGACTAATAATAAGGTACAACTGAAATTTCACAATATTGTAAACTATCATAACCTCAATAAAAAAAAGAAAAACTCCAAAAAAATACAAGTCCAGGACCAAATGGCTTCTCTGGAGAATTCTACCAAACACTCAAAAAAGACTGAATACTTATCTTTCTCAATCTATTCCAAATAGTTGAAGAAGATGGAATACTTCCTAACACATTTTACAAGGCCAACATCACCCTGATCCCAAAGCCAGATAAGGACAACCTAAAGAAGGAAAATTACAGGCCAATGTCGCTGACTAACATAGATGCAAAACTCCTCAACAAAATATTGACAAACTGCATACAACAATACATTAAAAAGACATACACCATGATCAAGTGGGATTTATACCAGGGATGCAGGGATGGTTCAACATCCGCAAATCAATCAATGTGATACACCACATTAACAAAATGAGGAATAAAAACCACATGATTATCTCAATAGATGCAGAAAAAATGACTGGAATCATCCTAAGCAGATCCCTGAGAAGATATTTTGATCCAGCTTAGAAACTGTATTTTAAACATAATCAGGAAACTAAGAACTTTGTGTGAGCTTTTCACACATACACTTAAAGCTGTAATATAGTTTCCTGGCAGTTAGTTCACGCTCAGACGACTAATGATATTCAAGCTAAAAATGTTAAACTTCTATAAAGCAAATTTAAATTCCTCTATATTTCTAAAATTTGGAATCACAAAAGCACAAAACTATAAACCTCAAGTAACATCTATAAACACATGGCTCTAGGCTATTCTCTTGCAGACTATTTGCTTCAGTCAAACTTTAATATTTTCAAAAAATTAATAATAACTTACCAAATCCCAAAGTCCGACTTGCCCAGATTTGGCCCCAGCTGCCACCAAAGTTCTAGTTTCTGATGGGTGGATAGCTATAGCGAATATTGGGCCTTTGGTAACTTTATTAACAGTATTTTCACTGATGACCATGCCACTTAAACTGGCTTTGTAGCTGAGAACATTAAAAATTCAAATTTTAGAAGTAAAACCAATCTCAATAGTCAAAATAAGTGAAATATGAGTCAAAAGAGAAAAATCACAATTAGTAAATAAATGTAGGAAAATATTCAACTTCCTGGAAACCAAGGAAATCAAATTAAACAATGGAATACCATTTTTCACTTATAAAAGCTAGTAAACTGCAGTTAAACATACACATTCACATATATTGCTAGTGGCAAAGTAAGTTCATATAAGATTTTCAGAAGAAAAAAGATTTTGGAAAACAATTCAGCAATGTTTACTAAGAGCCAGAAAAAAGGCCAAAATATGTGACTCATTAATCTCACTTCTGGAATCTATCCTAAGGCAATAACCCACTATCACTAGTACACACTTCAAGAAACACATGCAAGGGGCTGGCCCCATGGCCAAGTGGTTAACTTCACGTGCTCCACTTTGGGGGCCCAGGGTTTCACTGGTTCGGATCCTGGGCGCAGACATGGAACCACTCATCAGGCCACGTTGAGGTGGCATCCCACATGCCACAACTAGAAGGACCCACAACTAAAGTATACAACTATGTACTGGGGGATTTGGGGAGAAAAAGCAGAAAAAAAAGAAGAAGAAGATTGGCAACAGTTGTTAGCTCAAGTGCCAATCTCTAAAAATAAAAAGAAAGAAACACATGCAGACATACAAACACACAAAACTAAATAGAAAACAACTCCAAATACCAAGGGAGTGAAAGGAAGTTAAGTAAATTCCACCTACTCAATGGAGTATTATGCAATTATTCAATAAATTTCAGGGCTCTAATAACATGCAACCACAATGTTAATGAAAAAGTATAATGCAAAATTGTATATACATTAGAACATAAAATTAAAATTTATGTGAATTCATTCACTTAGTAAACATTGAATGAATATCTATTATGTGCTAGGTACTGTTCTAGTTATTGAGACAAAATCCTGCATTCATCAAGCTTATATCCTAGTGGTATTGCATATGGCAATACTTGAAAGGAAACATACAAAAACAACAGTTGTTAGGGTAGAAATATTACGGGCAATTTTTTCACTTCATTTTCAAAATTTCCTGTAATGGTATATAGTCTTTATAACTTAAAAATCTCAGAAAGTGTAAAACAAAAGCAAGGAATTTTAACTCACCTTTTAATGCTAGATAATCCCTTCTCAGCATTCTTACTACTTGTCTGAAACAATGAGACCAAAGAACTAAGTTAATATATGTACTGAGATTTCCTTAATAGATGATTCTAAAAGCTATAAGCCCCCTAAAATGATACCTTGCTCACTTCTGCCCAAGTCTGTAGAAATCCTTTAAATAGCTCACTGTTATCATCTTGATTTTCAGGAGTCATTTCTAAAGGCCCAGGAGGTAACAAAGGCTGTTATGAAAAATAAGAAAAAAAAAAAGTTGATTGTCACCCTGCCCTAAAATGTAAGCTTGAGGTTTTTCACTACTTTAAACTTTCAACACCAACAACAGGAGTGCCACATTGTTAGCATTCAAAAATAGTTGTTCAATGAATGCCAGGTATCCTGTAAAGTAATAACATGTATTATCTCATTTAATCCTCTCACTAATCCAGTGAATGAGATATCACATTTTATTTTATTTATTTTTTTAACAGCTGTTTTTTTTCATGTTTTTTATTTTTGGTGAGGACAATTGGCCCTGACTAACATCTGTGGCCAATCTTCCTTTTTTTTTTCCCTTCCCAAAACCCCAGTACACAGTTGTATATCCTACTTGTAGGTCATTCTAGTTCCTCTATGTGGGATGCCACCACAGCATGGCCTGATGAGCGGTGTATAGGTCCGCACCCAGGATTCAAACTGACAAATCCCGGGCCACCAAAGTGGAGTGTGCAAACTTAATCACTTGGCCATGGGGCCAGCCCCAGAGATACCACATTTTAAAGATATTGGAATGAAACTTAGGGAAGTTAACTTGTCCAAGTTACACTGCCAATAATTGGAATTGCTGGGAACTGATTCAGATCAATTCAATTTCATTATTCAAAGTTATTATTCTATGCCAGTGTTTTTTAAATCACAAGTTGTAACAATGGGTCGTGAAATCATTTTAATACATCACAACCAGCAATGTGTTTTAGCAAATGAGAAAAGACTAGAATAGAAAATACAAAAACGCATCACATGTAATAAGGATAAACATCAATTCACAAAAGTTTTGTCTCAGTTGTCTGTGTGTGTGTGTGTGTGTGTGTGTGTGTGTGTGGAATGGGTTCAACATAATTATATTTCTTATCATGGATGGAGGCTTCAATAAAATGTGAAAGCTACTCTTCCCCAGCACCTTAATTTGCAATTAGCTCCCAAAGCATCAGTCTAATTAGTACTATGTTTCAATTTATAATTAAGCACTTTGATATAAAGTATTAAAAACAGTCAGTGCTCTTGAATAAAAAATATAATTACAACCTTATTTAGATAATAAATTCGGTAAATAAAAACTCTCTCACTGATAGTATATAATTATAGTACAGAAAGGGACCCCCATCACTATTATTACAAATTTATTATTAATAATGTTAATAACTCCCATTTATGGACTACTTGCTAAGCCTTTAATACAATGTAAGGAACTCTTTAGATACTATTTCATTTAACCCTCACAATACCCCTTGGAGGTTTCTATTATTGTTGCCATTTTAAAAATGGGGAAACCAAGGCTCAGAAAGGTTAAGTAATTTACCCACAATCCCACAGCAGTTAAGCCTGCAGAAATACAGAATCCAACCCAGTCTTTATGACTTTGAAATCTTACTCATTAAACCATACGACTATTAAGTATTAAATTGATGAAGTACAAATTAAACATAATTCAATGACTTTTTTGTCTAGTTTCAAACACTTCAAAATTTTCAGTATTTTGTTGAGTTAATATAATGTATTGGCACTCTTTCTTACATTTTCATCTGCTACTAATATTGTTGGCTGGGTTGGGGTTGTTGGTAATGAAACTCCTGAAGGATCTACTTTTAGTAATCGCATTGACCTTCTACATCCAATCTCATTTTCTCTCTTCTTAGGCTTCTTTCTAAAGGAGTGGGAAAAAACTCATGTTACACTCATAAAACAATTATATGTATCTACTAATATTAAGGAAATAACTTATAGGAATGTATCTCATGGATATATTCACACATTGCAAAGATGTATGTACATGGCTACACCAATTTTAATTAAAACTCTGGAAACATAAATGTTCATCATAGGGAGGTAAAAGGTATTAAATTATGACATACGTATCTAATAGAATATGCAGCCATAAAAAAGAATAAAATAGATCTTTGTGTGCTGATATGACATGAACCCTAAGATATAAGAAGCAAAAACAAGGTCCAGTATATGTTAAATATGCTTCCATTTGCTTATTTACAAAAATGTCACACATTTGCACATGCTGAAATTACCTACGGAAGAATATACATGAAAACTATTAACAGTGGTTTCCTCTAGGGAGAAGGCCTGAAGAACTAAGGTCTAGGATGAGAAAGATATTTAAATGTTTCATTGCCTTCCCTTCCATATAGTTTACTTTTTAAAATCATATACATACCCTACTTTTTTATGTACTATTTTTTCATTTAAAAAAAGTAGTTGTTTTACTATAAGTTTTTTAATTTTAAGTTTTCAGTTCCATATGTAAGGAGCTTGAAAGCCACAACTCTGTCTTGCCAAGTAAAAAGCTAAACAGACTGAAAAATCAACAATCAAAATTAAGAGAGGCGAGGTCACAGTGCAAACTGCTGAGCCCAATACTAGAGACAGACAGCAAATACAAGGAGTTATGCTTACTGGAGCAGAGACTCAGGAACAGAAACCATCATAGGATCAAGTGCCAGGGTAGGAAAACCTGAATGGTAACTGACCAATTGCTGGAGACTCAGGGTGGACAAGTCTGAGAGTTAAAAACTCCTGGGTGGTCCACACAAAAATCTGCACGTGGATGTTAGCAGCAGCTTTGTTTGTAACTGGCAAAACTAGGCAACCAAGATGTCCTTCAACAGGTGAATGGATAAACAGACTGTGGTAATCCAGTTAATGGAATATTATTCAGCACTAAAAAGAAATGAGCTATCAAGCCATGAAAAGACATGGAGGAACATTAAACGTATATTACTAAGAGAAAGAAGCCAATCTGAAAAGGCTACATACTGTATGATCCCAAATACATGATATTATGGAAAAGGTAAAACTATGGAGACAATAAAAAGATCAGTGACTCTCAGGAGTGGTGATAGGGAGGGGATGAATAGGCAGAACATAGAGGATTTTTAGGACAGTGAAAATACTCTGTATATTATAATGATGGATATATGTCATTATACATTTGTACAAATCCATAGGGTACAACACCAAGAGTGAACCTTAAAGTAAACTACGGACTTAGAGTGATTATGATGTATCAGTGTAGGTTCATTCTTGGTAACAAATGTACCACTCTGGTGAGTAATGTTGATAATGAGGGAGGCTATGAGGGCGTAGGGGCAGGGGATATTTGAGAAATCTCTCTAACTTCCTCTCAATTTCCTTGTGAAACTAAAACTTCTCTAAAAAAATAAAGTCTTTGGGGGGCTGGCCCCGTGGCCGAGTGGTTAAGTTCACGCGCTCCACTGCAGGTGGCCAGTATTTCGTTGGTTCGAATCCTGGGCGCGGACATGGCACTGCTCATCAAACCACGCTGAGGCACCGTCCCACATGCCACAACTAGAAGGACCCACAACAAAGAATATACAACTATGTACCGGGGGGCTTTGGGGAGAAAAAAGAACAAAATAAAATCTTTAAAAATAAATAAAGTCTTTGAAAAAAAAAAAAAACCTCAAAAGGTACTCACCACAACAATTTTGTGAGATTTACGTCCAGGAGCTCAACTAAGTCCTCATAGTTAACTATCAGAGAAAAATCCCTTCATACTTCCCCCAGAGGGTGGGAAAAAGAAACCATTTTGAAATATACCAGAGCACTCTGTTCTTCTCAATGAGACCTGCCTTCAGGAGAACTACTTAACCAGAGCCTAACCTGCTAGGGTATTATCAGAGCCTAACTGACCCAGGAGAAGGGAAATACCCAACTCCAGCCCACTCTTGTCATCCTCTCCCACCTAACCGGCTTGGAAAAAACCTAAAACATTTGTGAAATTCTCAGTCCAGAGGCAGAGACAGGCTCACTAAAGACTGAGACCTTATCACAGGATGCTTCCCTTCCCCCTACACTGTACCACATTACTAAAGGCCTATTTACAACAGTTCCTTTTCCCCAGTACATCATGTCCAGTTATCAAGAAAAAAATTACAAGGCACACTGAGAGGCAAAAAACACAATTTGAAGAGACAGAGCAAGCATTAGAACCGACGTAACAGGAATGTTGGAACTATCAGACCAGGAATTTAAAACAACTACAATTAATATGCGAAGGGCTCTAATGGATAAGAGACATCATGCAAGAACAGATGGGCAATATAAGCAGAGAGATGGAAATCCTAAGAAAGAACCAAAAATAAATGCTAGAGATCAAAAACACTCTAACAGGAATGCCTTTGATGGGCCTATTTAAAGAGTAGACATGGCTGAGGAAAGAATCTCTGAGCTTGAGGATATCTCAATAGGAACCTCCAAAACTGAAAGCAAGGAGAAAAAAGACTGAAAAAAAACCCCCAGAATATCCAAGGACTGTGGGACAACTACAAAAGGTGTAACATACACATAATGGGAATAGCAGAAGGAGAGGAAAAAGAAAAGGAACAGAGGAAATATTTGAAACAATAACAACTGAGAATTTCTCCAAATTAATGTCAGGCACCAAATCACAGATCCAGGAAGGTCAGAGTGCATCAAGCAATTTAAATGCCAAAAAAAACCCTACACCAAGGCAATTCATTTCCAAACTACAAAAAAAACAAAGATGAAAAATCCTGAAAGAAGCCAGAAGGAAAAACACCACCTTATCTATGGAGGAACAAAGATCAGAGTTATATCCATCTCCTCAGAAACCGTGAAAGCAAGAAAAGAGTCTAGTGAAATATTGAAAGTGTTGAGAGAAAAAAACCAATCAACCTAGGATTCTGTATCCTGGGAAATTATCCATCAAAAGTGAAGGAAATAAGACTTTCTCAGACAAACAAAAATTATGGGAGGGACCAGCCCTGTGGCTGAGTGGTTAAGTTTGCGCACTCCACTTCGGTGGCCGAGGGTTTTGCCGGTTCAGATCCTGGGCACGGACATGGCACTGCTCATCAAACCATCCCACATGCCACAACTAGAAGGATCCACAACTAAAATATACAACTATGTACTGGGGCGCTTTGGGGAGAAAAAGGAAAAATAAAATCTTTAAAAAAAAAAATTATGGGAATATGTAGCCAGTAGTCCTGCTTTGCAATAAATGTTAAAAGAAGTTCTTTAGAGAGAAGAAAAATAACATACGTCGGAAACTTAGATTTACATAAAGATAGGAAGAGCATTGCAGAAGGAATAAGTAAAGGTAAAATAAAAACTTTTTTCTTATTCTTAATTGATGTAAGATAACAGTTTGTTCAAAATAACAACACTGTATTTGATTATGTATGCTTAACATATATATCTTATGTCTGTGCGTTTATATATACATATGTATGCTTATGTATATAAGCGCTTATGTGTATAGCCAGCCCTGGTGGTCTAGCGGTTAAGATTTGGCACTGTGACCACCATGGCCCAGGTTCATTTCCCAGTCAGGGAACTACAATGCTCCCATCTGTTGGTTGTTATATTGTGGTGGCTGCATGCTGCTGTGATGCTGAAAGCAATGCCACTGGTATTTCAAATACCAGAAGGGTCACCGAGGGTGGACAGCTTTCAGCAGAGCTTCCAGACTAAGACAAACTAGAAAGAAGGACCTGGCCACCCACCTCTGAAAAAATCGGTCATGAAAACCCTATGAACAGCAGTGGAGCATTGTCTGATATAACTCCAGAAGGTGAGAGGATGGCTTGAAAAGACCAGGTGGGGTTCTGCTCAGCTATACACAGGGACGCGAGGAGTCAGAATTGACTTGACAGCACTAAACAACAACAAAAATGCGTAAGTGTGCATATATATAAGTGAAATGAATGACAACAATGATACAAGGGACAAGAGGGAAGAATTAGGATAATTTTGTTATTATAAGGTACTCACCCTACCCTTGAAGTGGTATACTGTTATTTGAAAGTGAACTTGGATTAGTTGTATATTGTAAATTCTAAGATAACCACTAAAAAAAGCAAAAAAAGAAGTATAACTGATATCCTAAGAAAGGAGAGAAAATGGAATCAGATAAAACATTCAATTAAAAACACAAAAGGCAGAAAAAGAGTGGAAGACAAAAACAGAAACAAAGAACAAGGGAAATAAATAGAAAACTAACAAATATGGTAGATATTAATCTAACTACATCAATAATCACTTTGAACATCAATTGTCTAAATGTACCAATTACAAGAGATTGTCAGAGTGGATCAAAACACAACACCCAAATATATTGTCTACAAGAAACCCAATTTAAATATAAAGACACATCTAGATTAAAAGTAACTGAATGGAGAAAAATATACCACGCTAACATGAATCAAAAGAAAGCAGGAGCAGCAAGATTAATTTCAGATAGAGCAGACTTCAAAGCAAAGAAAGTTATCAGGGATAAAGAAGGGCATTATGTAATGATAAAGGGGTCAATTCTCCAAGAGATACTAAGTCTTAACAAGTATGCACCTAATGATGGAGTGTCTAACTACATGAGGCAAAAACTAATAGAAGTGCAAGGAGAAATAGAGAACTCTATTGTCTTAGTTGGAGATTTCAACACTGTTCTATCAAAAATGGAGAGATCCAGTAGGCAGAAAATCAGGGAGGACACAGTTGAACTCAAGAACACCATCTATCAACTGCATGTAAATAACATCTACAGACTACTTCATCCAACAACAGCAGAATATACATTCTTCTCAAGCTGACATGGAAAATTCACCAAAGTAGACCACATTCCACACCATAAAACATACCTTAACAAATTTA